GGGCCTCACATTGTAGGATTGCAACGTACTTTTGGTGTTGATACTGAAACTTCATAAGATTTTGAGCGGTCATGGATGGATGAACAGCAACATCTCAAACCTCGGGATGGCTCCGCATCGTCAAAGTCCACTTCGTATAGGGTCAACATCGGAGAAGATGTCAATTTAAGGCAAAAACCAATAACTGATTGGTGGTTTGGAACATTTGGATTATTGTTCCATATATTGGGAGTAATCATCCCAACTGACTTTCATATTTTTCAGAGGGGTTGAAAGCACTAACCAAATAAAATAATTGAAATGGGTCAACATTGGTTTCACCTCATGTTGGACATGCTTCATATTGGGAACCATATGTTTTTCTTCAATATCTTCAGTAGTGAAATGGTTGACTGAAAATGACAAGAATCTCTGGTTCTCCACGGTTTACTGCTTGAATCTGGTACGCATACATATAGCTATGGAAAATAGTCCATTTAGATCCATTTAGTTCGATGATTTGCTTATTTAACATCATGTTGTTTTTCGTAATTAATATGATCGGTAATCAAAGGTTGCAATGGAAAATCCTCTCTCAAAGGAGGTTTCAGTTTCGGAAAATCATCACACTGAATGGGTTTCCAAGTGATTTCCATAATTGCATATAGTTGCTATGTTTGATGACCAGAGGGTAGCTATGTCATGTTTGTTTGGAAGCTAATCGTCGTTGACGCCCCTCGCTCCTTTTTACCAGGTCCCGTGGCGAAAAGGGCCGGGATCGGGACCGGGATCGCAGCCGAGGTCGTAGGCGAGGACAACTAGCGGTCACCAGGGTTCACCAGGGTCGCTAGGGGCTGGGATTTCATCCAAGTTGAGGTGTTTTAAAACACCATGGGATGAAACAACTGTTCATGGCATCAAATTTTCTAGTGTTTCTAGTGTTTCTAGTGTTCATGGCATCCCATGTTTGAACAAGAAACGCTGTTTTTTTCTCTTTAAGCATCATGGGATGCCATGAACAATTCATAAGCTCTGGGATTTTACTGGGGTTTAACCATTAACCTAGCCAAGACAGGTTTATTAGAAAAAAAGGATTTAACTGGGGTTTAACAATCAAAAGTGGGAGATGGATGGAGATGGGAGATTTCATCAGCATTTTCTTGGGGGATTCTACCATCAGAAATATGTTGATTTCACATAACACACATGGACATCATTCGGCAACAAGATGACTTTGGGATATTCATGATCTCACTAGCTTATGAAGAGAAGAAAGATTTACCCTTTGGTTATATCAAAATAGCTATTGACAATTACCGTTTATAGTTGATTTACCTTTACCCATAAACATTGTAATTTTCCATAGTTATGTTAGTCTACCAGACGGTACAGAGTTACAAGTAGCTGGTTAATAATACCCTTTGCACCTATGATATGCTATGGGCAAACATCCTCCACAGAAACCATATGAGCGTAGCAATAGCGACTATGGTTACCCTCTGGTTATCAAACACTGCAATGGGAAATCCGTTGTAAACAGAGGTTCAATGGGAAAACCATAACTGGTGAATGTTCCATTTCCGTGTAATGAATAGGAAGATGACACTACATATAATCGGTAGCCCGTGGTACCGTGGTACCCCATATTCAGACCAACCCCAAGGTATTTACATCGCTGCCAGGCGGTCTCGATCTCGAACGAGATCTGAAGATAGAGTGCCCTCACCCACATATTCCACTGAGGACGGTGCCGAAAAACCTGGGTTGAAGTGAAGTGATGGGGATTTAGTTTTTCAAATCTCTGAAAGTCCAATAACACATTTTGCCGGAGCAAAGAATAATTACAGATGATGGTTCAATGGAGATATAGCCCCAAAAAAAGACAGGAATCACATTCCTCGTTCATTAAACAACCCTTTTGTATGGTCCCAAATGTGTGTAAATCCCGTACTAAACCATGGTTTCTTCGGGATGTCTAATATTAGTGGGATGGATTGGTGTTCTAACCTGTTGGTTTGCTTCGGCGGCTCAAACATCAACCAGTCTTGATTTGGTTGCAATTGTTAGTATGCATCTTGTTACAGGCCTTGAATATCAGTGGGCTCTCCCATTTTCCTCTCCCATTTTCCATGGATTTTCTCCCATTGTCCATTGATTTTCTCCAAATTTCCATCGATTTTCTCCCATTTTCCATCGATCTTGCGGTACTTCCGCTACCAAGTCGTCACCACCGTCGTCTACCACCATTTTTTTAAAAGGATCTTTGGCGGCGCCTGCAGCACTTGGGAACTTGGAAGGGCTTAGGCGTGCGCGTTTTTCCGTCGTGTGTTTCTGTCGTGGGTGAAAGGATCGGAAGCACCGGGCAGAAATTTGATGTGCTAAATGTAGGTCAATATTCCATACATGGAGCTGGGTATAGAATATTATTCCATACCAGCATGTACCAAGCTGATTGGTGGTTTGGAACACTTGGATTATGACTTACCATATCTTGGGAATATATAATCATCCCAACAGACGAACTCCATCATTTTTCAGAGGGGTAGGTATACCACCAAGCAGTTTAGCATCAGTGATTCACTAGACTGTAGGCCATATTGACTTTTATGCCCGTGATAATATTTAATAGGTTGGTTTAACATATTCCTGGTCGGAGCAGTGCCAGCACTTGGGTGAAAAGTAGGGCTTTAACTGGCATATGGGGATATAATTGATCAATGATGATCTCATGTTTGTTAGATAAGGGAAGTTATGCTACCCCATATGCATCAATATGCTGGGGATTATATAGGATTGTCATAGTCTAGAATGGACTCCATCTATCAAGCCACAATTTTAAGCGATTTTCGAAACTTTTCCCAACAGACATGTTTGTTGGGTTTCAATCTCTGGGTTTGCCACGAAAACTGGAACAGAACCGGAACCCTGGAACATCCCAAAAGTCTTGAAACTTTTAGTGCTGTTGGGTTGGAAAGCTGGTCTTTTTTACGCTCTGGTTATGTCAAAATAGCTATTGAAGATGGCCCAGTCGAAATAGTTGATTTACCCATTAATAGCATGGTGGATCTTTCCAGTTCGTTATGTTAGTAAAATCAATATTTTTCATGGGTAAATCCACTATAAATGGATATAAATTGCCATTTTCCATAGCAAAAAAAACGTTTCCACTTGAACAGTAAGGTCTTCCGATCCGATTTTGGGGGTTCCGGTCAACCGCGTAGGAAATTCACGCCGTTGCAGTAAGGTTAGAGAAACCGGTTATTTATTTTGAGAAGTGGCACCCATCCAATATTATATTATATATTGTATTTATGTCTGTATATATTAATATATTATAATATACATACAGGGATTGAGGGAGTGGAATGTGTAAATCTTGGCGGAGGAATTGGCAGCCGAAGCTCGAACTATTCCAACTAGCTGGCTGGGAAATTCCCAGTCAATGGAGGTTTAGTTCGCGGGGAAAATACGGCTGGACTTTCCAGGCATGTTTGATGACACGGGGGTATACCATCAATATCCTAGTATCACTCCATTAATCACCATCAATCAATATCCCAGAGAGATCCCATTAATCATCATCAATATGTTTTTTTAAGAAATTTAATTCATGAGTCAATCGGAACCTAATGTAACTGAGCATCGCAACTGCCAGAGCCAGTCAAGGTGAGCAAAACAGTAAAGTGACCGGAAAAAAATGTAGATGTTCCCCCTCCAGATGTGGAAAATCCACCATGTGTGCATAATTTTCCTTGAAAAAACAATGGTTTTCCATATTCAATGGGAATTTCAGGATCCTAAAATGGAGGTACTGTACCATATAAGACCATATTTTGTGGGATATTCCCTTACATAGGCCTTATATATAGGCCTTATATATGGTAGGTACCTCCATTTTAGATTCTTAAAATGGCCATTGACATATTGTTGGTTTGCCCCAGGCTAACTATAATGAAAGGGATTCATATGGGCAACCCAATGCCGTAAACACCTACCATTTGGGGATGGTTTAATATACACCACCCATACGAACTGTGATTTTGGAGATGGTTAGTTTATGGCTTTGGGTTACCACATTAGTAGCAAAATCAATGGGCAAATCATGGTGGATAGGTGAATGGATTAGCTTGAAACATGTCATACCCCTATTAAAAATTAGGCTAACGGCTAAGGCGGCTACGGTTGGTTTTAGGATTAGGACCATGGTACTGCACCCGTGAGGGGGTCCTTGCACGCTGCAGTGAAGGCTTAGACAGCTTGAAATACTGAAAGGCAGCAGGGGCAAACGGAACCCATGAAACCAATCAGCTCAAACTTACAAACCCATCAGCTCAAAGAATTCTGCCGGCATATTGTGTTTGATACGCTGCATGAGTCTTGCAGCTAAAAACTTGCCTGTCTTGAGGTTGCGCAACTGTTTGAACGAAGTCCACATAATTTTCTCAGATACCTTGACCGGGGTTAACCCCATCCAATCTCTTTGGTTGCATTTCCCTAATCCCAAAGATGTATAATTTTCTGAGTTGATTGGAGCTTGGCTCGTTGCGAGCATAGACACCTTAGGTCACCTTGCTTTCGCACAATGGTGGCAGAAGTGTCTACAGACATCCTCCGGGTGGAGGGGGAACCATGTGACATAAATCTGGATGGAACTATGATGACCTCGCGTCGTGATACCACTGAAATGACATGTTCTAAGGGAATTCATCCCCAAATGGCCGAAGCTTTCGGCGATTTTTTGCTAAGTTTTTGCCATTCAGCCAGGTACATGATATCAATAAACTAAATCTTAGCGTTGCTATGTCGCTTCAGGATACCTTTTATGATACAGAAAAATAGCACCTTGTCCATCTCGAATTCAAGGAAAACCTGCAGGAAACCAGCAGGAAACCTATGTTCTTCCCTTGGAAATATGGGGGTTTCCTGCTAATTTTTCCCTTGAAAAACCGATCCAATCAACTTGTGAATTTTGGAGGTTTTATCTCCTGTAGACGATAGATGACGTCCAGAGCTTTTTTTTTTTGAATTCCAGCAAAGCGCGCCATGGTGAAGAAAAGCAAAGCCAGCAAAGGTAGTTCTGGCACTAAATCCGGCGAAGGAGGTGCCATATGGGTGGCGGGTGGCCACAGCCCCTGGTTGGATTGGCGCTGTTAGCAACACCAGTTGCCAGAGATGTCCGTCGCATTTTTGGCATGTTTATTACCAATTTATTACTCTTTCACATGGCCAAAGAAAATTACCCATGTGTAGATCATTTCCGCATTAAACATTGCCTTTTTCCATGGCTCCCGAATTTGAAATGTGGGTCCCCATGTCCCATGTTGTTATTTTTCTTCCACGGTTGTCGTGTGGTTCGTCCTCGGCTAGGGAAAAGCAAAAAGCAAAAGAAAGGCAGCGGCAAAGGCAGCAGCAGCAGTCGAAGAAAAGAGGCCCGGCAAGAACTGACACTTGGCCGAGGATGGTCATGGAAGATGATGGAAGCCATGAGGGAAGCACTTTTTCTGAACAGCTTGGATACAGAAGGGTAACTGCTGGGCAACTCTAGTAAGTTGATACTGCCATACTGCTATACTGCTATACTGGTAGCTGAATAGCCATGAGGATGGTCCAAAAGTTGAAAGCTGGGAAGAACCCGCTGTCTACCTGGGGGTTGCAGACGACACCTTGACAGTCACACCCTCCTTCCAATAAGTAAACAGAACGGCCCCTCATGGAGGATTGATTGTTGGACTTAAAATGCTAAAAGATACTAGTATTTACAGTGGTTTGTGACAAGAGTAGGCTTAAAACCGTTATTTTAGAGCAAAAAATGGAGTTCACCTCCAAAGGCTATCATATGCTGTCATAAATTACTGGCATCTACAGACTCTTGTGACAGGATTCAACTTTTCCTGTGGGGCTTGCAAAGAGCTACAAGCAATCAACACATAGCAGAAAACATTTGCTGCACAATATGCCATAAGAATGGGTAGCTGTGCATCTTAATAGGTGGCTAGTGTGATAGAGGTGATGGAGAAATTATATTGCTAGAAGCAATTGATATGATATAGCTGTTGTTTCATGAACTTGTTAGATTGATATCATCTCAACATACATTGTATATAGATGCATTTGTGCTTGCAACAGTTCATTGAACATATATAAAGGTGTAGGTGTGCATAAGATATACAAAAGAAGCATGGTGGAAATCTTTCAAATTATGTATATACACATGTATTGGTTGGACTTATGCGGGAAATATGAACATATATAATCATATGCAATTCATTTACTCACTGGGATGCAGTTAGTATCCCAAGTATATCCAAGCACCCACGATAAACCCAAGGGTTACCATCTTCCAAACACAGAGCCTGCCATGAGGAAGGAGGCTAATAAGCGTCCGCAGAAACGCGCACATGGCAAAGAGGCATCAGGGTGGCTGCGGGGTGTGATTAGATTTTTTGGTGAAAGAACACATGGTTTTGGATAGAATCAAAGAAACATGGGGATGTATGTATATATATATGTGTATGTATGTACATCTATTTTGTTTAAAAAAATAGGTAATATGTGCATATACATAAACTAACACACATATAATATGTAACATATAATAACTGATTTTTTTAAATAGACAATATAATGCGCATATGTAATATGATAATGTATATATCATTGAATTATATTGACGTAATGGATATGCATATAAGTATACACATGTATATATATATACAGTACATAATACTCATATAATCGAAGTGACAACCCATCAAACATGGGAGTATCTACAGAAACGTCTTGGGAATGTAGCCAGCAGGCGGTAGTCACTACCATGGCTGCCCGAGAAATCCCATGAAAACCATGCTTTGATTACCGGAAGGTATCCCACGGAGTGTTTGAAAGGTTGTTCTTCTGAAAAAAATGTTTTCAAAAAGAGCTGTAACATGCTGTAATAAAAGAACGTAATTACAGCTTTGTTGGATAAACCTGAGCCAAATATCCTTTTTTTTGCGTTGGCTTATGCTCATATGATGTATATGTTTGTATCATCCACTGGTTGTCGCAAAATTGCTTTGTTTCTTAGGGCATTTGCCGCAAAACGTCCCCTGAAAATATGCATAATGGATCATAATGGATACCATAAGAAAAACAACTGAAGATCAAAAACATGGGATTTGTTATGAAGGGTTTCAGCCAGTCAGCAAACTCATATTTTGGACATTGGTTGGCCAAATATTTGGCCAACGAAAATGCTACCATACAATCCCAGATGCTGCAGCAAAATGCTAAACTCCCGGAGAGGGCAATGGAGAGAGAGAGAGAGAGAGAGAAAACTCCCGGATGCTCTATGTATGGAATACGTACCAAAAATTACCAACATACGTTACATCCCAAAAATATTCCAAATGCAGCTAACTGTACTGTATGCAGAGCATATGGGAATGATTCTTTCTTGGCCCTTTGCTTTTCGGAACCACCAAAAGGAAGCTCTTGAAACCCTTGGCCTTTCATTCAAACCTCTCCCTCCAGCAAAATTATGGAATAATATGGAATATCATGGAATCAGTTACTGTAATCAGAGCTATATCCCCAACTTAACTCTGGTAAACTAACATAACTATGGAGAATAACAATTTTTAATGGGAAAATCCACTATAATTGGCAATTTTCAATAGCTATCTTAGTCATTACCAGAGGGTAGATATCCCAATATTGCTGAACAAGTATATCTAATTTGGATATATGATGATATATGACACTGAATTGGATATTAATTTTCAGTAATTAGAGTTATATCCCCAACTTAGATATCATTTTTCGCCAATCTTGATGTCGCAATACCACTTCACCCATGGGATTCCCCGAGGTGGACGAGACGCGTCAACGTCTCCGCAGCAAGTGGCTGGAGCGTCAGCTGTCGCGGGGCCCGGGCAGCCGGGTAGGCCCCGAGCGGCGGACGCTGCTGCTGGAGATGGCACAGCTGCAACTGGCAGCCGGGAGGTCCAAGGCGGCCCTGCAGCCCCTTGGAGACGAGGGGGCGAAGCTGGCTTTTGTGGGAAAAGATGTGATTTCTTCAGTGGGGATTTGGGCCATTCACTGGGAATTTTTATGAAATGTGTATAGGTTTTTTGTGAATATATGGGATGCTGAGCAGGTTTTGTCGCGTCAAACAGGTTGGCTACCAATGGGGATAGGGGTGCGGTGAAGGGTCTGTTTGCCTGAAACATTGTAAATCCGATGAGGTTCATGTTGAAATGATATATACAATTTGCAATGCTTTCGGCTGAGAGACATAGACTGCGTTAATTTGGGTTACGTTGAATCAATTGCTTACTAGATTTCATTAACGGGGGGGTTGGCGTGTAAATCTCGAGTAAGTTTCACTTCATTCCTGCAGAAAGGTGGACAAGATTCAATCTCATCAGTCGCCCAAGTCATGCAAAATCATGCTTAAAATCACCATTTTGGTTGGTTCGCGCAGCATTCACCATCCGTTTTCCGTCTGGTTTTCCGTTCAGGTCCTTGCGTGAAGCCCTGGACATGGATCCCGAGGACGTGGATTTCGCGGTGCGTGGCCCGCTGCTGTGTTTGTACCTGGACAAGGCCATGACCGAAGACTCTGAGCAGAGACAGTTGAGAGTCGGGATCCGAAACGAGTTTCAACTGGTGAAAATGAAGGAAACTATGTATTGGTTCACATATGTTAGGCTAGGAGAATTACCCTCTGGTAAACTAACATAACTATGGAAAATCACCATTTTTAATGGGAAAACTCACTATAAATGGTCATTTTCAATAGCTACGTTAAATTACCAGAGGGTATTGATCGAAGGAAGTTTAGAAGTCAAACTTCCGACAATATGGAGAGATGAAAAGCAGAGCAGGGAAGAGGCATAGAGAAGAGAAAGGTTAGAAGAGAAAGAGTAAGAAGACAGAAGATACAGATGCGCGAAAAGGTAGGAAAGTCACGAAACACTGTGTTTTTCCAATGATTTTTGGCTCCGGAGGGTCGAAAAGTAGGCTCGCTAAAGCGGCGGGTGCGGAGCCAGCTGGCCAGAGGAGAGATGAAAAATTGCACGCCGTTGTGGCGCGAAGCACATTTCCAAGTGAAAATGTACAAAACACACCATTCTCGGACCACTTTTGGAAGTTGCGATGTCGAAAAAGTGCACGCCGTTGTGGCGCGAAGCACATTTCCAAGTCAAAATGTACAAAACACACCAGGTTCGGACCACTTTTGGAAGTTATGATGTCGAAAAAGTGCACGCCGTTGTGGCGCGAAGCACATTTCCAAGTCAAAATGTACAAAAACACCATTCTCGGACCACTTTTGGAAGTTGCGATGTCGAAAAAGTGCACGCCGTTGTGGCGCGAAGCACATTTCCAAGTCAAAAGTGTACAAAACACACCATTCTCGGACCACTTTTGGAAGTTCAGATGTCGAAAAAGTGCACGCCGTTGTGGCGCGAAGCACATTTCCAAGTCAAAAGTGTAAAAAAACTGAGGGTTTTGAGCCTTTTTTGACGTTAAGATGTCGAAAAAGTAGACACTGATTAACTTAACTAACTTGACTAACTTAACTACACAGATAAATACCACTGCACTCCATTACACCATCTTCCACTACACTTCACTACATTACACTGCACTACCCTCCACTAAAATACAACTACACCTGCAACTCCACAACTACACTCCACTACACTACACTGCACTCAATGACATTCAATTACACTACATTGCAGACAGACAGATAGATAGATAGATAGACAGGTAGACAGCTAGACAGATAGACCGATGAAAGAGAGAGAGAGAGAGATAGATAGATAGATAGATAGATAGACAGGTAGACAGCTAGACGGATAGACAGATGAAAGAGAGAGAGAGAGATAGATAGATAGATAGATAGGTAGATAGGTAGATAGGTAGATAGGTAGATATGTAGATAGGTAATGAGATGAAAGAGGGAAAGAGAGAGATAGACAGCTAGATCAACAGAAAGATAGATACATAGAAAATAGATGGGTAGGTAGGTAGATAGCCAGAGAAAGAGAGAGAAAGAGAGGAGACCTCAAGCACCTTTCGGTCCGTCAGTGGCTTCGCTCTGCCATCCCTGATTCACAACAACCAACCTCTCCTATAGGTTTCCTATTTTTGAAACTTCCGCCACCGCCTTGTGCGGTACTACTGGTAATGAACCTATAATTAACCTATATATGATGTCTATATATGTCTATTGTTTACATCCCAGTTTAGGGAGAAGTTCAATTCAAAGTAAATTCATTGTGTCATCAGTTTATTGTTTGAGCTATTCAGTCTTGCCGTTAATCAAATGTGGCAATGGAAAATGCTCTAATTATAGATTTTGAATGGAGATTCGAATATTTTTTCATGGGCACATATGGGAACAATATCTATAAATGGATATAAATGGAAAGTTTTCCGGCAAGCCATGTTTGATTACCGGAGGGTATAGAGTATGGCTGTCAGTATAGCTCCCAGGCCATGCTGACAGCAGGGGTGGTGTGTTCTTGGCCCAGGACATCAACTCCCACCCTTGGGGAATTTAACAGAGCTATGGACAAATCACCATTTTTGATAGGTAAATCATAAAGCATCTAGAAATGGGTTATTTTCCGTAGCTATGTTGAATAACTAGAGGGTAACCTGTAAAAATCTGTTGGAAAATTGTTTTTTTTCAGAATCCGTGTCCAAGCCAGCTGATTCATTGTTGGGGCCATACCTGACCGGGCATTGAGGAAGCCGCGTCACTTCTGAAGGGCCCTTTGTTCGAGGATGCCATGCAAGGTGCGACTGCGGTGGCGTATCCCATGGAGTCATAGGCTTCAGCGGTCCAGCGTTATTTTATCCCAAAATAGACAATGAACCCTCAGAAGCAGACTGTAAAACAAATTCGGGGTGGATAATAACCCTCACCCAACATGTACCCTCTGGTAATTTGACATGGTCAACTAAATAATCTTTGATAATATAGGTAAACTAAATGGGCTGTCTATGCCATGTTAAATGTTAAATTGCCAGAGGGTAATTTAACATCTCCATGTGTGTCATGTTTGTCGATCAGATCAATGAGAACCCTATGAATCACTATAAAATCCTATGAAAAAAAAAACAAATTATCACCGCCAAATCCCATTCGACCGCCATGAAAAATGACAATTCAATGACCATTAAACCACAATTTTACCATTCAATTCCCATTGAATCACTCTAAAATTATTTTAAACAAACAACATTTTTATAAAAATGAATCTAAGGCACCATTCAACAAAAACCCATTCAATGACCATTAAGCCACCATTAAACCACCATTGAATCACCGTCCAGGTGACCTGCCGGCTGAGCCATCGGCCAAGCAGAGGGAAGCCGTGACCGCAGGTGAGAGCTGAGCCAAGGGGGCGGTTCTTTACATGTTTCAACTGGGAAAACATGAAAAGGTGGGAAAAATATAGGGAAAAAACATGAACAACATAGATAAATTATGATAATTTCATGATTTCCATGTTTTTGTTTGGTGGATTTACATGGATCACCAACAAGCCAGCCTGCTACCTGACCACCATCCTAGGACATGAACATAGATCTTTCCGCGACGGCTACTTTTTCCCAATTAGAGAGTGTGCAATAGCTGCAAGGTTAACCTTTTGTGCCAGCAAATGAGCAAACAAAAACACATACATGGATTTACCGATTTACCTTGCATGTGCCCATGTTAAGGCGATCGAATATGGTAAGACAAGACATTTTGGATGAGCCCGCTCCAAGAGGAGATGCCCGATCTTTTCTTCGCAGGCTGCTATTCGATCGCCCTCTTAAGCTACATCTCGGTGCGTGTGGTGCGGGAATATAAGAAACCCAAGGCTGTGGAAGAAGCTGAGGAGCATGCGGGGGCAAGGTTTATGTGGCGGATTTGCTATATAAGAAATCATGTTAGATTATTTCACGAAAAATCTGGATCGATATTTTATTCATTATCATCTGGTTGGTGCTTTGGAACATTTTTTTACTTTCCATAATATATGGGTTGTCATCCTTCCCATTGACTTTCATATGTTCAAGATGGTTAAACCATGTTAAAACATGTTAAAACCACCAACCAAACATTCAAATCAGGTCAAATCCTCAGGTTTTCAGATGTGTTCGTTGACCAAACACCACCAATCAATCCCCACTGCCGATTCTCCTGGATCCCAGCACTAAGTTGATGCAAAGATCACATGTTTAAATGTGATTTGGGTTTTGAACATTTTTTGTGTAGATAATAAACCAAAACCCATAGGATCCATGGTGCTGGGATATATGCTAACATTTGGGGTATATTGATGGGATCCATGTTACCATATATGGCAGCACCATGGATCCTATGGGTAATAAACCAACGTTTTGAACATTTAAATAGACATGTGTATAAGCATGTTTGATAATCTTTGTGTAGTTTTGTACTTTCACAAGGAATTGTTTTTCCCCCCAATTGTTGGATACCCTCGCCCGATATCCTAGCCCACACCTGCCAACATGCTAGTTCCACTCTTGAACTTCCTGTTGTTTACGGCACACACACACACACAAATTGCTGGCAAATCAACGTTCATACCAGTCAAGTAATTTGGAAAATCATGGCTATTGACCTGTCCCCAACATCTCCTTCAAGAAGTGAATGAACCTCCAGCCAGGAGAGACTGCTAAAGAGGCTGCAGAAAGCACATCAGCAGAATCCCTTCATCGCAGCAGCTGGGACTCGAGGTTTGTCGTGGATAGTCTAGCTGAAGGGGTGGGATTCATTTTTTGTGGGGGGGATCCTTTCTTTTTCTCAACTTACCCTCTGGTAAACTAACATAACTATGGAAAATCACCAGTTTTAATGGGAAAACTCACTATAAATTGCATTAAATTGCCATTTTCAATAGCTATGTTAGTCATTACCAGAGGGTATGCCAGGTAAAATGGATCAAAAAGTGACTTGTTCTTTTGACCCCAGTGATAAAAAGATGTGAGCCGAAGCAGACGTCTGGACAATCCCTGGGAGGCCTGGGAGGCGGTTCACGGCTTGCTGCAATTGTTTGGCTGCGGAATTGAATAGCGCAAAATATGTCATGTCTCACAATCACTGACTTCTTAGAGTAGCTTAGGTTGACCATTTATATGTGAGAAATGGCATTTGACAAGATGATGTGAACCCTAGATGACAAACATTTTGGAGTTCAACGGCGGGTTTCTTTAAGAACTCTGCGCACCCAAGTGCAACTTAGACTGGACGATATCATTCCGAAAACAGGTTGGTGCTTCGACATAGCCATTTGTTCAACACGGATACCTAGGATGATCCCAATTGACGAGCCTGTTTTTCAGGGGTTGAAAGCACCAAGAAAATAGCATTGCCATTTGCCAGGAATTCCTCGCCTTCGCTCCAGCCTTTGAATCTACCTTTCCATTTGGATGCGAACTTCCGGAAGCATCTGGAGCCGAGAAATTGGAGGTGCCAATCGGCGAAGAAATGGAGAGCTTGCTGCAAAAATGGACCGTTGGAAATACCAAGTATTTTTGTTATCATGCATGTTCCATAGCCATTTCGGGGCAATGTCAACCCCCAATTTGTAAGCTCGAAATGGCTGTTTAATTGGGGGATTATCATTTAGCTAGCAGATGATCACTATTTGTTTGCTTGATGTTATGCATCACTTTTGGGGCTGATTGGATTCCCAGGTTTTCAGTGGTAGGAATTGATACCCTGTGGATATTTGGCCAATTGATACAATTTGGATAGGTAAGTCATCATAAATCATCAAAGAATTGACCATGTTCTATGTTGCTATGTTGAATAACCAGAGGCTATATCCATTTATGAGGAAACTAGTCATGGAAGCGATGGAGTCCGGTTGAAGATCCAGATATCCAGGTCCTTCAGAACTGAGCTAGTGAATCCATGGGTTCAGAAGTAGATGTTTCCAAGGAGCCCAGTGTGCCCATATGGCCCATATCTATAGATTACCCATAGGATCCATGGTGCTGGTATATATGCTAACATTGGGGGTATATTGATGGTAAATGTTACCATATATAGCATACATGGATCCTATGGGATAGATTATAGAACGTCTCCATGCGTTATCTATTTGTATAGTTTCAAACACCGCCTAGCGGCCTAGCATCAGTTAAAACCCCAGCGGTTTTTGGATCAGTTAAACTCTTGTAAGCTAAATGGATTATTGTGCGATCAGCTTTATGGATTTTCCACATCCATAATTAGAGATATTAGAGTATGTAGTGGTATAGCTATGGTATAGCTATGGAATTCTTCATTTGAATACAGCTACATCATCTAAGTTCATGGGGCAGCCAGTCGTTGATCTCAGGGTACCCGGCAGGAGCAGTTATTGGAAGCCCTGAGATATTGCTGTCAATGGGGTGGCCGTGGCCAAGCGCCTGTGTGGCGCCTAGGCAGCAAAAAGATGGTAGTTTTTTGTTCGTAAAATCCCAGCAGCAAGTGAGAAGTTGTGTGATTGTTTACCAATCTTTGGGGGTGAAATATTATGGTCTAGGTTTTTTTTGGGGGAGGGGGGTAGTAGTCTTAGTTGTAGTCTGATTTTTGAGGGGGAGGATAGGATTGGTAAAAACCACATATTCCACTTTCATCTTGAAATCTTCCTCGGGGGTTTTCCGGATTGTTTTGATTTTATGCTGGTTGGTGGTTTGGAACATGGCTTTTATGACCTTCCATATATTTGGAATAATCATCCCAACTGACTTTCATATTTTTCAGAGGGGTAGGTCAACCACCAACCAGTTTGTGAACCACCAAAATCCCATGGTGAATCATGATTTCCCCCATTAATGGGTCTCTCTGATGAAGCGAGTCTCCATTTTTGGGCACATGGATAATATCCCGTATCGTTTTGGTTTAACATATCCCATTCATGTCCCACGATATCGCCATTATTGTTGGGTTTACGCCCCCAGTATCCCCCAGTCTTAACTGGTTGGTGGTTTCACACATTTTTTATACTGTCATCCCGGGGATTATTTTCTCCCCATTGATTGAAGGATATGTTTCAAGTTTGGGTGGCTCAACCACCAACCAGTTTAAGGCAAAACCTTCCAATTGGGCAACCCTCAGATAGCTGGGAAATTGTCAGGGCTTAAAGGCTTAAAGTAATTAAACTTGGTTCATCTTGCTTCATAACTGGGGTTCTAGCCATGATCAATAGGGTTAAAGCTATAGCATACGAATCAGTAATCATACTATAGCTACTGTTTATTAACCATCAGTAATCATACTATATAGCTACTGTTTATTAACCAGTATCACTGGGCTTAAAACCTACAAATTCCATCGAATTCCTTGGTCCTAGCGCAGGTTGGACACTAACGCCACGGTTCGGCGCTTCATCCGCGAGACCTTATTCGAGGCAGGGTGCAGCAACCAAGCAGCGCGATGGTCAACGATGCCAAGGGCGTCCTTGGAGATGAGTGAAAAGTCCTTGCTGGAAGCCGGAAATTGTTGATTTCTGTTGATTTCTGTTGACTTCTGTTGTTTGGGTTGGGGCAGCATGTTGATAGATAATGACCCTTGATGACCTTTCTTGGAAAATGATACTTGGTCACGTCACTTATGTGGCAGGAGGCAAGCATTTGAGTTCCACGAAGAGTGTCCTCTTCACATTCTGTCCAGGATCATCTACGAAGCAAAGCTCCAACAATTCCCATCAGTACCCACACCATATCCATCCATATCCTATATTTCCGGAGCATATCTCAATGGGAATTCCAGGATCCTAAAATGGAGGTACTGTACATTACTGTACCATATAAGGCCATTGAATATCTGGGATGTTTTTTTTCCATATTTTTTCCCATCTCCCAGCTATCCCAGCCGGTCCATCCCGCCACCGACCTCGCGCAGGCGGAGGACGCCTCGGACGCCGCGCCGCTGGCGCCGCTGGCGGAAGCTTCGCCCAACGAGGCGCCGGTGCTGCAGCGCTGGCGACGGGCGCGGGAGGAGGCGATGCAGCTGTGGGCCACGGAGATCTTTGGATCTGAAATGATGAAATGTGTGGGCTACAGTATCTTTCCATCCTTTTATCTATCCATCTGACTGTCTGTCTATCTATCTGTCTGACTGTCTGACTGTCTGTCTATGTATATCTCTATCTCTTTTTTTTTCTCTCTCTCTCTCTATCTATATATATATATATACATACATTTAATTTTTTATAGTAATATTCATCAGTGTCTGAGGCGCTCTGACCACTTGTTATCCATGTCCGAAACCTTGTGTCGACTCTAGAGTCTTCACAAAAAGTCGCCAGCTGGAATTGATATTAATCATTAACCATGGGAAATCCATAGGAAAACCACAGGAAAACCATGGACACTTTGGACAGACCATGATCTTGCAACACTAAGTTTTGAACATGTTTGAACATGTTTGAACCAATTGTTCAAATAATAGATTTATTGGTGTTTTCTTTGGGGATATCGCGTGCGATGACTCATGGGGTATAACTTCAACTTATTTCGGCGATTTTTCACACCAGATCACCGGTTTCACGGTGGGTTTCTGACTGAGTTTGGTGAGTTAATGGATGGGTTTATCCACAGGAAAACATGTTTTTTTTTACCTCAAATGCAGGGTTTCCTACAGATTTTCCCACAAGATATGCATTTTGTGTAAATCCAATAGTGAACCGAACCTGGGCGAAACATGTCGGATTGGGTTTTGCCACCCATGCGTTTAGCACCGATATGGTAATTTGAGAAGTCCAACGCTCTTATGGTTTGAGGTGTTTGATTTCATCTGGTTAAAATCCACATGTTTGATGAGATCCACATGTTGTCTTCATTTCCTTACTTGGTTTCCATGTGTTTCCCCTTTACTGATGGTTTGGATTCGTAGGATTCCCCTACTTGGAAGTGCATTTCATTTCAAGGGCACCATATCCCAAGCTTATGTGGGTTTATAATGGTGTATACTTCTTTTTTGTTTGCATGGTTACATAGCCAGGGGAAAAAGAAACCGCCTGCACCCCCATGTTTCCCCCTTTAAAAAAGGTTCCCATATTAACCATTATCAACCATTATTAACCATTATTACCATGGCCTGCACCTTTGGCTATTATGGTTATAATTTATGGTTAATGATAATGGTTAATCTAATCTAGCCTTTAGGTTATTAACCATTACAATAAATGTTCACCTTTAGGTTATAGCCAGGGTGAATCTATCCTCTGGCCACCAAGGATGGCACAAGAGGCGGGTTTCGGCCGCGAGGAGCAGATGGAGGAGGAAGTGCTGACGGAAGACGAAGAGATCCGGGATCCAGGGCACTAAGAGCAGCCGGCCACGCGGCCTGCAGCGGGGACAGTGCTGACGATGACTGGAGTTCATCTTGGTAAGTTGATGTTAAAAAAATGGGAGATCTCCAGGATCCTAAGTCATGGAGGTACGTTAGTAAGTACCATTTTTCAGGCCATATGGGATATTCCCTGAAATTTAGGCCTAAGAAATAGGCCAAACATATATGGTAGGTACCTCCAATTTAGGTTCCTGAAATGGTCATTGATGTAAGTTCTAGCCCTGTTTTTTTGATCTTAGTGGGAGAAGTAGGGGACAAAATGGGTTAATCCACTTATAGGATCTTATCACTAGGGTGAACTAATCTACTTCCCTTGGGGATTACTATGAAGGGGTGAATGGAGGGAACTGTTCGGAGCTAGGGGTTGTTGGTAACCTAAAAATACCTTGAAAATAGAAAAGTCAATTGTCACTATTTACTGGTAGTTTATTTAAAAAAAACAACAGTTTGGAATGTTTTCCCATATTCCCGTTGAACAATGGGGAGCCAGGCAAGGAGCTACGAATTGAGTTCCAGTTATAGCCAGTGTTTTGTGGCCGTGAACCTCAAGTTTTTAAAATCTTTAGCTAATTTAGACCATCCCTGTTGATCATCATTTTAGATAGTGCATTTAGATACTTTTTTTAACAGATAGTCAACAAATGTATTTTGTATCCATTTAAAAAACAAACCATTCATAGTGTATGGATTCTGGAAAACTGGGATCTTGGTGCCGCAATGGGATCGCATGGGATGATCGTGCCTACTTCAGCCCTACTTTGGGGATATGGGGTGTAGGTGACCATATGGGGCAGAAACAGAGATTGAACGGATACTATACCCTGGGGTAAACTAAGATAAATGCGGAAAATCCCACCATTGGTAGACAATTTTCTGAGCGAGAAACCATTGGTTTTCATTGGTTTTCCACATCTATGTTAGTTTGCACTAAGGGTAATTAAGTCACAAGTCCATTGCGTAGGCCCCAGCCCTGTCGGTTTGAGCCACTGCTCAAGGCCATCTGAACCGGACCATTGGTTTGCGAAACAGCTTGCCGCAGAAAAATTAGCGCGAGTGCTTGTTAGCGTCGCCGCGTCATGACTGTTTGGGCATGATTGATGCGGACGCAACCCCATAAGGCCCATAAGCTAATGTATAGATGAGGGTCTGATGTTGAGAAACCATCAAGCTCATGGTCAGTCGGGTTTGGGATTCTACGCAAAATCATCGAGATACATTGATTAAATGCACATCCATGAAAGACGCTTCGTAATCATGTGGGGGACCCCATGCTTAAGAGATTGCACCTTTCAAATTTGTGAAAATACCAAGTATCAACCAAGCGGGCCCTGCCGCCCATGATGTTCCCTGAAGATAAGTCTAGTAAAACTTGGTAAATGGAACAAATTATTGTAAGGCATTATTTACATGATCTTGCTAATTTTTATAAGGTAGAAAAGTATATATGATATATATATATATATATCATATATTAATACATATAATGAAGATACGTAAGTAAAACCATAAACTGTGGCTAACCAACTGAATTGGAAATCTCAACTTGCGATTCCTCAGGATGTTCCCCAACATGGCTTAGTGACTTAGTGCCTGGCTTTTCGTCATTGGCTAACCGCTGCAGGCAGGAATGAGAAAAATCGCAAATCGCTGGAGGGTGCCGAGAAGTACGATCTCAGGGCCTTAGAACGAGCCTTGTGCGACCCATGGGGGCCCATGGGGCTATGCAGGGGCCGGAAGATGTTGGATTTCAGGGGAGGCCGGACGATGCCAGAAAAAGCATCTGAAGTTGGCAGAAAAAGCAGCGATTCTGATCTTTCACCATATGTTTTTTTTACAACAAGAAAATGGGAAGTTCATGACTTTAACTTCCTAGGTGTTTCAATATGCCGCCATCATGACTTGATACCTGGGATTTTGCAAGGAGAGGGCTCTTCTGGCTGGTGGTTTAGATTGGGTTTCACTATATACTTCAGTTTACTTGAGATGCCCTGGCAAAAAGGATGCTTATTTGGGATGATGAACTTTTTTTTTGTACTTTGAATTAGCTGACTTCAATTGACTTCAACATATTGGGATGATGAAGTGACTTGACCTACATTGCACGTAATGCAAGCATGTCGTAAATGATGTCCCTCATCACATCTGTCACTGGACCACAGCGCCTCCATACCCACGGTGTTTTTCTTGTCCTGAGGAAAGCTGGAGAAACGATTGACCACAGGCTATCGTACCTCGGCGGCTGTGGGAAAGCTTCAAAGCTTCGCAGATGTGAACGTGAAGAAGTAAGCACCGTGGGTTGGAATGTTTACCCTCTGGTAAACTAACATAACTATGGACAATCACCATTTATAGTGAGTTTTCCCATGAAAAATGGTGATTTTCCATAGTTATGTTAGTTTACCAGAGGGTACCAGGTATTATTGGATTACTGGATATTTCTTGATGTGCAAAACTGGATGTGGTAGGTTGAACGTTGATGGCTTACCCGCCTTTTTTCAAGGCGGGGAAGGGAGACATCCTGTCATGGCAAAGTTTCTGTAATGGGGGTCATAATCACCATCATCGGAGTCCGATTTTCGGGGAACTATGTGCACTATTCAGTATGTCGAGTTGTGTTTTAGGAACTCCTGGGAAATTTAGTGGGAAAACTGAAGGGAGCAACTGAGTTATATAATTCCCGATTGCTCACCAATACATACAATTTGTGAATGATGGCTTGGTTGGTGTTCTAGACCAACCTCATTTTTTTGCCTTTGCGAAGTAGGTAGGTCAATGAGTTTTTTTTGCTGGCTATCAATTAAGACTCTTCTTGCTTCCGATTCCTGCTGTTTTCAAGGGTGTCAAAAGGGATCCATTGGATGACAGGAACAGGTACACGACACATTTACTAAATATGCAGATGGTCCCTGCAACCAGTCCAGTCAAGAGCTTGTGATTTTTTGTTGATGTTGTGCTGGTCATGGAGTATAAACTGGCCATAGATATGGGGTTCGTTGTGGAGTCAGGAATTGTCAAGACTTCATACTTGATATGTAATACCACTACGGAGACACCCCCACATTTTATAAGTTGCTTAACTATCATTCACCTACCAAAGTAGTAATTTTCCACGTTCACTGTGACAACCATGGGGAATCAGTATATGTAGCCACCGCATTTGAGACACTTAAGACTGGTTGGAAGGTCCCTGCCGTCACGTCACCATCCGTTGTTCTGTGCTCTCCTCCAAGGTACCTCTTGCATTCGAACGGTGGAAACCTCAAGGGGTTTACCATGAACCGAAACATGGGTTGAATCTGCACGGTGCATGCCCAGTTATCGATAGATTTCAGTAGGAACTTATAGAAACAGATAGAACATTTTAGAACATGATATCCTTGGAAATTTATATATAGAAAAATCAATAATCAATCTGGGTTGCGGTTGAACATGAGCCCAGAAGATCCTGCTTTCCTTTCGTGCCCGAAATAAACACTTCCCATGGCATGCGCCATGCTCTTTTCAATGGCGAGGTTAGTTCTGTGTATATAGAAACATGGTAAAATTGGATGGGGAAGCTTACTAGTCCAATTCTTGGCTTCGCATGCCTTGAACAATATCATATCTCTCATGTTTCTTGTTACCAAGCTTTCTCCCCGGCATTTTCCATTGAGGCCTTGATGATTCTGGAGATGGGATTCTTAATTAAACAAGATCAGATGGGCCGTATGCTGGCGCAGTGCATGCAGAGACCTGGCATCGTAACTTGGCAGAGGCAGCAAACACGGACGTTTTCTGAAGGTGATGTTTCATTCCACCATTTGGGGAATCTATATTATATCGGATATGAATGGATATGATGTGTTGTTCTCATGGCCACTTAAGCAATCCAAGAGCATTATGACATATCAGTTTGAAGCCTAGCTTCGCCAGATGAAGCAGTCATAGACAATCGGCTTATCAAAGGTAGATTTCCCACCAAGTGCCCATCGTGGTGGTATTCAAAGAAGAGGAAACTTTTACTTGACAAGAAAGCTCTGTACAGCAAATTGGATCAAATTGGCACATATTAAAAACCACAAAAAAGCAGATGCAGGGGAAGCTCGTTTCCCACTAAACAGTTAAGAAATATGAGCTCTTTGCTCTTTCATGAAGTTTCATGAAAGTAGCACGATTCGGATTTTTTTTTTGGCCCCGAAAAGATGGAACTGTCATTTACCACTATGTTGGTAGGATTTTGTTGTTCAAAAATAAGAAAAAATCCAAGGGTCCAAGTTGGCAAGCTGCCTTTTCCCAAGATTCGTGACATGATGACCCTAGGTGCAGATTTGCATGACGATGAAGGTGCTGCAGATCGCTTGGATGCCCAGAGGATCCCAGAGGTTTTCACGAGACCAAGTCCTCGATTTCTGAGGGAACATGATCCACTGATGCAGGTAGTAATTCAACATGAAAAGAGTTGAAGAAAAAATTAGTCAGGAGTAACTTAAAAAGAAAAAACAATGATATAATAGCGTTCATGAGCAAGTTGGGACCCAACTGACCTAATCCAACTCCTGGGTTCCTTGATGTTGTTGGTTCCCATGAACCCTGGTGACGATAGAAGCAGGGAAACAAATCGTGGGAGAATGACCCAAAAGCAGTGGGATATCTATGGATATCTGGAGCTGAGTCGGTTCACCGACATTTCAGAGCTATTCAAAGCTTAACCTCTGGTAAACTAACATAACTATGGAAAATCACCATGTTCAATGGGTAAATCGCCATTTTCAATAGCTATTAAATTACCAGAGGGTATATGGATTGCAAATCTACCGAAGCTTCTGAAGGGGGATTTCGAGGAAATCCAGCGGCAAATTGCCGCTGACGCCTTGAACATGGGTTCCACCTTTGTAGATTTGTAGTTTTTTTTGTTGGCCATATGAGGATACATGAAATATGACATATGCTACCCAGCATTATTTGAAACACATATATTGTTTGCGGCAAGTCTTTGTGTGAAGGACTCAAACTTCATGTATTGGATGTTTAGAGCATGGAAGTTCGCCAATGGGAATTCTCATCCAATGTTAAACCCGGATGAATACCACCGCATGCTTTTCATATTAGGGGGTTCCCAAAATACTGATAGTTCATGACATTTCCCTTTATGACTGGTACCCCTCCCAATTCGTAAACTGGCGGTTTATCATTCCGGGGTTGAGACTATTGAACATCGCTCGAAAATTGACAAGTCTATATCAATCTTGACCTGGATCATCCACTTTCTGAGGGACTAAGTGGTCCAAAAACCAAACTCTCATTTTGAGTGTTTTTCTTTGTGCTATCCAGCCGCTGAGAATCCAGTCGCAGTCCTGACCCGCCATTTTTTTGCACAGAATCCCATGTAGAATCTTATCGCCTAAAGAAATCATATGATATAATCCCCATGTTGTTCTGCTTCAAATCATTGGTTTTTGCGGATTAAAAATCAACGTTTGCTCAGTGAAATAACTCCTATATCTGAGGTTATATCAGTATAGAATCCCATTTATAATCATCTATATACATGGTTTACCTACTAAACATGGTGATTTTCCACTTCGCTAGTCATAACCAGATGGTAATCCCACGCTTCCCTTCCGTTAAAGTGTGTCGTCTTCAGGTGCCAAACGCCATGATCCCGGTGGAGAGCTTCCTGCGTGGCCTCGGCGTGCTGGTGCAGCGCAACTTTCCGGTGTATCTGGCCATGGAGTCCATGGAGGGCCCTCGGGCCCATGGCGGTTCGGGGCAGGGATGCCATGTGTAGAATTTATATAGAATTCCCAATATATGGAACATTTAAACCATCAACAATAGGGACTTAATATGGGTTAATGGGACTTAATATATCTTAATGGGACTTAATAGATCTATATACTTATTGGTGGTTTTGGAACATGGCTGGATTATTTTTCCATATATTGGGAATAATGATCCCAACTGACGCACTCATATTTTTCAGAGGGGTAGGTATACCACCAACCAGATCATATATGATCATATATGGTGATGTTCTTCAAAATTCTGCGAACGACTTGTTGGATTTTTGAGGCTGTTCTAATTTGTGTTAATCATGATAATCATGTGCGTTCAATTGCTTGGAAGATGCTTTGGCAACTTCCATGGGTCATTTAACTAGCCATGGTGATAGTTAATGGATACATATGCTTTTATACGTAAGAGAGTACTTATTTGAGATGAACTTGTCCAAAAAACGGGGAAGCGCCAACATGGTAATGTTGATGGGAACGGAGTTTAGTGGTACTGTTCCTTAGACAAACCGGGCTATTTTACCGGCAACATTTGGCAGACAGGAGCCTCAAAAAAGTGTGTGATTTCATTGGGGCTTTAAGCCTTTGCTGCTTGATTGGTGAAGGGTCATGGACGTAAGATGGAAGGAATCATCCTTACAAAGTGGTGCCCCACTTGTGAAGCTGTTTATCAACTTATCCAAGTCCCAGTTCCAACATCAACTTATCTATCTACAACAACCAACAACCAACAACCAACAGCCAACAGCCAACAACCAACAACCAACAACCAACAGCCAACAGCCAACAACCAGCAACCAACAACCAACAGCCAACAGCCAACACCCAACAACCAACAACCAACAACCAACAGCCAACAGCCAACAACCAGCAACCAACAACCAACAGCCAACAGCCAACAGCCAACAACCAACAACCAACAGCCAACAACCAGCAACCAACAACCAACAGCCAACAGCCAACAGCCAACAATCAACTACCAACAACCAACAACCAATAACCACAACAACAACAGCAACAACAGCAACAACAACTCCTGTAAAACTATTATACCTGGATCCTCTTGATCGTAAAAAAACTCCACACCAAAGCCAAAATCGATCAATTTTGCCCAATTCAGGAGACAAATCCTGAACAGTTATTTTCACTCCAGAATGCTTCCGAACGTTTTTTGTGTGAAATCACCACAGCATCTTCAGCGCATGACATGACATTCCTGCTTGCTAAGGGTTTCAGGTGCCATCAGTTGGCCGTCCGATCTGCAGTGGCCACTCGAGCTTAGATTCTTTGCGAAAAAGGCAGCGTCCTTTGCACTTTCAGCCATGTTGCACATTTGCATTTGAAGACCTAACGCGTCGTGCAAGCGTTATGGTCAGTTGGCACCGGAGCCAACCTCTGGATGAGACAGATCCTTTCGAAGATGAATCTCTCGATTGGACACCTTCAGAGCTGGCACGTGAAGAGCGCCGACTGATTGATGAACGCTCTGATGGGACTCCTTCAGAGGTCGATCCTAGGGAACCTACTGAGGTAGCAGCCCGTTGGCGATGCTTGGTTTGTCGTTCTGCAGCTTGGAGCTGGGACTATGAGATGGGTTTCTATAAGTGCAGCCAGTGTGGAAGCTGTGATTTCTATGACGAAAACCGGCCGACCAAGCTGGAAACACAATCAGGCACTTGGATGTATGTCCCTCACAGTCCAAGTTCAGCGGGCAGTGGCGACTGTTCGGGTGACGCTGGGCGTGACATTTCCGCTCAAGGCTCCCCGATGTCTGCTGGCGAGGGCTTAGGTCAGAGTGGCCCCAAGACGGCTCGTGGCTTTCCTCCAGATGGCAATTCTGGTGGAAGATCCGAGACGCCTGAGAGTGAGGCACCAACCTATGACCCGGTCGTCAATCCAGATGGACCTTTTCATCAGGCAAGACGCCGACGCAGGCGAGCAGGTGGTTCAATGAGTGGAGCTAGCGAGACACTACAACGACCTCACCTTCCTGATGCTGCGGTTCAACGAGATGATCCTCCTAACCGAGCCCAACGCAATGATGACCGAGAAGACATGCTGTCAGTGATGCGACAGCTGTTGGACGAGAAGAAGCATTTCAACACAGGCAGCGAGGTCTCATGGAACAGTCTGCGGGGTCCCGCTCCTGGAGTTCGATGGAGAGGTGGCGCTGCACCACTTCCACCAAAGTGGACGTACCAGCAGTCGGACCTCAGAGCTTTTGCCAAGTTTGAGCGCAAAGTCCAGACTTGGGTGCTGCAGGCGAAGAGCTTCATGACAGCTTCAGAGATGGGATTGGCTTTGTATACCTCACTACAGGGTGAGGCAGAAGCAGAAGCCGAACATTTGGATTTGAAAAGAATCAACGACAAGAATGGCGTCAACTACATCCTTGAGGAGCTGAGGGGGCCTTTGCAGCAGAAAGTTCTGTTTCAGAAACGCAAGCTTCTTGCAGACTTCGAAGGCGTTAGACGCCATGGCAACGAGACTGTGCGACAGTACGTCAACAGGTACCGTCGCATTGAACGAGACCTTCAGACTGTTGGCATTGAGACCAGCACTATGTACGACAGTGAGGCCCGAGGCAACAGAATCATGGAGCGATGCCAGTTATCACCTGACTTGCAAAGATTGGTGATGATCGGGGCCGGAAACAGCCTTGACTATGCCAAGATCACCGAATCCATGTTTTTGCAGTTCCCGGACTTCAAGCCGACACCACCGATTTGGATCACTGGCGGGATTCGACAAGCACATCAACAGGGATCAGCTTCATCGTCTTCAAGCTCATCCTCATCCAAAGGCTCTACGGGGTCATTTAGGTCTTCGTCAACATCAGCTTCATCTGGAAAGGGCCGTTTCACAGGAAAAGGGAACACGCCAAAGACGTATCCCTACGGCAAGGGCCCTCCTCGTAGCGTCTTCCAAACGGAACACGAAGCTGGAGAAGATGAAAAGCCAGATGAAGCTGAAGATGATGAATTTGAAGATCCGCAGGAACCCAATGAGAATGACGAGGAGCTGGAACCAATCCCTGAAGGCGATGAAGACGCCGACGGTGATGGCGATGAACCTTTAGATGTCAATGCCTTAGCCGATCTTGCACAGGTCCTCACCGTCACCTCCAAGAAGCTTCAGGCTTCAGTGCTGGGAAGGAAGTTTACCAACAGAAAATCGATCGAAGAACGCAAGCGCACCAGCACGTGCAGTGCGTGTGGTCAGACCGGCCATTGGGCTGGCGACGCTGCATGTAGCGTTTCAGCACAGAAGCGCGACTCAGGTGGAAAAGGATTCAAGAGCGGTAGTGGGGGTTCGTCTTCCTTTTCATCTACATCCTCACATGCCCAGAAGAATATCAAGAAAGCCTATGTCGTGGGCATTCAGCACCACCAGCATGAACATGAACATGAACATGATGATGAGATCACTCCGAGCCCTTCTACCACTTATTTTTCTTTTACCACCGTTTCTGTTTTTGGCGCTGATTCAACATCCACTACATGGGTAACGGAAACCATTGACCTTGGGGGCTTCATGGTGTTGGACACGGCATGCCAACGTTCATGTTGTGGTGAAGTTTGGTTGAAAACACACGACAAGATCCTCAACACATACCACCTCCAAGTCAAAAAGGTGGATGCAACAGACCACTTTCAATTCGGCTCAGGCAAGCCGATCGCAGCTGCAGAGCGTGCCTATTTCCCGGTCCAGATGGAAGGCCAGGAGACCAAGGGAATCGTTTTTGGTGCAAGTGTTTTACCAACAAACATTCCGTTTTTGGCAAGCAGAACTCTCTTGGAACGTTTGGGTTGCATCATTGACATGTTCACGAAGTGCATCACATTTTCCAATTTGGGAGTGACATTGCCTTTGACACATAGACATGGGCACCTTGCAGTTTGTATTGTGAAGTTTTCAGATGAAATTGCGCGTCATCCATGCTGGAAGCAACTTTCCAATCCACATCTTTGGCAAGATCCTGATCCTGAGCTTTTACATGCACCTGGAGCTTTTAACAAAGGCTCAATTCGTGACCTTCCCCTGCAAGCGCTGCTACCGGCTGATGTTCCGGCAGACTGCGCCAGAATGGCTGAAGCGATGGGAGATGATGTTCATCATGGTGATGACCCTGCGGCTCAATGCTTTCAGGGCAATGTCAAAGATGGTGAAGTTCGGCCTGGCAAGCCGCCAATGGCTGACAATGTGGGAGCATATGGCCGAGGTGGAAGCACAAAGACGCGAAGTGATGAGGCCGGTGACATTGGCCAACCCGGCGACGTGCACTCACCCAGTGTGCCGCCGCTACGGGAACATCCACGGCTCTTTCAGCCGATGCAAGCGGTGCGGCCAGAGGTTCAAATGGGACCAAGACCAAGAAGGATGGCAACTTCATGGAGAGGCGCCATCGCAAGCTTCTTCGCACTTGCCACCGCCCTCATCTTCCACAATCCTGGCGAACCCTGGAACGAGCACGGGCAGGACTTCAAGAGCTTCGAGAACTACGACTTCGAAAGCCCGCGCCAAGCCCAAGGCGAAAGCAGTTCCAGTGGCCTACATGCCAGCTTTGGACCCGGCGGAGGATTGGCCAGAGACGTGGGACCCAGAAGCTTTCCCACCAGAGTCGGATGGGGGCGAGGACGGGTTTCAACCGTTCGACATCGCCATGGACATCCAGGACTTCACGTGATGGATGATGAAGAAGAGATTGATTGGTGGGAGGTTGACAAAAACACAGTTTCAAGGATCCACAACATCCCACGCAAAAGACTCTTCAATGTGAATGACCTTTACCAGGGCGATCCATGTCCAGTGCATGTGAGACGGTTGTGCACGGAATGCACAGTTGAAATGTTGTATGAGGATGGCAGGACACAGGTGATGAACTATGACTGGAACGTGTCCGGGGCATCCAGCATGAAACAACTCTGGATTGGAAAGACCACTTTTCGTCTTCACCCACAGCCACAACAAGGTTTTTCGACCAACTTGGAACGGAAGAACTTGCGACATGCTGTGCGCCAAGCGGCTCAAATACTCCAAGTTGAACATGATGTGATGATGGCCGGCACTACATCCACCTCACCTTTGACCTTGTTGAAGAGCAGGCCACGGGTGGATTTGCTGGAGACCTTCGCAGGACGGGCTGGACTGACCTTGAGGGCATCTCGCTTTGGCCTGAAAGCGCTTCAGCCCATTGACTATAACACCGGCTATGACTTGGAGAAACTCACACACCAACAACATGTGGATTTTCTGCTTGACCGCTTCAAGCCTCTCTTCCTTGTGCAGGGCATTGAATGCAAAGATTGGTGCCTACTTCAGGACAACACCAACTACGTGAGGCGCAAGATCCTGCTGCTCATGCGGAGAGAGAAGGCCAGAAAAGTTTTGCGGCGAGTTGTCCGCTGGTGTGTGAAACAAGCTGAAGAAGGCCGATACTTTCTTTTGGAAAATCCAGCAACAAGCCGCCTTTGGCTTGAACCATTGGTGCTCAAACTCCTACGACTTCCTGGAGTTTACTTTGTGGTGTGCCATTCAGGGGCCTATGGTGGAACCAACTCAAAGGGTCAGATGATTAAGAAGAGCTTCAAGTTCCTTGGCAACTGTCCCCATGTACTTGAGCGTTTGACCAGGAAACTTGATCCAGAGCAACTTCAACAATGCGTCCCTTTGGTTGGAAAAGAAACCACTCTTTCGCAGCATTATCCTGATGACATGATCAAACAGATTTTGCACGGCATCAAGCGCACTGCTGAGCAATTTGATCCAGACCGGTTTCAAACCTCTTCTACCATGCGTTTTCAGGTGATGGCTGTGAATACGACACCACAAGATTGGATGCCTGTTTTTGAATCTGCTCAAAGGTCTTTTGATATGACACGTCAGAGAAGCTACGTGTTGCCAACCTCAGATGTCACTTGGAGGATGGTTCAACAACTTGTGCAATGGCATCGACTTGAACGAGTGCAGATTGCCTTTCAACCTACGATGCTGCGCTTGCCACTGCACATCCCCCACACACATCGTGGGTGTGCCCTTCTCTACAACGAGCAGACCGTGGAGGTTGTTGAAGAGGACCTGGCAGACATCAGACATCCACGTGCCAAGTTCAGGAAACCAGTGAACATTGGCGTGTTTTTCTTTGGCTATGCGGCAGCCGACAGAAAACCTGAGTCAGCACAACCTGAGATGCAACATCCACCGCGAGAACCAGTCGAAGATGATCCACAAGTCATTGTGGCTAGCAACACAACTGGGATCTCCTTTCCAAAGATGCCTGGCTTGTCGCAAGACATCAAGACGGCCTTGTCGCGGCTACACCGCAACCTAGGCCACCCTCATGCCAACGAGTTGAAGAAGATGCTTGCGATGAACGGCATCAAGGATCAGAAGATCTATGACGCCATTGAAAGCCTCACATGTGAATCTTGCTTGCGTGTGAAAGGACCTGGTAGACCAGAACCTGCAGGTATCCCTCAAGATGTTAGCTTGCAATTTGGTGACGTTGTGCAGATGGACCTCGTCTATGTCAGGGACATAACGTCCACCAACCACATCTTCCTGGGCATCATAGATGAATGCACTCACCTTCATATGGCATTGCTTTTGTCTGACCGCAGCCCAGAGGAGGTAACCTTCAAGTTCACAACACATTGGGCAAGATCGTTTGGCTATCCACTCAAAATCAAAGCTGACCCTGATGGGAGTTTACGAGGCTTCTTCGAGGAATCCATGGACCAAGCTGGAACCTTTTTGGACTATGTGCCGGCTGAGAACCACTCCAGGATAGGCCTCATAGAGCGAGACAATTCAACACTGCGAGAATTGATGGAACGCACCATCGACAGCAGAGCAGTCGTTGGACCAGAAGCCATGGAGCTAGCTGCAGTTGCCGCTTGCTTTGCAAAGAACTCATGCACATGGTCTTCTGGCAGGCCACCTTTTGTTGCGGCTTTCGGAAGGGTGCCTAGAATGGGCATGAATCTCCTCTCAGACAAGCATGGTTTGATTGCTGGAAGAACCCGAGAACAAGCCCAACGAGAAGCTGACTACTTGCGTGCCGAAGCACAGCAGCATTTGTCAGCTATGAGTGTGGATAGCAACCTTCGACGTGCCTTGCTGCGCAAGTCAACTCCAAATGATCCTCAAGAACTACCAGTGGGCTCCATTGCTGCCTACTGGCGATGGACAGCCAAGTCAGGCAAGAAGCGAGGAGGATTCAAGTTGGCTCGCGTTTTGGGCCGTGATCCCGACAACAAAAGCATGTGGTTGCAAGCAGGCACAAACACCGTGAAGGTGTCACCTCATCAAGTACGACCAGCACTTGGATTTGAGCACTGGAATCCTTCATATCAGGACATCAAAGCTCTTAGGACAGCCGCTGACAACCTTCAGCATGGAGTTTTTCAAGATGAACAACTTCCACAGCCACCTGAAGGACAAGAGCTACCTGGCTTTGATGAAGTTCAACCTCAAGTACAAGTGCCACCACCACTTGGTGTAGGAGATGACGAACCTGAAGCACCTGGGGTCGAGCTTATTCCAGTGCCTTCCACGCCAAGACCTGTTTCAGTACCACAATTACCTCAACAACAATTAACTGAAGAAGCTACACAAACAGATCCATACCAACAAACTACAATCAACATGAATATGTCATCACCAACATATCGCCAAACCATCATCCAGAAACAGTCCTTTGGCATGACTGAAGCACAACAAGCTCAACCACGAGTCAATATCCCTGTGCGCAAACCACACAGGTCGAGGTCAAAGACGCCAGCCAGGCAACTACGTGACCCAGCTTTGACAAGTGGAACACCTCTACCTGCGACACCACGACAATCGCAAGGTGAACAAACTTCAGTGCGACAGTCACATGCTGAACCTCTTTCAGAGCAACAACCAGGACCTTCTTCAGTGCAACAGCTGAGCGGTTCACCTTCTGCATTGGCCTTGCCCAATCCAGCGGGTGCCGCAACACCACCTTTGCCTGAAATGCCTCCGACAGATGTCATTGAGGTTGCAGACAATGATGATGATGATGCAGCAGTTCAACAGGCTTCACAACAAGCCGTGCCTTCAAGCTTAGCTGCAGCAGACGAGATTGGTCAACAGGCTCCATCAACACCGGAAGCCTTGAAGTTGACACCAGCCAAAAGAACCTTTCAAGAAGCTGCAGCCGAGGGGCCTTTTGATGTTTCAATTTTACAATCCACTCAAGATGAGAGGGTTTTGAATTCATTTGCAAAAGACCACTGCATTGACTTTGACATCAACGATGTCGACGGCATCACCCGCATGACTGATGGATTTGATGGATCTCCTGAGGTCCATATGCCATATGCCAGCAAGACCTTCATGGCAGCCTACCGCAAGGACACCAACTACACTGGCAATGGCGACAGTGATGAATCAGATGCCGAGGTTGAGGATCTCCGTGGACCGCGAGATGCCATTCCACCTACCTTGACTCGGCAGGAGAAGAAAGCTTTGGACAAAGAGATACCTTGGCAGACCATTCTCAACATGGATGACAAGACCATCCAGGCCTATGTCGATGCTGCCAAAGCCGAAGAAGTTTCATGGATGCAGTTCAACTCTGTGAGACCTGTCCCTCGAGAAGAAGCACGCCGCATCCTCAACGACAAGGTGATGCGCAAGCGCGTTTTGAGATCGCGCGCGGCATTCAGAGACAAGTCAAGAGGGGTCGGACCTTTGAAACCAAAATGTCGAATTGTTGCCGTGGGGTGCACAGATCCAGACCTATGGACGTTGCAGAGGGAGAGTGCCACACCCACAAGGCAGTCTGAATTTTTGGTTTTTGCAATCTTCATCGCTGGCAGAAACGGCAAGATGATGGGCAATCCGATAGCATGCTGGACCTTGTGGGCAGGTGATGTGAAGACTGCCTTCCTTCAGGGCGAACCAGAACAGCGTAGCATGCCCTTGTTTCTCTTACCACCGACAGATGGCATTTGCAAGCAGGCGAAGATCTTTGAGAACGCCGCGCTTTTGGAGGTGGTGGGAAATATTTACGGATTGGCCTCAGCCCCAAGGACATGGCAACTCCACGTCGTCAAGATTCTCAAGAGGATTGGATATCAACAATCCAGTCTTGACAAGATGCTCTTTTACTACTACCAGAAGTTTGACGGCGAGAGCCAACCAACACTATGCGCCGTTGTGGTCGTCTATGTCGATGACTTTCTCATGGCCCACGACATGCGCTATGACAGAAGCCACTTGCTCAGCCAGTTCAAGTGGGGCAGCCAGAATGAGCTTTCGCTGGAGAGCCACTTAGACTTCAAGGGCAAGAAGATCTCCTTGAAGTATGACAGCTCCTCCAACGAGTATCAGCTCAAGCTCGACCAGGAGAAGTTCATATCTGAGATGAAAGGCGGAACTGTTTCTAAAAAGATGTTTAAAGAAACCCTGAGCACCGCCGACCTGGGAGAGTTCCGTAGCGTTTCTGGGTGCTTGCAATGGCTGGCCGGTCAGACCCGACCAGATGTTGCTGCCATCGTTAGCTTGTGCAGCAGGGGTGCCAAGTCGACCTATGAGGACTTGCACAACATGTACATGGCCGTGGAACATTTGCACCAGACCAAGACCGACGGCTTGATCCTGCGACCTGTGCCCATCGATTACTCCACCATGGTAGTTAGCTATGCAGACTCAAGCTGGGCGAACTCAGTCGGCTTTGCAAGCCAACATGGTGCACTGATCATGCTGGCGAGCCCGAAGGCGACAGACGTGATTGAAGCAGGACTTTTGGTAGACTGGAAATCATCACGTTCAACAAGAGTGTGCAGATCAACGCTGGCAGCGGAAGCTTCGGCAGCTGACATGAGCGTCGACCGCTCAAGCTTGGTGAACTATATGCTGAGCGAGCTCTTACTGAACCGGCCGGCGTTTCACATTGCCAGTTGTGATTTACTCCGAATGGTTCAGGCAACAGACTGCCATTCGCTGTATGACGTTTTGGTCAGTGAAAACCCTCGAACAGAGGATAAACGCACAATAGTCACCATTAGGTCAGCCCAACAGTTTTTGTCCAGAGACGATGTGTTTTGGATCCCAACGGCCCTCCAATTTGCCGATGGTTTGACAAAGGTTAGCATGACTTTGATGGCAACCTTTTACCAGTGGCTGCAAAGGCCTTGGATTCAACTGCACGAATGCGACAGGAATGTCAAGCAACAAAGTAATCCCAGTGTGAAATCACCACAGCATCTTCAGCGCATGACATGACATTCCTGCTTGCTAAGGGTTTCAGGTGCCATCAGTTGGCCGTCCGATCTGCAGTGGCCACTCGAGCTTAGATTCTTTGCGAAAAAGGCAGCGTCCTTTGCACTTTCAGCCATGTTGCACATTTGCATTTGAAGACCTAACGCGTCGTGCAAGCGTTATGGTCAGATTTTGAACTTTTTGTTCCACTCCAGAACGTCCGAAGTGCCCCGAAGGGGAAAAACGCTTCGCTGTTTTTTTTTCCACCCCAACCTCCAAAATAGATCCTGGTTGGTGGTTTGGAACATTTTTTATTTTTCCATATGTTGGGAATAATCATCCCAACTGACTAATATTTTTCAGGGGGTTGAAACCACGAACCAGTGGTCAAGGAATCATTGCAAAAATCGTCCAACTGTGTTTGATGATGGGCTGGGAGACTGATCATAGTCCATCAAATTTCGGAGTAGACCACAATGGCGATTTGAGCTTCCAGATGACCAGCAATCTGCGTTCTGGGCCAGATGCAAGCAGGAGAAACTTGAAGCCAAGGCTGGTAAGTTCAGCTACAAGAGTGTGCGCAACTGCCTCGTCACATCCTTGAAGGAGGAAACCATCCGTCAGAAGAAGACTGCAGTGGGTGGCACATACCTTCCCCTGAGCGTCTATAAGCAAAAGGGCTACAATGTGGATGATGGATTCGCTGAGAGAAATCATGCCATCTGGAGCAATGGCCTCAATGAATGGACCTACCTCCAGTTTGAAAATCATCATCTTTAATGGGTAAATCAACTATAAATGGTCCATTTTCAATAGCTATTTGTTTGTTTACCAGAGGGTATATGTTGTTTCCTCGTTGTCTCCCCCAGTTTGAAATGTCATGCGGTCTAGCGACGCTCGTAGACTAGAAGATATTCTGGGAGCACTTGACAAGGATCCTCAGGTGTTCTGCCGCTGCTCTGGCTGGTTGATTTTGCTGGCTGATTTCATCCCATGGCCATCATTGCTGGAAGGTGTTGAACCGGTGATAAGCCAAAAATAAACCAAAGCCAAGTTGTGGTGTGTCATTGGGTATGCCCCTATTTCCGGGTGATTTCTAGAAGCTTCCAAACAGTAGATGTTTGGGGATGGTTCATCATTGGGACAAGACATTGAAAAGGCTTCAAACTTTCCAACCCAGACTTTCCTTGGCGAATTCCAGTCTTGGGAAGCTCCAGGTAAACCGCCTTGGCTGAGGCAGATCCTTCGAATGTGGCTCAACATGGGCTGTCCCAGGGATCAACGTTCCTTGCGCGCCCTGCCGTGTCTCGGCGCAGAGTCAGACTCATGGCCAGGAGCAAAAAAATCACCAGTGTATTATAGACTATACAAAGTGATGATGATTTATCACTTTTTTGGGGCAACCCTGCGCGGCCCGCGCAATTAATAGTTATTCATTAATATTATTTGATTGACCCATGTAATGCTTATAACGTGAAAATCATATTCTGGGTTCCTGGGCGCTATTTCTGGGTTCCTGGGCACTAATTCTATGTTCTTTCATGGTTCTGGAACTAAAGTGCTGTGGAAATAGAATTTGACTTTTGCAATGTCCAAGTTTGGGTTCCTTTGACCATAAGGGGTTCGGCTATCAGATTCTTAACCCAGAACCGCCCAGGATTGCCCAGGACTTCCCAGGACTACCCAGACACTGCCCAGGTACTACCCAGGAATCCTGGAACAGTTATGCTAAGCATTGCAGAATTATAATGCTTATCGTAAGTGTCACCGAAACGGTTTGGCGTCTATAATGCTTGGCGCAACTGTCAGGTCGATTCCTGGGTAGTACCTGGGTACTAACTTCTGCCAGGATGTACTTCAACACTACCCACGAATCATCTCCAAGTTGTGACATGCATTAGACCGCGCTACTGAGCTATCCCAAGCACCAGATGTCCTAGTTTTTGAGTGGTCAAGCCCCCACTTTCTTGATTTCCAGCCCCTGGCCGTGCCAGCCTCGGTGCCGCGCACCGTGTCCCAGTTTTTTCCCACGTTATAAGCATTACGTGGGATAATCAAAATATTATATATATATATAATTTTATATATATATATAAGATTATATATATATGTGTGTGCTGTTATCTAACTTGCCATGCAGAGGGATTCTTATTCATTTACCAGCCAAAAAAAGAAAATGACAAGGTATGTAAGATTGGCCACGAGATAATCTGGGGCAACCTTGGTTGGCATGGAAGTTTAGCCTATTGAAATAGAGGGTTTTGATGGCAGATCGTGAGATGGCCAATATGACTAGTGAATTCTCATGAAATGGGATCTGAAACAGTAAGATCCGGATCTAGTGGGGGGGTTCCCTTTGCAGTAGGATCATTAATATCATTGAAGATTACGCTTAAAGATTTCTGTCATGTTTGTGGACCAACCTCGGTGAAGTTTTTTGTTGGCAATGTTGATGGGAAAATGGATTAACCAGTGGCCAACCTACTATTCAGCTACACGAGTCACTTGGTATCGAAGATTGTCTATGGGTTTAGTCCTGAATTTGCCAATCCACCCGGAGCAGCTTTGCTCCAACATGGTGTTGCTACTGCAGGTACGACTACGACGAGGATGAGAAGAGGAGAGCAAAGCCATGCCACGCCAGACGCGGTGGTGTATAGTGGTGTCACATTACTAAACTTTGAGTCATCAGGTGTGATTGGGTGACATGGTACACATTGAATTGGACAAATTGATGGGTTCTATCTTGGATATCTTGGATGTGTTTTCTTTTAGGGGGATAGTTCTCATGTCAAGCTTCCATAAGATTGATTTCGCTTCACTTTCGCTGCCCCTTGGACACAATTTCCATTTTTCCAAGTGGTTTATATAAATCAACTTCCCCATGTATACAATATATATATATTTATGATTCTAGAATATATACATATAAGTATATATGATTATATGTATAATTATGTGTATATATAATATCATATTTAATATATCATATAATATCATATTTAAAATATTATATAATATCATATGTAAAATATATGATATAATAAATATGTTTAAAATCCATTCCACAACCAGGTCACTAGGTCTCCATCCACTTCTCTTTGCGGAGGATGGTAGGGCAAGACCTGGAGGATGCCCTGGGCATCATCACCGACGACGAGGAGGACCGGAAAGGCGCCGATCGACGGGTGATCCTCGTGCAGGACCATGGCTGACTGGTGGGACGGTATGGCCCAACTATGAGTTACAAATGGGATCAGATAAGGCCGATAACTAAGGTTTTTTATATGTACATATTTAATTATTTATGCATTTATGTATTTATATATGTATGTATTTATTACTTATTTATTGAAATATTTATATATATATATATGTATACGTAGTATGTATGTGTATATATATATATATATATTTTTGCATATATATATATATACATATATATATATATATATATCACTCTCTCATTATAATGCCATTTATAGCTGTTAAGGACGACAACTGTGGATGTGGTGGGATGTGGAAGAAGAAACCATAGGATTTCATCGGGAGGATGTAGCACCTTTGGATCCATTTCAGAATAATGTGGTTAAACCAATAACCCAAATCACCATCAATAGGTGTTATAAACAATTCCAAAATGGGGGCTTTATTATTATGTTTCCCACATTAAACAGTTTCAAAGCTTCAAACAGGGCAGAAATCGTGAACCAATTGCCGTGAAGAACGTTGGGTGCCAGGACTGCAAAGCGAGGCCGGAGCTGAATGGCAAATACGAAGCTTGGCGCAGGGCGGAGCCGAAAATCCTCTGGATGGCCATACGGTTGGCTCCAAGATGGGTAGTTGATAGCAACGTTGGGAACAAGAACTCCTGAGGAGATTTGACAACAGAAGGGGGTCATATTTTTTTGGACAAAAAAACGCTAGTTTTAAGAACCATGATATTTGAAGCGTAATCATTGGCAATCAACGAGCAAAAATGGCTAGATTTGAGTACCTTGGGGAGATACAGATAAAAACAAATGAAAGATTTGGCAAGGAAACTATGTCAGGTTGCAGTGTTTGGCGTATTGGAACCCGTCAATATCGAGACAGTTATCATGGAATATTCCAATCGGATGGGTATCAATTAAGCTGCTTGATGCTTACGGTTTCTGGTTTCTGGATGTTTCTGGAGCACCGGCAGATTCTGGTTGGTGGTTTCAAACATTTTTTTATTTTCCATTTCATATATGGGTTGTCATCCTTCCCATTGACGAACTCCATCATTTTTCAGGATGGTGAAATTGCACCACCAACCAGTAATAGTGATTAACCAATAGATTTGGGGATATATTGATATCTTATTTTCAGAAAAACAGACATTTGGAGCACCAACCAGGATTGTTTTGTTACCAACTGCAGTGAAGAGATATGGGAGAGATTGTTGGGAAGCCCTGAGCTGCTGAAGATCTCCATGAGGTCGCCTGAACAGCCTGTCAGTGATGTCCTGTCTGAGAAAAATCAACGCAACATTTCGAAATACATAGGAACTGTATACACTGTAATCTTAATAAATCAATATTAGCAAAAGGAACCCTAAGTTTACCATGTTTTATGGGTGGTGCAAACCATAAAATCCATAAATCGGGTGGTTTACGACATTACTTTACGAACATGACACCATCGTTTCCCGTTCAAACGACGCCACGACCCATGATGACCTCATGACTGAACTCTTGAACCAACAGGAACGTTCGTCCGACCTGATGGCCAACGGCCGGCCCGTCTTCGAAAAGAAAGCCGAAGTCACTTCGGCGGCCAACGGGCAGTGGCCATCAGCTGGGTTACCGGGGTAAATCATGGAGAGTCAAGATGGTAAATTTTGGATAAATGTGGGCAACCCAATGCCATGATAAATTTTGGGGATGGTTGAAATCCCACCGAAGTTGTGATTTTGGGGAGGGTTGACTATTGGGTTTGCTAAAAACAACCTACAGTATGCCTGTAAATGGCGCAGGGCGCAACTGGTAGGCGTATCACCGCATACAAACAACATTCAGGAGTGAATGTTGTTCACCTTTGTTTGGTTGCTTGGCTTTTCAGATTATTATTTTGAGCAACCATTCCAATTTCCGCCTATCCGTCACCATTAAAAGGTCGCTCCAACAGCATGGACGTATGAGTAGTGATTGGTTGTTGTACTTCGGACTAGATTTATGATGATTTATGCATGTCGCGATTTGTTGTGCCTCTTTTCATGTTCATGGACTTGCTGATCTTGCTGTTTGTTCCATGACCCAACCCCACATGCACCTCCAAACATGCGGTGAAATACACCGGTTGCCCGCCGTGGTGTTTACCAAGATGCACCACTATCACAAGGTCAATCCTCTGGTAAACCAACATAGCTAGTGGCAAAAAGAATCAGCCATAAATGGGACATGTTCAATAGCTATGTGAGTTTACCACAGGGTAAGTGGTAAACAGCAAGGATCCCCGGCACACCATGCCCTGGCCTAGGTCAGAAATCGAAAAGGCAAAGGCAAAGGCGCCTCGACTATGTTGGAAGTTCCGTACGACGTAGAGAGCGATTTGAAGCCGATGAAATTTCCAGTTTTCGTGATGTACCTACAAAATTGAATGCATACATATATAATCATATATAATCACATATGCATGCACACGTTACATATAAAGTAAAGGATACTCCCTTACCAGAACTGACCACAAATTCCTCAAAAACAAAAACGTGTTTGTGCTCTTTGCAGCTTGAGCCTGTTGAACTATAGCAGACAGGTACCACAACCAACCATACATTCCTACAAAATGATGAAGGTAGGTTGTGGGTGTGGGAGGTAACCATATACACATGTAGATTCATGCCCCGTTGACTTGGGATCATCGATCATTCCAAGCTCTTATATTCATTGGGCATTGCAGGAACCTAAATTGGAGGTACCTACCATATATTTGGCCTATATAAGGCCTATGTAATTAAGGGAATATCCCAGCAAAATATGGCCTACTTATATGGTACAGTACCTCCATTTTAGGATCCTGAATTTCCCATTGATATATATGTTAATGTTTTTTTTCTTGGAATGAAGCCATTTACCAGCAACATGCTTCAATCACCGTCAATCACCTTCAATCAGAGATTATATAAACTAAAACGATCCAAAATGATTTCTATTTGTCTGAAATTTTGCTCCAAAAGTTCAGCTTCACTTGGCAACACCAAACCTGACCTCAAAATCGACTCTGGAACCCCAATTTTTTGAGGGCCGTCTTCCAAGCTATTCAATGGTTTCCATATTTTGTTTCAGCTGATGTTGGTGGATGCCATGTTCAACCGCGGGAGGGGAACAGCTTTGACTAACCCTGTACATTGTCACTTTGAGACACCAATGAATCTGGAATTTTGTAGTTTGACATATTTCCATCTAGCTGGGATGATTATCCGCATCCAATAAATAAATATATGTGTTTATTTATTTATTTGGAGTGGCTCAACCACAAATCATATGATATATGATTATCTTTGCCACCCATGCATCCACTGGTTACCATTTTTCCGAACAAAACTGGCGATCTCCCACGGGTTTGTTGGCGACGAGGCAAGGGAAAACATGATGCCAACGAGATGAAGAGATTGCTGATGCCTCATATGTGGCTGGCTTGAGCGAAAACAAGCCGTTGTTGTTGGGACAGTTGAGTTGATATCTATGGTGATTATATAATTACCCTCTGGTTATGTCAAAATAGCTATTGAAAATGGCCATTTATAGTGAGTTTTCCCATTGAAAATGGTGATTTTCCATAGTTATGTTAGTTTACAAGAGGGTAATGGTGATTTATGGTGGTTATATAATGGTATAACGATGGGATAACAATGGGATATTGTGATTAATGGCCATAGATGTCCCAATTTCCCATCAATTGGTTGATTAATAGAGGGGTTTGAAGAAACCCCTTTGACAACAGGTTTCTATGATGATAGATGGTATACCATGGCCATAGATGTCCCAATTTCCCATCAATTGGTTGATTAATAGAGGGGTTTGAAGAAACCCCTTTGACAACAGGTTTCTATGATGATAGATGGTATACCAGCTCCCGGCCCCTCTATTTTTACCAAAAGGACATTCTTGGAAATCAAGCCGTTGTTGTTCTTAGCAGACATGGATGCAGATCTCTTTTCATAGGACAACTGGAAGGATTGGCTTACACCCTCTGGTAAACTAACATAGCTATTGAAAATGGCCATGTATAGTGGATTTACCCATTAAAAATGGTGATTTTCCATAGTTATGTTAGTTTACCAGAGGGTAGATGATGGTCAAGGAATCATCGTAAACATCGTCCAACTGTGTCAGATAATGGGGAGATTGATCATAGTCCATCAAATTTCGGAGTACACATTTGTTTCAGACAAAGCACCATGGCGATGTACATACTATACCATCTGGATCCATCTGGTTATGACTAACAGTTTGCCATGGAAAATCACCATGCTATTAATAGGTAAAGCATCTATTTCGATTAGGGCCATCGAAAAACCATGGCTATGTTAGTCATAACCAGATGGTACATACTATAGATTACGAATGATTATGAGTTTTTGAGGGATTGATTTGTTGCAGATCCGACACCGGAGAGTTTGTTGTTGTGCCTCGAGTGTTATTTTCTTGGCTGTGCCATGGAATAACTTGGTGATGATAAGTGAGTTACATGCCATACAATACCCAGTTATCCAGTTATGTTTGGCAGTATAAGCCAGTTATCATCATCGATCAGCTAATATTATGCGGGGCCCATCTAAGTTGGAGTTATAATAGATAAATAAGTAAATAAATAAACAAACAAATAAATAAAGAAATCAATAGATATGTACGCATATTATCATAAAAGATCAGATGATTCAGCCCCCAGGTTGGATGATGATGACATCACCGTGGAAGTCATGGTGATCCACTACCTGAAGGACGGAAAAAAAAAAACATGACCTTTCGTCGCCTTTCGTGAGCCGCGCCATGTTCTACCAGCTACTGGTATATCGGAACCAAATTGACAGGTATACTACATATACCTTGGTAAAGATACAGTAAGAGTGTGCAGGAGGATCCAATTCAAGGAATGGTTCACTGGGCAAAGCTTGTTTGAGTAGTACGATGGAGCAATATACGTCCTAAGCCTAAGCAAATTATTGCTAGGTATTCAAGACTAGCTCTGTTCATATCCCTATTTGAATTGACTTTCAAAGGGGTATCCAAGTTTAGCAATGTTTGCGATTAGTGTAGAATCCATACCGAACCAGCTGGTAACAGGGACTTTGTCCTTGGTTCATCAGCATCAGAAACTCGTTTTAGTATCCGACATTTGACCTCGGAAAACGATCAACATTTGACCTCATCAATTCAATCTGATTGATTTCGTCCTTCATTTTGGCCCAATAGTTGGAAACCATTCCATCTGTCTTCAAATTTTCAAATCATGGGTAGAAGGGGATTCAACACTTCTGACTTCTGACTTCACAGACGCTGGCATACCATCATGAACATCTTGTTCTTGTCAACCAGCCTTTGTTGCAGCTCCAAAATATTCCACCTGCTGGGCCCCTCATAGTGGCCTTGTCCAAATCAGTCAAATCCCTTTCCAAAACAATTTTTTTGGAGGTTCCAATGGTTCCAATTGCGGGTTTTTTCAAGGGAGCAGAGCTGAGCTGAAGTTCCTTGTCTATTTCTGCAGGATTCCAAGGGCATCAATACTGGCTGGTGGATCAGGAAGAATTCCTGCACAGGCGAGCTGCAACCCGAGAACGGTGTCGTTGCAAATGGCGGAGCTGGAGCCGGGTATGCCTTGTTTGGTAGGTTGGTAGCTGTTTGTTTGGGGGCATGAAAGGGAAAATAGATGAAAATAGATGAAAGTCGACTAACCACTTTCTTTAACCAGTTCAACCAACATTTTGTTGGCAGGGTATCTAAACTTTTCTTAGAAGGGGGACATCCGTTTAGAGGAGTCATTGCCAATCAATAGATAAGATCCACCACAGTAGGGGTTTGCTAAGTCGCTTAATGATTGTTAATGCATGTTTCTGGGTAAATTATAACGACCTCACTGCGACCTCACTATAATCATAGTTAGTAGGGGAAATGATCCCCAAATGGCCTTAATTCAGGTTAGTGAAATATTATAATTTACCCAGATGTTTATGGTGGTTGATAACCAAAATTTCCATAAGGTATTCCTTTGCAGCCGTGTTAGCCGCGTTTTCCAGGATTGCCACACTTTTCGAAGACGACTTGGTGAACGTTTGGTCAATGGGATCATGATTAGCTTTAAATCAAGGAAACTAGACTTCTACAGTATCCTGTGCCTGGTGATTTCTTATGATTTCTTTTTGCATAGTAGCCGAAGTTTTTGACGTGTTGCAACTTGCAAGTGTCTGAACAATCCCTATTTTTGTGACGGTCATTCCTGTCTTTTGATGTTCTTGGTGATGGATTGAGCTCACCAACCAATGTCACCCGAACTTGATTACCTCAGATGATTTGAAACCAGGTTCGTCAACCCAGGGTGTAGGTCTTGTTTTGTTCCATTTGTATCCATTTGTGCAGAACATGTGCCCGTTTTACTTCCTGAACATCCTCAATGGATTGGTTGAAGCTGACGTGAAGCTGACGACATGCGGTTGTTAGATGTGACGGCCTCCCTATATCATGGTATACCTACGGACTTTCTAAATCAATCCATTGATGTTATACATAATCCATTTCCGAAACCAATGTGAAAGGACGTTTCTCTATATTAATCAAATTATCAACTTTTATTTAACATGTATGATTAATTTTAAAAGATTAATCATTAGTACTAATTAGATCTAATTAGTATTGTATAATCTATATTAATCAGGATAGTAAGTTTGCAGATTCAACCGTCATTAATTTTTCAAACAAATGACCAATTGAATATGTATGATTCATGTATTTGATGACGTCCTCCTCAATCTCCAACTGGCTTCATAGGAAAATCTAAAAAATCGACAAGAAACCACGGAGATGTCATGCATTTTCCTATGAAAATACGATGGTTTCGTAGATTTGTTCCACCTTAAGCCATGGATTTTTCGGAATCGACGCCCTGCGGCAGGTCCAGGCCTGGCCTGGAACGGGCGCGATACCAAGGGCCCTCCCACGGGTGGATGGTTTGTGATCCGCGATCGCCAGAAGCTGCCGGATCCAGTGGCTTCAATGGGATTAATGGTGCTTTGATAGTGGTTGAATGGCACAAGGGGATTTATATGGTACTTTAAAGAATCACAAAAAAATGATGATGTAAACTTAAAAAAAATAAATAGATAGATATATATACATATATATATATACAGGAATATATATAAAAATGGAATGATATAAACACTGTAAATACCGATGTTTTATGCATTTGGAGGGTCTAAAACCCTAGTAAAACACACTTTTTTCATCATGATCTTGACATGAGATATGCAAAAACATTGACAGGCACCAAAAAAACAAAAAAAAACAAACCACTAGATGCACCAAACATCGACAGGCACCAAAAAAAAAAATGCCAGCAACTACTCAGAAGTGGACCCATAGTTCCTGGAAATTTTAGTTTTTTTGTTTTTTTTGGTGCCTGTGCAGGTTTGGTGCATCTAGTGGTTTGTTTTTTTGTTTTTTTTGGTGCCTGTTCAGGTTTGGTGACTCTGACTTCACAAAACATTGACAGGCACCAAAAAAAACAAAAAGAAACAAAAATTCTAGCAACTACTCAGAAGTGGACCCATAGTTCCTGGAAATTTTAGTTTTTTTGGTTTTTTTTGGTGCCTGTGCAGGTTTGGTGCATCTAGTGGTTTGTTTTTTTTGGTGCCTGTGCAGGTTTGGTGACTCTGACTTCACAAGACATTGACAGGCACCAAAAAAACCAAACCACTAGATGCACCAAACATCGACAGGCACCAAAAAAACCAAAAAGAAACAAAAATTCTAGCAACTACTCAGAAGTGGACCCATAGTTCCTGGAAATTTTAGTTTTTTTGGTTTTTTTTGGTGCCTGTGCAGGTTTGGTGCATCTAGTGGTTTGTTTTTTTTGTTTTTTTTGGTGCTTGTGCAGGTTTTGTGTATCTATTGGTTTGTTTGTTTTTTTTTTATGCCTGTGCAGGTTTTGGTGATTCTAGATTGTGTATGTTTGGATCTTGGCCATATTTTAAACTTATGTTTCAAAGAAGCAAACATACCGTTATCTTTGAATAGCTATGCCACCACACAGGTTGCGTGACCTTAATATTCAACAGCTTGACACACGTCTTTGTCTCTTAGGCTTTCTCTCTCTCTCTGTCTAACTATTGAAATGAGGCTGCTGACAAGACTCTGCAAGACAACAATGATAAACAATATATATATGTACCTACTTCTTGAGTTGTAACATTCCCACCATCCTTCTTATCCAGAGTGTTAGATGTGCTTGTGTTATATCCACCTATATAATGTATGCCCTTCCCACCATACTTCTTATGTAGCGCAAATGCTTCTATATACAATATATGTGAAGATGATATCAATCTAACAAGTTCATGAAGAAACACCTATATCATATCAATTGCTTTTAGCAATAGAATTTCCCCATCACCTCCATCACACTAGTCACCTATTGCTACTGTATATTCTGTTCCAAGATGTGCAGCTACCCATTCCTATGGCATGTTGTGCAGCAGATGTTTTCTGTTATGTGCTGATTGTTGTAGTTCTTTGCAAGCCTCACAGGAAAAATTGAATCCTGCCACAAGAGTCTGTAAATGCCAGTGATTTATGACAGCATATGAGAGCCTTTGGAGGTGAACTCTATTTTTTGCTCTAAAGTAACGGTTTTAAGCCCACTTTGGTCACAAAACACTGTAAATACCAGTATTTTTGACCATTTTTAGAGCAAAAATCACTCCCCCATGAGGGGCCGTTCTACGTGTGTGTGTGTGTTTAATTTTATTTTTTTTTGCCCCTCACCCTCCGCTAAATTAGCAACGTGATCTGGGAAACAAATGGTGTTTTCTAGGGTCAATGGCCCATTTTTATGGTGGGTCTTCCATGGCAATATCGTGTGACATGGGGAAACTGTGTAGATTGCTGTTTCCAAGGTTCAAAACCTGCAGTGGAGTTAAGAATGGTTGAATAATAGTGGTAGCGAACTATTTGAAAATCTATATGATCCATTTCGAAGAATCATTTTTTAACAGCCAGCAATTCCTTTGATGTCCTTTAAGTGGTGCTAGAAATCACTTGGATATGGCACTCATTCCCTGCATCCTGAGGTCTTCATCATCGATCCAAAGCAAGCGAACGACGACGCTCGCCACAGAGTTTTGCTGGGATCGACTTAGCTCTCACTTGCTGGATAAGTGGAAAGTTCCTAAAATGGTGGATCCTCAAAACCATGGCTTGCAAATCCTAAATATCGATAAATATCGGATATCGTCCATTTTGGATAATTTTGGGTACTCCCATGACGATACCTTTCTGTAGAGTTGCCATTGGGTTGCCATGTGCTCTTTTGTGGGAAGGCTGTTTATGGTATTTACGATCACTCATGTTGACAGCTAAAAGCATTCCTGACTCGGCTTGAACCGGCTGGTCCTTGTGACTGGATAGCAGGCTGTGTCGATTCTCCAACTGGATCGGCTGATATGTCCTGTACAACTTCCTTGAAGCTTCTTCGTATAGAATGTATATAATTCGCTCGGGTAGAAAACCACTGGCAAAATCACAAAATCCGACAAAGAAAGAACTCAGCAAGAACTCAGAAGTCTAGCCAGCAGCTAGCAACTCTTCAGCTTCCCGGCCGTAGCATCCACTGTCCTGGATCTCCTGGCCAGGAGAACTTTGTAAAGAAGCGCAAGAACGAGGCATGGGAAAACCTTGGGGAAGGGTAAATCTAGCTGCAAAATGGTTTGACAGGGCAGATTGTTGATAAATAGTTGATACTTGATTTGTGATTTTTGCTGCATCATTCCTCCTGGTTCTCCTTCCAATATTTGATTATTGCTCCTTTCACCCAATCGCCAAATATCCATGCCCTTCCCCCCAAATAATCCACCCAGCAGGATCATTATCCCTAAAGACTCCATTCCTCCAGCTTAACCTACCCGTGGGAAATTGACCATTTGGAGCTGATTTACCATAAAACATCACCATGTTCTAAAGCAACCTGTCAGATTACCAGGGGGTAAATGGGTGTTAACCGTCATTTGTAGAGAATTCAATATGATTTACACTCTCGTAATTTAACATAGCTATTGAACATGGCTCATTGCATTTATAGTTGATTTACCTATTAAAGATGGTGATTTCCATAGCTATGTTCGTTTACCAGAGGGTAAGATGATTTATAATCAAACACGTGGGGGATATGATTGATGGACCTGATGGACTTTGATAAATGATGGATTGGTGATTCTAAGGCGGGGCATACCAGTGTCCCTTCCTGGTAGGGTGCGCGAGCACTGGAGCAGCTGGATGGGAACAAGTTGAAGGGAAAGCTGCTGACGCCCGACAAGTGCCTTGCTAAAGACGGCGTGGAACATGGGATGAAAAATGATGAAACCAACCAGTTTCAGAGGAATGGGAATAGTGAGATTTAGATAGATTTCGTTGAATAGTTTATGTGAACTTTTGAAATTTCATTATCAATAATGTGGACCTGGGAATGCTTGCGAGCTGGAAAGCTAAGATGTTCAATGGGTAAATCATCGAACTATGTCCAGGCCATGTTCCATAGCCATGTGAAAAATTACCGGAGGGTATGAGTTGGGATAGGATGGACATATCCCGGAATATATTTCAATATATGTCATGTACCCTCTGCTTATTTAACATGGTATAGATGGCCCATAGAAATAGATGCTTTACCTATTACAAATGGGGTATTTTTTCCATGGCAAACTGTTAGTCATAACCAGATGGTAATACTAAACATAGACTACCCTCTGGTAATGACTAGCAGTTTGCTATTGAAAATTGCCATTTATAGTGAGTTTTCCCATGAAACATTGTGATTTTCCATAGTTTTTTGTATGTTTACCAGAGGGTAAACAGTTCCCCAGCAAAAAAATGGTGGATCTGAAAGCAACAATCAGTTTGGGTCACGAGTCCTCCATGACCTCACCATTTGTGGTTCAGACTTGGGAAAGTCATGGTGGAAACCGTGGGAAAGCCAGTTGGGGAATGTTGGGGGAACCCCAAGTTATCATCCAAAATTGGACAAATCATAGGAAAAGCAATGGTTTGGGGTAGCCATATTTTAGGACACCATCTTGTGCCGGGAGAAGGGATGCAACATGATGCAACTTGCCACGGGTGAGTCCTGTGGTTCTCTTCCACCTGAGGAGTATCATGTCAGCAGAGTACTTTGGACACTTCTGTGCCTGGCTGCTTGAGAGTTTCCGTTTTTTGTTGTTCGTTGTTCTTATGATCCATCCCTGAAATTGGGAAGATATTTCATGGGTAAACAAACTGGATACAACCGGATATAACCGGATCGATAGTTTAGTTCATTTGTTTCTTTAAACAAAAGGTTTATATTACCCAAACCAAAGAAGTTTTTTTTTTTTGGTGGAGGGTATCTAATAATTGAATGTATTGGTTTAAGGGAACATCTACAGGAAACCCCAATACTCAGTGGTAAGAACCATGGTTTCCTGTAGATTTTCCCTTTAAATCAACTCATTGAAAGATCGGCCGACGACCGCGAGGTATGCTGATGCACCTGGAACATATGGAGGAGCTGCGCCAAATCCGGCGCCTTGGAGCTAGGATATATGCGAAGAAATATTAGGCCTTTTGCGGGCTTCCATCTTGGATTTTCTTGGGATGTATAATGATATATATATATATATATAATAATTTGTTATGTATTATTGTATATTAATTGTATAATATTTTGAATAATATATAACATTCTATATATATATATATATATGCACACTAGTTTATATGTATGTCCATGGCTTCATGATTATTTCCCTTTCACAGGTCAACCAGCCTTATCAAAAAGGTCTGTGAGGTCAAGCACAGGCTCCCTGTGAATTGGAAGATCACAAGGTGGTGACCCAATCCCATTAGACCCTTAGAAGTATCCATCCCAAATCCATCCCAAATCCAGAAAGTATCCTCAATTTTCACCAGAAGTCATGGGTCTAAGGTGTCTAAATCTTCCCAGTTATAAATGGGTCAACATCCCATGAACTACTTTGGTATATCCCCTATAAACCATAGTGAAATTGGACTGATGTTCACCAACTTAGCGATTGCGAACTGGGGCACCACCCTGAAGGATGTTCTGATGTTGGTCCTAAGCATGATCTATCCAGTGGTGAACGGAGGGAGCTGTTTGGAGCGTTTGGGGTATCCATATTCCAGCAGATTGCCTTTCAAATGGGGAGCCAACAAAAAGCTAAGAAATCCATTTCCTAACCATATGATAGCCAACTTCTGGCTATACATCTTGAATTTTGGAAGGATTTAGACACCTTAGACCCATGACTTCTGGTGAAAATTGAGGATACTTTCTGGATTTGGGATGGATTTAAATTATGGTTGGGGTTACTATACTTATTATATATTTACTGTTTATAATTATATATATATATATGTATATAGTTAAATTTAATTATATGTCATTATATGTGATTATAAGTTTATATAACTGTATATAATTGTTCATGTTTAATAATATATAATTATTTATCTACAATTATATATAGTTATATTATTATATGTAATTTTATGTAGTTATTCATTTATATATACATACACTATTTATATATACATTTAGATTATATACAATGTGAGGCCCCCCAGTTATGTTTGTTGGTTTAGATTCGCCCCAGTAACTAGTTCGTTATAAGTACCAGTACCATAAACCATAGTGACATTGGAGTTATAAACCAATTTAGCTATCTTGGGGGCCTCACATTGTATATATGTATATATATTCCATTGATCTTAATATAACCATTAATGGAGATAATATCCCATTCATATTCATATACCAGTAATCTGGGCAAAATATAACCACCTAACTGCGACCTCATTGGAATCATTGTTAATATATACATCTCTCTTGAGGATCAGCCAGACTCGGTTCGCTCGGGTTCTACGTTCAGTTCGCCACGAGGCGCCGCACCGAGACCATGCAAGACGCGGAGCTGCAACGCCTGGGATGGACCCTGGATGGCTTGCCGTGCACCTTGGAGGGATGGAAGGCATAACCTCTGGTAAACTAACAGTTTGCGAACTGGAAAATCACCATTTTTAATAGGAAAATGAAGCATTTCTATGGATATAAATGGACCATCTATGGAAAATGGCCCATAGAAATAGTTGATTTACCCATTAAAAATTGTGATTGTCAATAGCTATGTTAAATTACTAGAGGGTATATGGTATGTATGTTTTTATTTTGGCTATATTATTTTTTTCAAAAAAACAGATATATATATATATATATATTATATATTATATATGACCAGCATTATTATTTTGTTACATGTAATAAGCTAGATATAAAAATGTATATACCCATTATATCTCAACTATATAGGAAAATGGTGGTACAATGGGTACACACTTGGGATATCATTGGGATAACGGATAACGCCGTCCAGGACGGCCCAGAGGGTATAGATCCCCGACATCGGGGTCAACCAAACATGCGACGTTACAACCAGGAATAATGATGCATTGCTGGGATATAGTAGAGAGTTGACTGACCAAAAAATGGATAATGTTGGTAAAGCAACAATAAAACATACCCCAAATCAGCATAAACAGGTGCTACAGTATTAACCATTCCCAAATGGATGGTTTATTGTTATTTTACCCGCATTAGCTAATATGCAACATATGTGCCATGGTCCAGTGACTTGGTTTGACTATAGAAAAGGAATGCTCTCCATTGACAGGGGGCAGTTTAACAAGGATTCACATCACGCGCAATGGGTGACCATACCCCATATACAGTGTTTATTTTGACCATGGCACACATACATACATGCACACGTATATATATATATAATACATATTTGACATCCGAATGAACCATAAGATGGCTACTAAGCACGGTATTTCCTACTTATATGTTTTTCTGAAACTTAAAACTGCGTGACCCATTTTCCCTAAAAGTCATACTTGGAACTGCAAAAAAAATGCACAAGTAAACAAATGCCAAAGCCTATGTTGGAAAATCATTTTCCAGATCTAATTTTTATGGTTTGACCACAGCTTGGATTTGCTGAGCTAATTCTGATTCTTGCCAGTGTAACAATCCTGGCTGATGAAAGTCTGAGGTATTGGTATTTTTGGTCGTCGCGACCCAAAGAAGAATACCATTATTGGTGTCTTGGTTGCCTATGTTCTCTGCGGTGGCCGGCACCCCATCATTTCACACTGCCAAAACCTAGGAGCCGAGGTCCTGTTCATCGGCGGATTGCCGCATTCTCTAACGATTAAACAACGCATGCTGCTTGCGCAGTAGAAAGTAGAGAAAAACTCGCAGTCGTTAAAGTTTGCTGCGCATTAACTCCTTTGTAGTTTTTTTTTAAAGCTATGAGTGGATGGAAATTGAGTGGATGGAAATATCCATGACATTCCATGACATATTGACCGGTGGTTTAAAAATATGGTTCAACCATAATTGGGATAATGCTCCAGAATGATTAGTATATATTCCAGGGTTGAATGCCATTCTAGACACTTCCCCATGTCCCAGTTGTTTTTCTCATTGAATATCCGTTGATATCCTTTGTATTGATTGCGCCGCTACAATGTGGGCCCCTCCAGTTATGTTTGATGGTTTATAAACCCCATGGAAACTAGTTCGTTATCTGCGTATCATAAACCATAGTGAAATGGGAGTTATGTTCACCAAGTGAACGCGATTTCGTTGAAACGGGGGCTTACAAGGTGGTACCCCCAGTCGATAGCTAAGTTGGTTTATAACACTAATAACTAGGACTTATGGTAGATATCTCAAGTTATGGCCATTTACCAGTTATAACTGGTTATAAATGGGATTGTACATTCTATAAATGAGGTTTTCTTAGTACTTATAACTGATAAATGACCATAACTGTAAAATTACTGGGGTTATACCCTCTGGTAAACTAACATAGCCATGGAAAATGACACATTTATAGTGGATTTTCCCATTAAAACCTCCATTTATATGGGATTTTCCATGGCTATGTTAGTCATAACCAGAGGGTAAATCAATTTCTAACTGGGGAGCACCACCTTATACCACCTTGTAGGCGCTGATACTGGCCCAGGCTGGGAGGATCCAGGGAGCGAGATGGGCACCTTGCAGCTGCCGCCCAACACCCAGCTGCTTGGCAGCTAACAAAAAACATGCGAAAAAAAACATGTTGGGTAACCGTTGGTCAATGTGGATGAATATGGATTATATATATATTATGTATATTATGTATATGAATATGGATTATGGGATTGAACATGTTGGTTCATATATTCATTGACATTGGTTAACCATTAAACGAGGTCGGATTAATACAATTAATCACAGTTAATCATTGTTATTGAACTTGGGATATATGATGGTAAACTAGATCTATGATCATGGTAAGATTCCAACCTAAAAGCAGCGGTTTAGTATCATTTGATTTAAACTGATTTGATATGATGTAGTACTCAATAATGATAAAATACAATGGGAGCATGGTTATAGGATATATATGATATAAACCAACAATGCGATTTGTTGGTTTGACGAAACATGGGGCATATCCTATTTGTTTAGCGCGTTGTTGTATGAAAAAACGATGAAATTTGCTACCGCTAACCTTTGAACATATCCTTCTAAACATGGCAACCCCTTCCGACACAAAACCACAGCTTTGTATTGGATCTGAGCGTGCGATGGGGTCATTGGATCATTGCATGGATAGTCTAACCATCAAAATTGAGGTTTACGCATGACATTTGTTTGACATGTTTTTTTTTTATGTAATAATATATATATAATATATAATATATAATACACATGGTTTTATTATCAACGGGATTCAGATATCAAGCTATGCCTAAACCAACTGGATGGGTAGCTGCTAAGTACCTCGTGATTGTTTCAGAGAAACAGTTTTTGATGGTGAACTGATCATCAAACATTTGATTCAACCCACCATCAGTTCCACAAGAGATACAAAAATCCTTGTTTTTAGATGTGTTCAGCATGTTTGACTCAAAATCCAAACGGAGATTCAACTACAGTATTTGTAGATTCAACCAATCAAAATGGTGGTAATGTTGATCCAAAATCAAGACTCGTAATGGCACATGTTGGCAATGTTTAGTATCAAACCAGCCATTTTTTGGGTGCCAAATGCTGCTCCATTCCAACATTTTATTTTTTGTGTCTGAAAATAGTGTACCCCTAAACCCAATGGTTAATGATCATTTTCCCTACTAAATGGCTATAATTGGGGGTATACCCCATTTTCAGACATACCCCTATAGATCTATATGTTGTGAAATCATTCCCGAATGACCAGTACTTTGAGTATGGATTGAACCACCAGGCACTTGTTTTGACTGTACACTGGCTCTGCATGCCTCGAATTGGCATCAAGTGAAGGTCCGCTACCTCGACTTGGCACGGCCCGCAATACCTGGACCAATTCAGTTTATTCGATATGCGTGGAGAGTAGAGACTATTCTCAAGGGGATTTTTACACTCTCATCCAATCAGTGAAGGTAGGAGGGACCAAGCCCAATCGTCCGTTTTTAGCTGGTTGGTTGATGAAGAAAGGGGTTACCGACCATTGAACAAGAGAAACATGGCACCAAAGCTAGGCAAACTGATTATATGTTGGCCAAACAATAAACCCATCGCAAGCACCTGATCATAAGAGAATAGTGAATAGCTACTAAAGGGATGTAAAGAGGATCATCAAGACGACTTGTCCCTGGTTTCTTCGTTACAACAATTTGCCCAAATCAGAATCCTGTAATCGCGGTTCAGGTTCGATCGCTTGAAATTCAAGCGCGGTGACTCTGTGATCATCAGAAACTCGTTTTCAAACGCGGGTCAGTGTCCATATGTTTGCCGGGCGGTATAATTATGATGGGATCGAACAATGAAGACTAGCCATGCTTCCAGTCTTTGGTTTCTAATTTGGCTGCATTGAAAACCCCAAAGCATTTGTTGGATTGTGTTTTAAGAAAGGAATGGGGCCACAGCTTTTACATTTTTATGCAGCGCAGCAGGTGTTCCTGCTGCCTGCTGATTAAATATTTGGCAGTGATATTATGGTGTACATGTCGTGACATGACAATAGTCACCAGCACAGGTAGACTACAGGATGTAGAAGAGCGGTTCCATGATGGACACTGGTGATGGTGAAGTTGGCTTGACGTAAATGTTTGAAACCTTGAGTGGCCTGTGATGGAAGCTGTACCGAATATTGCACGCTCGCCACATATATATTTGGAATTGTTTGTCTGCAGCCAAGAATCAGGATTTCCCAATGTAAATCAAATATTTGTTTTTTCCTGGACTAGTGGCATCTAGTGGCAGGGTCCTCATACTTCCCCGATTTTGTGGAGAAATGTGGAGATTGAACATGACCTTTGTTGCCTTGTTCAATGGGTGCAAAGCCTAAACCCCTTCAAAAGAAGTCGCTCATGGTTCCACGATGTTCCACGATGTTAACCACGGTTCAACCGAGGCGAATCCCGTCAGCAAGTGCGGGTGAAGGGTGAAGCCCTGGAAAAGTTGGGTGAAGGCTTCATCGCAGACATCCAGCACCTTGGATTCGCTTCCTATATGGGCTGAGTGGCTGAGTCATGAAACAAATCCAGCTATTTTAGCTGGTTAATCATGGTTAATGCCAACACCGGATTAATAAACCCCCCCCCCCAGAAGGTAGGATGTACCTAGAAAATCACCCCTCAATAATAAGCAACTCTGAACCATAAAACTTTGGATATGGCTTACGTCAATTAGATCTTAATGGAATTCCATTGGATTTGTTAAAATTTCATGGATCAGAAAGGTGGTTGATTAATCAGGGGCAAACCATGGTTACTATTACTGGGGGACATGGGCTCATGGGGGGTACCCTTTGGGAGCTATCCAAACTGATGTTTTTTATAAATATTTTAATTAGAAATCGATCATTTGGGGAATACTTGTTTTTTGAAATTTTCAATGATCAACTTAAACCTGAAGTATAACAATGATGATCAAAAAAAAGGTAAAAAAACAATTGGAAATAAATAGAATTGGAAATAAAAAATGTTGGATAAAAAAATGGATTTCCGAAGTGGTGGTTGATTAATCGGGGGTAGGCCCACCGGTTTATTAATCTGTGGGGACCACCTGTTTTTAAATTACATTTTTTTTTTTGGGCAATGGTGGTTGATTAATCCGGGGGGATTATTAATCCTCACTTGACATTAATCCACATGTTAATCCATGTTAATCCACATGTTAATCCGCATGTTAATCCAGGTTAATCCCATTAAGTCATCAAGTCCTTTGGTGCCAATTCCCATATAGCATAGTGTTGATGATAAATATCCATTAAATATCCCATGAATTGGCGATGGCAAGGCACCAACTTCCGCCATGAACAACCGGCCTTTTTGGATATTAAAACTTAGCCTCTGGTAAATCAGCATAGACCCTGAAAATCATCATTTTTTAGTGGAAACTAATCTTCCAACTCCTATTTGCCAGGGTCTATGTTAATTTACTGGAGGGTAAAAGCACTATGATTCCCCTAAATATGATGTCCTCAATAAAGTCTAGGGGGGGCGTGAGATGTATAAGATCAATTTCTGTAGGGAAGTTTTACGGTGAGACTATGTTGCTGTTTCAGGACCGCTTTCCGGTCTTGCTCTTTTTGACCAACCTTTGGGGAAGATGTTTGCAAAATTTGCAGTTTTGGACAGGAAGTTGAGTGGGACAGCACGAGTTGTTTGCATTTGTTTTGTCAAAATCCCATTGCTATGTTATGATATGTGATACGATATGTATAGAAAATAACCATTGGTCCACTGCTAAGTTCGGCATATCATCCAAACTAAGAGCAATTACTTTCACCAGAGGGCTGCCTCTTTACAGCCAGTTCAGCAGTGCGAGGTGGGGATTAGCCCCATTTGGGGCTTTTCCATGGATTACCATGGATTAACCGGCGATGATATGGATTAGCATAGTGTTGATGATACATCATGATATACCCTCTGGTAAATAAACATAGACCCTGAAAATCACCAATTTTTAATGGAAACTAGTCTTCCAACCCCTATCTGCCAGGGTCTATGTTAATTTACCAGAGGGTATCCCATGAAATTGGGTATGCCCTGAATATTGTTATTATCTATATAAGAGAAAATTGTAATTGAGCTGTCGATTTCGCGGAGCGACACACCCCAATGACTCAAAATTATCATAAGACGATGACCAGGAATCTTGATACAGCATGAACTTCAGATCTGGTTCCAATGTGTAAATTCGCTCCTTAAGAAGCAGCACTAGCAGCCACTGTCACAGTCGCACCATTTATCGCTGAAGTACGAAGTGTTGACTATTACGGAGCCTGCTATCTCTGAATATTCGGGAACCAATGTGGCATATTTAAAATCGCCACCGAAAAGGCTTTTAAAGGCTTGAACCGTACTTTTTACTTGCATTTGTTCCCCATATAGTTATGTAATGATGTTGGGATATATGAATACATATGTCGCGATTAAAAAACCCATACAAACACCTCAAATGTTGATAAATGTTGCAGACATGACAGTGGGTATGTTATGGCTTCTTTAACGATACCGCGATAGAGAGCTGCCCAGGCTGCCCCGGGGCCGCGATGGAGAGAGCAAGATGATCATCCGACTGCGTGGCTGTTGGCCAGATGATTCCATGTTGCTCGCCCTGAAAAAAGAACTGGATACACAAAATGCTCCACTTAATGCTTGGGAAATGCTTGGGAAATGCTGATTTTGAAAAGACTTCAAACTTCAAAGACATGTCATGATTTCGTTGTTGGATTCAGGCGTTTGATATCGTTTGATTTGCTATTGATTTCGATGAAACCACCAATCAGTCTATATATTTTATGTTTGGACCATGACTTGGGATACACACATTCCAGGAATCCAGATCAAAAGCATCTATAGTAGTTTTGAGGGTGTCACAGGATTGTCAATGGATTAGCCACGTTGAAGTTGAAGGGCTGGAAGTCTGGAAGTGCCGATATTTTCTGGGTCGAATGATGGCTGAAGAGCAGCGAGGTGCTGCAATGTGTATATTTATATGTTTCTTCGTCGCCATTAAGATAGGAAATGTATACGGAAATGTTGGACAATCTGGCTTAAGAATGTTTTTGGAGGGTATAAAAATATATAGATCGAGGGAGCCAAAGTTTCCGATAGACAAAATCCAAACCATCATGGGGTGCATTCAGTATGCTTCACAGCAACAAGTTGTTGTCAATGGATCAAGACGACTGGGAGGGAGGCCAATGGGGGGCCATAGATTTTGATAATGCTGAACATGACTAGTATTACAGTATATTACAGTATTACATCATAATCCATGAGATTTTTGGGCACCTAATAGCTCAATGACTTGAGTAACTCATATCCCCAACATTTTGTGCCCAAGGCTTATGAAACCCAGCGCCCAAACAAAAACACCGCAGGGCCCGACGCTGGCGCATCGACAAGGGCGCGAACAGTACGCTCTACGAACGTCAGTTGCAGGCCATGTTGAACTTGGTGAACAAGGAGCGTTTGGGGAAAGGCGTCTGCTGGGAGCTAATCTGTTTGGTTGAACTGTTGGTTGATGTTCAAACATAGGGATGATCCACGATGACCCATTTTCAGGGGAAGGACCCAGTGATTACTGGTCTCGGGATGCCTGTGAAAGACCTCCAAGACCTGGGCCGATGCGCTGAAGATCATCTCTTAGACGCGTTCTGGGGGGCCTCTGCGTTGCCAGAGTAATTCGGCTGCTGGGTGCTCGAAGATCTCGGGCATCATAGGAACCAACATGAACCAACGTTTCCTATCAGGACCCTGGAAAACAACCATATGAACATTTTATCCCAGTAGTTTTTGAGGCTTGGCGGTCTGGTGTTCCCAATCTGTATCATCCTGTAGATGCACTCAGGCCAGGCTGTCATTCCTAGTTTGCAGGAGGGTGTTTCGATACCATTTATTGCCTGTTGTCTTATTGTTCAATGGACCCGGCTGTGGGTTAGAAAATGTTTGAAATCTGGTCTGTTGCATGAGCCATCCCTATTCCCATCCAGGGTTGAATGGTGCTCCCGCAGGAACGGTCACGAGTGTATCTTGGCAAAAAAAACAAAGCCCCCACATTTGGAGCCGAAGTTCACAAAAGTGTTTCTTTTCATTAAACTCCAGTGGGCAGAATTCATGGCCCACTTTCACTTGGATCAGACTTCACCTGCTAATGGAGATTTTAGATGAGTTTTAGTATGTTTTAGTAAGATCATGAAGCACGGTTCTAACCAATAATACACACTGGTCCAAATTTGAGACTTTGAAGCCATTTGAAAACCTGTGAAAACCCACACCTTTGGTCTGCTTTGGTATCTTGACCTTAACGCCCAAAGTAGTCATCAAAATTGGTACGTATAACTACCACACATTCCAGGCAAAACGCACGGTTTTGATGGGATTCTGCGGCTAGATGGGCTGGGTTAGATCTCCATGTTTCTTGCGTAAATCAGAAGTTTCCATGTAGTTTCCTGGTTTTTACTAATTCCCGGGTTGGTGGTTTGGAACATTTGGATGATTTTTCCATATATTGATATATATTGGGAGTAATGCCCCCATTTGACTTTCATACATTTTTCAGAGGGGTAGGTCATCCACCAACCAGTTATGGTTCACTCATCCATTTCCCTTCATTTCCATGTTCCATCCCGTATGAATGGCCGGATCCTATGAAATCACCAAAGCCTGTTTGAAATTAACTGGTGAATAGTTTGCATAGTTAAGATAGTTTAAGATTATACCATTAACCGGGCTAACCAACTAAACATGGGTTACTAAGTCTTACTAGTGGTAGTTTGAACAATTAATTAAGATAGTTATTATAACATGTCAGAACATTGTTATAACAGGGTAACTAACATGTACTAACACTAGAATTCCCACCCCAGGGACCGTCGTCCCCCCAAAGCGTCGTCCTCCGGTTCCAACGGTGGGCGCCGAGGCCCGAGCTTCTCATCTCGGCCAAGGTGGGCTTAGCCGATAGCTGGGCGAAGCAGTGGCGCAAGGGCCAAGGAGTGACGGATGAGGACAAGGAGCTCGCTGCCAAGGTGTGGGCCATGGATGCCATGGCCATGATGAAATCCGATCAGATGGGGATTTAACTTGGGGGACTTACTGGGACATAATATAGGGGAATTACTGTACTAATGAACGATTAGTGGGGATATACCCTCTGGTAATTCAACATAGCTATTGAAAATGACCGTTGAAATAGTCGATTTACCCAGCTATAAAATGGTTATTTTCCATAGTTTTTTGTAAGTTTACCAGAGGGTATTATATAAGCACTGTCTATAGCTGGGATGATTCTCTAAGTCGGGATGTTGGGGAGGGTGTTGGTGAGTGGTGTGCAGTATTTTTTTTGGGTTGGACCCTGAGAATCGACATGATTTTAGTGGAACGTAATCTCCCAAGCCCCGTGGTGCATCTTTTGTCACCACAAACTCCACGGAGGTGTGAAAGGGTTAGAAGGGTTGGCTAAGTTGGCTACTTGAAACAATCACGTGAACCCAGGGTACCTCAAAACCTCATGGTTGATCATCACAACCCAAACATGTTTTTAAAATTTGCCCTGAAAGAGGATACCCCCCAAGTTTTGACACAAACCCAAAGCACTCCACATGGAAATTGTTGGGGGGGGCCGTCAGCTGGTTTCACGCCCTGCCAGCTGGTTCAGGCTGCAGAGCAAGCGGAGAAAGACGTCTTGCGCGAGAAGGAGGTGATGCAATTTTGCTGTTGGGCTGTTGCGTGCTTGGAGAGGATGGTTTCAACATGTTTTTGTGTTGTGTTCTGATGTTTTCTGCATTCTGGTATCGGTATTAGTCCAAAATGTGTTTTTTGATGGGGGACAATGTTTTTTGGAACCATTTGATACTATTTTCGGAGACGGGTGCCAAGATACTGTAGTAGTTGAAACTCATCCACCTCGGAATCATCAGCCCAAGATAAAAGATATCCACCTCTAACGCACGGTTTCCCGAAGGGAAGGGAGAAGGGAGCAGGTTGAGCCTTTTTCATCAATGATGGCCAACCTGCCCAAAGAAGAAATTCAAGTGTATTATATACTGTATATATATATATTGCACATTTGTTTGCAATCAGCTGTATCATCTCAGGTGTATATTACATGTGAATTTTCATTGCTTCGGAGAATATTATGTGGATATACTTGCAAGTATTGTATATGATATGACATAACACACGCATATTTGTTTTGGTGACTCTAGAGCCACAGACAGCACTTCAAAAACCTGACCTTGGGCCAAGCCCGGAAGACTGGCTCAAGAAACAAGGATGGGAACAGAGTGACCCATCATGACCCGGCTAGCAGGAATCCAAAATCAATCCCAGGTGCCCCACTTGCATCATGTGAACCATATGAAGATGACGAAAAGGATAATGTTTAGGTAGTACCTGAGAACATCCATTCTTCCATGACTGCAGAGATTGCCCTGGGGCCACTGAATCGCAGTCTGGTCAAGCTTATCTCACCAACCCAATACCCAGTATGGCTGGTTCACCTCAGTTTCAATTATGAACAAGATCCACCTTCTTGGCTACGGGGCTATGGCTCTACCAATGCCCAATTCCTTCTGATTCCATTGCTACCCTGCTACCCTCCTCTTTTTGGTCACTTCAGCCCACAGCTAATGTGGCTACAGCCAATCATAAACATCATAAAACATTATAACGCCATATACGACATTTTGAAACCAATTTGTTGAAATTCAACCACAAAACATGAGGCTTATCATCACTTTACATGACATTATATCCCCACCCCCCCCAACCGGTCCCTCATTCTCCCCGCCATGCCGAACCCTTGGCCCCAATTTCGCCTTGTCGCGGCTCTTGGCGCCTTCGCCCTATTCCTCTGCTGGCGCTGCCGCCCCAAAACCGCTGGACGACGAGGACGGGGCCGCCGCACCGGAGCCCGTGGCGACCCCGGCGGCCCCGGCGGAGGCCCCGGCGGAGGCCCCGGCGGAGGCGGACGCAACGCCGCCGGAGCGGACGGCGGTGGTGGCGCGACGGATGATTTTTGCCCATCTGGGGGTGAAGCTGAACCCTGAGCAACGCAGGGAGGAACGAGATTTCTGGGAAAGGAGGAGGAACGGAACGAATGGAACAAGGAGTGAGAGGAATGGAAGGAGCGCATGAGAGGAAGACTCGGTGATGATTTGGAGAGGTCGATTCAGTTTGGCAATGCCATGGCTGACAAGTATGATATGTCCCCTGGTATGTAAATTAATTGTCTATTTTTGATTTCCTCTTCTCTTGTCAGAATGTCCAATTTCCAAATTCCCCATTTTTTTGGTGAGAAACCATACTTCTTCAAGGGAATGCTAGGTTTGGTTCAAAAATGCTCGGCATTTTCGCGCTCCTGGCCTCGGAGCATCTGAAAGAGCCTCTACGTCCGAGCCGATGGCAGTGCGAAGTCGGTGGACGATGAAGCCGATGGACCGTTGGATGGAGCATATGGAGATGATGCTGTTTCGTTGAGAGGTAGCTTCAGGTGCCACTGAGTCAGCCTACATGACATGGAGATGTGAAAAATCCTGTTGGATCTGAGAGTTTTTGCTTTTGACCACCAAAAGACCTACCAAAGGGCAGAGCTGCTTTAATAGAACTATATAGATTTATATAGCTGCTTCTTTTGCATAGTTTCATAATGTATTTGAGCAGCTAGAGATGTCCTTCTTCCAATGACGATTGGTGTCTCAAAAGGCTTTCAACAGCTTGGACGAAAGAGGTGCCAAACCGACCTTTTGTTGCTTGTGGGGCACCAAAAGTGGGTAGATTGCTGCTCATCACTTCTGTACATCGAGAGCCAGGTGCTGGTGGAAAACGGTGTGCAAAGCCAGCGGTGGAGGGGTGCCCTGCAATGATTGTCGTATGTGTTGCTATTCGGGTCCAACAACAGCAATGATTGTTGATGCAGTTGATGCAGTGCTTGACGACATGTGGAGGTTTGACGAGGTTTGCTCAGGGCAGGGAGCTCACCTCAAATCTAGCATCTGGTTATGAATAACATAGCCATGGAAAATCACCATGCTATTAATAATAGGTAAACCATCTACTTCTATGGGCCATTATTATCCATTATTTCCCATGGCGAACTGTTAGTCATAACCAGAGGGTGCAGCTTTGATCTGCTGGATTCTTTTAATGCCAAGGTATTCGTGAGGAAATTGCCATGGTAAATCACCGACAGGCCGCCAAGCTGGCTCGTCTGAATCCCGGCGGAGCGGACGGTGACAAATTGGACACTTGGTATCGGGAAGCCATTGCTGCTTTGGAAGGGTTTACCAGCAAAAATTGGATATAAATACTATAAATCCAACCATTTTCTGGCACACACATATATATATATATACATACACATATACACATAAATATACATATAAACATGTAATATTATATGAGATGTTGAGGCTCAATTAATAATTGGGATTTGAGCTGGCAAAAAATGCACTATAGTGGCACTCAACCATCAACAAATGAGATGTAAACATCAAACCATAGACTTCAAACAATCTATATGTATATATATATTTGATAATAATAATAATACTATACAAGTATATGCACGCAAATTTGAAAGCGGCGCATTTACCAGCACACATGGTATATAATGGTTTAAAACCCAGCATTGTTTGGGGATATAGTGAGATATAAGCCCTACATTGCTAAACCGGCTAAACCCCTAGGCTCTTCAATTGGTGGGAGGGAGGTACCATTTTAGTAGCATTTTTGTTCACTGTTTGTGGGGGACCTCATCCAATAAGTCAACCACGGTTCATTCATCCGTGGTTGACGCTATGGTTTTTCGTTATCGTTATCAGCCAAGCAGGTTTAGACCAGTAGACCTTGGTGAAGATGCATTCTTTGTGGGCCATGAATGGGCTTTGTTATTCTAAAGCCATCTATTGTGGTTGGAAGAGCATCTATTGTTTGCCATGAAGATACCCTATAATCTCTCGGGTGGCGTGTAGTCATAGTTAAACTTACTTCAAGTTGCTTGGATTTGGGAGAGAACATGCCATGGTCGAAAGTTTTTCATGATCATATGGGGAGATGGCCATCAGGCCATCCTTTGATAGGGAGAAACTGAAAGTTAGAATGGCCAACATCAGGATGTCCAACTTCAGTGTTGGGATGACAAGACCCTCAGGAACCGATTGATTGGAGCTACCTACCATAGAAAAAATGCCTATTTCTTAGGCCTAAATTTCAGGGAATATCCCTAGAACATATGCCCTGAAAAATGGTACTAACGTACCTCCATTTTAGGATCCTGAAGATCTCCTATTGATATTGATCCCATGTTGTTGGTTCTGCAGTCCCCCACGACTCTGTCCCAATGATTGTTGGTCAATGGCGCACTTCAACCCCACAATCTATACACTCCCATTTGTTGTTAGTATATACGGTATATATATATATATGTATATATGGTATTTATATGGATATATATATATACACATATATATATATATATATGGATACATATATATATATATGTGTGTTTGTGTGATCATACATGTACATATCCCGTAAAAGCGCCAACCATCAAAAATTGTTGGCTTATATAGCTATATATAATCCCATGATCTCCCATTCTTGGTTTTGAACTACCAATATTCATATCTATGCCTCATGATATTCCCCTCATAGAATTGGATGATGGGAAAATTTACAGGAAAGCCCTATATTTGATGGTAAAAACCATGGTTTCCTGTAGAGTTTCCCTTAAACCAATCCATTGATCCTCATTTTTTTGTGGGTTATAGTTATGCCCTCCGGTCATATTCCAACTTAGCCAGCACGGCTGCGCATGGCAGCGCTGTGATCTGCCCCTCATCCGAGGACCATGCCTTGAAGGAGGTGGCAACGCTAACGCGGCTTGGGCCAAGTTTCTGGTGAATCGATGGGGAAAAAATCATGGTTGACTTCCACAGTTATGCCCAAGCAACAGTTATAAATGGGGTGGAATACCTCTGATAACATCTTATAACTATAACTAGCTGGTTATCTATCATGAAACAATCCCAGGAAACAAACTGTCAAGGACTATACTTGCATGGGTGTGTAATTTTCACTGACACAAACTTTTCATCACACAGCCTTTTCCGGCATCGGGCGGTTAAACAGTAGGACCGGAGGACCGAAGGATTCTTAGAGAAGTGGTTGCGCATTCAACCGGCCACATCATGGGATATAACTTGAGAAGGGTTTATAATGGTTTAAATAATTAGTGGTTAGTAGTTATATAAGTACTAGTGATATAATAATGGGATAACTAGTGGATAGTGATACAATACTGGTTTATATACTTGAGAAATGGGATATGTATGTAATGACTAGTGATTGCTGCTTGTTACAAGGAGATATTTGATGATTCAGAATGGTTAAACTAATAGTTAAGCATCTTAAAATTTTGGTGGGGTATCCTGGATTCGACAGCGCTTGGATACATGGAACATTATGGACATGGCATATACCCTCTGGTAATTTAACGTAGCTATTGAAAATTGCCATTTATAGTGGATTTTCCTATTAAACATTGTGATTTTCCATAGCTATGTTAGTTTACCAGAGGGTATACTAATCATGTATATATATATATTAAAAACATATTTTCATGTAACATGTTTGGAAAGGCAATGGTGCATATTGCTTTTATTTATGAGATCTGCAGGGTGGTACTCTCCAATACTCAAAGGCGCTCCAAGGTAGCAATGGAAAATCCCATAGCCAAACGCATGGTTTCAATGGGAAAATTGTATATACTGTATATATATATATATATGTTGGCAACGTTCCATTGCCACGTTTGATTGCCTGAGGGTACCAGTTAATTTCCTGGATATAGTGGGGATGAATGGTGATGGAGGTATCCAAAAAATCAAACCAGCCAAGGTTCACCACAGTACTGGGAAATAGATAAGTCTATCACATAGTCGATCACTCTTTGCATGGTGTTTGAGATGAAGTACCCTCTGGTAAACTAACTTAACTATGGAACATCACCATTTTTTATAGGTAAACCACCTATAAATGGGCCATTTTCCATAGCTATTTTGACATAACCAGAGGGTATGTGTTGAATCTTTGGAGGGACCAACCAGATCACAACTCGGCGTGAGCCACCAGAAGTTTGATGTCAAAAGTGACATGGACATGAAGGTAGATGGCTATTTAAGTCTACATCATTGTTTGAATTATGGGTTCATTTTCCATATTTTCCCAAAACCATGAGCATATCATCATCGTCATCTTCACGGACCAGATACAGTTTCCAATCAGTCAAGTAAACTACTCAGGATTTCACCAAAGTATCCGAATCATCTTCCATTCTAGGGATCATTTCCCAGGCACCTGAACTCCTCGCAGCGTGCAGCGGTGTGACTTGGCTCAGGATTTCCCACCTAAATCTTGCAGTTTTACCGTTGGTATTGAGACAGTTCTTCATCCATCATGTCCCATATCAGTCCCATATCAGTTCGATCCAATCCTAATCTCATCCCATCCCGCCCAGAGCCTTACAGTTATGGCCCAACGAACAGTTGTAAATGGGATTCTATATACCTCCTATAACTAGTTGGTTATATATCATGAAACAATGAACCCATGTAAAACTGTCCAGGGCCATAATTATATATAGAGATATATAGATCCCCATGTGTATGATTATTATATCACCCATAGGATCCATGTATGGTATATATGCTAACATTGGGGATATATTGATGGGATCCATGTTACCATATATAGCAGCACCATGGATCCTATGGGTCATTATATAGAATCCCATGATATCCCATGATATCCCATATTTATAATCCCATTAAACATTCCCAGTTATGGGCTTCGCCTTGGCGCGACGAGAAATCGAGGAAATGTGCCTTGCGCTCGACCTGCACGGTGATTCAGGGCCCGCCGGGGACTGGAAAGACGCACGCGCCTGGACCAATCCTGGACCACTTGGTGGGACCAGGAATCGACCTGTGAGCTGTGGCATTTAGTTGGCACAACTCACAGTAATGGGATAAGTCCTATAAGGTTATAAGAAGTTATAAGAAGTTATAAGGTTACATAAAGATTCCAATCCCATTTATAAGTGTTCTTTCAAGGACTATAGTGAGACATATCTGGACAGGTATAGATATTATGATGGTTTAATCATAGTAAGATGATGGATAATATAGGTTAATAGCAGCTAATACTTGACATTAATGGTTATTGATTTCCGGGTTGGAGGTAGAATTCAAAGTCTTATATTTTGTTGTTTTGTGGTTTTGTTGGGGTCCAGGCACTTCCTTTCCGTTCTGGATGATGTTTTTTCGGTTTAAACAGCGGATCGTTTTCGGCCAGTGGGCAAAAGACACCATAATTTATGGACGGAAGAATGATCAGCATTGATAATGATGGGGACCCCGGTGGAGTGGCGTGCGTTATCCACAATAGAACCTTCCAGAAGATGAAAATTCCACTACTTTTAGTGATGTGGAAGGAGTTTTGGGGCTGTCAGGTGGCCATTTCAGGGATTTCGTGCCCATAAAAAAGTCACCATGGATAGATGCTATTTTGGAATATTTAGTGAGCGTCACTTTAGAAATGCCCGTGCAACTAAATGTTCTGCATTTTTTCTTTTCCGATGTTGCTTCCTTTTTTTCCGTATTTTTGGAGGCTACTTTCTTCCTGGATCACTGTTCACAAGAATCATTGTCTACCCACTGGGTTTTTAGGCTACTCAAGTGCCCTAAGGTCAAATCCCAACCATGTTTTCTGATTATGTCCCCATGTTTTCTTGTCGAATCACCTTGAATTAGTTGGTTTTGGGCCCAAGCATTTTTGCCGCCCACTTGAAACCCTGCAAGATCTATCTTATAATGTATATATCCCCGCAATAAAAAAGTGAGAGCAGCGTAAGCCTTGGTTTTGTTTAGCCGTGTGAGACTGGCCCTGAGACTTGCCCCAGCAGTGCTTCAGATGGAATTGTTTGAAAACTGGGTGCCCCCGAATACCCACTGGTTTGCGATCATTGTCCCTTCCAACATCTCCATAAATTGGAGATATCCTTTTTTTCAGGCTTACCCAAAAGAACCAATTTATCATATTCAAAAGTTGATTCTTTATGCCATAGAATATACCACCATATACCACCCCAAGTATATCTTCAAGTATATCTTTTGCCACAAGAGTTTTTCTGCACAATGCGAGAAAGGGCGCTTGAGGTGTCAGTTCAGATCATGAAAATGTGGTCCAAAACCCTGGATTTGTCGCCTCTGCTCGCGACCTCGGACAGACCCTTGGAGCAGCTGGTTTTTGGGTTGGCTGAGTTGGTTGTTTTTTAGATATTTTTGGTGGGTTGGATACCCTTTGGTAAACTAACATAGCTATTGAAAATGACAATTTATGGTGAGTTTCCCTATTAAAGATAGTGATTTTCCATAGTTATGTTAGTTTACCAGAGGGTAGGCTTTGAGATCTATGTCTAAATATTATATACATTGAAATGTATGGATAAATGTATCTACAATTGGATTATCATAAACCAACGTGTCAAACATGTGATTTCGCCCCAACACGTGATTGGATGAATTTGGGCTAAACAGCTGGAGATCCCCAGTGGGAGCCACAGGAGATGATCTCTTCCACGGGATGCCAAGCCATGTTGAAATCATCTGCGGATCACATCTTATTGCTGAAGAATTCTCAGTCAGTGAACATATTTCAGACATTCTTCGCATCCAATTCGCCAAAATTTCGAAATTTCTGAGTGAGATTCCTATGTTTTTGTTTTTAAAGCTCCCATTGTTGACGTCTGTAGTCGCCCCTGTGGTCTCCTGTCGAGGTAACCCGGCGGTGGACAACATCGCCATCGGCCTGCGAAAGGAAGGCGTGCGCGCCGTGCGCGTGGGACGACCAGATAAGATCAATCGAATTTTGGAGGAGATCACGTCACCAGGCGGCGTTTGTTGTTGGTTGGATTTCTGGTAATTAACCAAAAACTATGGAAAATCAATAAAATCACCATTTTTCATGGGACGTAACACTATTTTGTTTGGGGTTATTGGAATTGGACTTGTTATTTTCTACATATTGTTATGGTTGTTCTTTATTGGTTATTGTTGTCTATTGTTATCACCATTTGTTTTGTTATTGTTGATGTGTTGTCCGATCTATCACCATTTGTTTTTGTTTTGTTTTGGGGTTGTTATTGATTATTGTCATTGACAATGAAGAGGAAGTTCATCAGCAGTGATAATAATGACAAAAAATGACAATACTGATTACAATGATTGTTTGGAAGGTCTGGAAGCCCCCAAGAATCCCAACCAATCATCCAAACGTTAGATTGCACCCGTTTTTTAAAATCAAATTCCAGAACCTACTTGGATTCTTGTGATTTTCTTTGAATAGGAACTTCACATCATCATAATGATAGCAGTAATATTAACAATAACAATAATGATATCATGATAATAATGACATATAATAAAAACAATGCAGTAATAATAATAATCATCATCATCATGATCATGGTCGTTTTTGCGTGTTTGTGCAGAAGTTGCCTTGATCCTGTGCAGTAACCTCATGTCATGGTGCCATTTTCATTGTTGTGGCACCCTCATGCACCGGGATGTAAGACACCCCTAACTAGTAGAAATTGTCATAGGGGTTAACATATAATGCATAACCCTACGATTGTCATTAATTCAGGATATGGTCACATAGACAATGGACGGAATCTTAGTATCATTAGGATTTACTGTGTTTAAAATATGTTGCATTCGTCTTGTTCACTTATTCATGGGAGATGATAATGTTATCTGCAGGTTTATCATGTCCATATTGTTTGTTAGTTAGGGGATGTCCCCAAAAAGTGATCTTATAGGCTTATTACGAGGAAAGTTGTTGTTTATTCATCCAACATCATCCTGGGTTGACATAAATGAGATGAAACTCAGTATGTTGATTAGTGTATAGTTGGGAATAATTAGGTGGACTATAATTAGGTGGACTATATTATCAATGACTATCAATTATATTATATTCACTTATTATATATATATGATTATATATGTGTGTGTGTTGTGATCCAACATGTGTTATAAAAGTTACAGCAAGTAAACCCTCGCAAACTGGGATCTTAACCGGTAACAACCATGCATTTTGCAAACAATGGTTGCACACCAAGCTGTTGTGTAAGCCTTGTTTCATGTGATATTGATGGCGTATATGCAGGTTAAAACTGAAATATACATTTGCAGTAGTTGATGGTTGTTTTTTCCTTAACGGGATATCTAAGATCAGGAACGACTTGTTCCATGTTCAAATTCGATCATGCCATGGTTCCATTCAGTTGAGTTTCCACTATGGCGATGGAGTCCCCTGATTCCTTTTGTACATCAGGGTCATTTTACCAGCAGCAAGGAACGTTTATTTACCCTTCGATGGAGAGTGAATCACCATAAAAAAACACTGTGCAAATAGAGAAATTGGAGAATGATTCGATTGTTTTAACCTGGCTAGAGATCAAGCTTTTGTTCAGTCCTAGCCTTGTTCGATATTGTTCCTGCGTTAAGGTTGGAGTGCCTCTTGGACAAGGAAAAGGAGGAGATGAAGAATCGGCCACTTGCATCATCTTGAGCAGTGATTAGACTACGAAAAGTCGAGGTTTTTTTACGGCCATCTAAGATGGCCAAGTATTTTAGATACACATTTGCTACAAAGTGTGGGGGCTGTCCAGTCGCTGGTGGCGATGGGTGGGAGTCTAGCGGGAACATTATTGAACATCATTGAACTAAATGGGTACTGTCCATTGCCATGTTCGTGTACAAGAGGGTACACATGTCATGTATGTGTGTTTTGTGTTTTGTTTGCATGGCGTTTGTGATAATTTCTATGTGTTTGGAATGAATGCCTAATTTTGATTTACTGCAAACTCATGCGTGGTTAAGCACGCATGCATGTATGTTTCAGAATGCGCATATCAACAAAAGGAACACAACAAATTCAAGAGCGAGTTCCACGTGAAGCACTGCCATGGACCAATAACCCACACAAGAAGATCAAGAAGCAGCTAGTAAGCACGCCGATGAATTTCATATCGCAGAAAATTTGGGATAGCTGGGTTTCAAAAAACATACTTTTGCACGATGATCCTTTCTCCTTCTTGCGTATATCCCTATTTCGGGGCGATTTTGTTTTGTTTGTGATAGCATTTGTCTTGGCTTTGGAACCAGCCACTGAAGGTGCAATTTTTGCCTTTGTTTTTTTCATCTGCCGGTCCATGTGTTTTTGTTTCATTTCCAATTTCAAAGGGTTCACGTACATCAGGTATGACAACCTCCCATTCTTGCTGGTCACTTTACCATGTTTTGTATCCACAGTTATAAGTGGACTAACATGACTTCCCTTATTTAAACACTTCTGGAACTGGCTTATAAACTACTTATAAGCTACTGATTGGTGGTTTGGAACATGGCTTTTTATTCTTCCATATATTGGGAATTCTTCCTCCCAACTGACGAACTCCATCATTTTTCAGAGGGGTAGGGTAGGTATACCACCAACCAGTCAGTATTAACCATCATTAATCATTATTAAATCACCATTAAATCACCATTAAACACTACAAGCTACTTATAGGGGTGAACCATGGTGAACCATAGGTCCTTTTGGAAAACACGGTTTCCCTGGCGGCGCAAGATGCGCTCCAGGCAATACGAAGCGCGCTTCAAGTCGCGTTCCCGGTCCAAGACGGGCAGCCCGCGGCGGAAGAAGGTCTCGCACTCGAGATCCAGGCGGTAAAGTGAAGCCATGTTCGGTCGGGAACTTTTTTTTGGGGGGTGTGGTTGGGATATATAATATACATACATATATATATATATATACAATGTGAGGCCCCCAAGATAGCTAAGTTGGTGAACATAACTCCAATGTCACTATGGTTTATGGTACTTATAACGAACTAGTTACTGGGGCTTACAAACCAACTTAGAACTGGGGGGGCTCACATTGTATATACCATCTGGTTATTTAACGTAGCCATGGAAAGATCCACCCATTTTTAAGTTCGGTAAACCATCTATAACTGGGCCATTTCCCAAGGCTATGTTAAATACCCAAGGGTATATATGTAAATAATGGTGAACAAGTTGGACCCATGTTGGGATATCATGGAAATTCATGGAATATTCATCAAAATTTGCATCTTTCGAGTTTGCTACACTTTGCAGGTTGTCGCTTTCTAGCTCTAGGGCAAACCATTGGAAGCCCAAGCAAAAATAGATGTATATTCGGTGCGAATTGAATGGGGACAGTATTTGATGATCATAGAAACGGGAAATAAATGGGAGTTTCATGGATATGTCAATGGGGATTTCACTGGATATAGTGGGATAAACCAACAATACATGGGGCTTGGACGACCTTGGAAGTTTCAAAGCATGCTTGGGCAACGGATGAATCAACACCGAGGATCACCGAGGTTACTGTAACATGGTGAAAGCGACAGGGTATGGCTACTGTACATGGGCCCTGACCCCCAGCCTGGGACCACACTGTGATACTGCGTATATTCATTTTGGGGGTCGAGATGGAAGGTATTTCAAATCTAGATCGGATTTTGAGATGGGATTTACCCTCTGGTAAACTAACAGTTTGCTATTGAAAATGGCCCAGTCGAAATAGTGGATTTTTCATGATTTTCCCATCAATAATCATTAATAGCATGGTGGATCTTTCCATAGTTATGTTATAGTTAGTTTACCAGAGGGTATTTAGATCAGGATAGATCAGGGATTCATCCATTCCATGGGATTTCCAGCCCTCCAGCGCTGTGTTGGGTGGGCGCAGGTCAAAGTCGGGCCCACGTCGGGGTGTTGCTTGGACTGGGTCAGGATTCCATGGATTGGTCGAAGGGAAAGCTTAGAGGAAACTGGTGGAGCTGGTTTGCTGGTTGGTGGTTTCATGGAGCCGAATTCACATCTTGGGGCCCACATCTGAAGAATTTATTTGGTGTATAACTACTACAATATTGGATAAGAATGGGGATATATTGGGATTTGATATGACATGAAATTCTGGTTGGTGGTGACTGGAACATGGCTGGATTATTGGCTGGATTATGACTTTCCCATCATCTTGGGAATGGAATGTCATCATCCCAACTAACTCATATTTTTCAGAGGGATAGGGTTGAAACCACCAAGCAGTTTTTGTTTCATGGACATTTTCCCGCCAATCCATTGAAGGATGGGGCAAGAAATGCAACAAGACCTGGGGATTTGACCAGCAAAAGATGGTGACACGTCCGGAGGGTCGTTCGATAGCTTGACTTTTTTTGCCATAAGGGGAGATTGCACCTACCAATCCAAGGATTACATGTTGGCAGGGTCTGCAAGATTAAGCATGACTCGTAACCACCCGAAAAAGAAGTGGAACCTCAAAAAAGTGTACATCAGGATGATGATGTTCTTTCCAGGCAAATTTTAGGGTTAATCTAAGATTGTGAGGGTGTACGCTGGTGTATTGCCTTTTCAAAACTAGTGTGTTTGTAAGACAATCTTCAATTTCATCCGATCCAAAGCCAACATGTTACATGTTGGAAAACCCAGACATTCGGTGAGGGGAATTGGGTCCTGTCACCTGCGCCACCCTACCTTCGCTGCCGCTGCTCAGTTGAAGGGGAAAGGAAAAGGAAAAGGCAACGTGAAGAACGATTTCGAGCTGCAGATGAGAATTCTGCAGGCTCTTTGGGGTTTCCAGGCTTTAGAAAAACCATTGGTAGAGGGATTGACATGTCAGAGATCTGCAACCTTGTAGGCGCTGAAACTTGGGGCCCCAAGTTTTCAACCCAGTGACGCCACAGGATGCAGATGTGATTTGCACTACGACTATTTCATCCGGCCAGAGTCTCAGACCATCCATTTGATTCAAAATTTGGGGCCTCCGAGATAGCTCAGTTACTAACTGGTTGGTGGTTTGGACTATGTTTTATTTTTCCATTTCATATATGGGTTGTCATCCTTCCCATTGACTTTCATATTTTTCAAGATAGTTATTGCACCACCAACCAGAAGTTGATTTATCACTGACAATACCTAGAATCTGAACCAACTCACAGGCGCCGTCCCACGTTTTTTATGATGTTTGCCCTGTTTGCCTATCAGAGGGTAACATTCCCTCGTTCTCACAGGTATGAAAGGATGCAACCCTCAGTTAGATCCACTATTTCTCATATTACCCTTCTTTTTGGGCTAACATAGATGTGGAGGACTCACCATTTGTAGATCATGTTCCGATGAAAATCATGGGTTTTCCACATGTTTTTTGTGTGTTTACCGCAGGGTAGCGACTAAAGATATCACCCCAAAACTCACCAATTTGGATGATCCCAGTGGCACTTCCGAACTTGGCGCTTCCGAGGTGGTGATTTCTTCTCCAAGTTTGCCTTCGCGGGGGTCCTTATCGATGAGGCGTACGTGGGCCATAGCGTGGATTTCCTAAAATGTGGAATCCCCAAGTCAACATGAGTTTCAATACGAACATGGTCTAATGTTTTGGGTGATTTGGTTGTACCTTTAGTTTAGGAAACCTATGGAAACTTCCATATGTTGTTGTCAATTTTACCTAGGTCTACCCCTGGTGAATGGTAGGTCGACAGCATAGACAGGTTGGTAAAAATCGGTTGGGTTGTCGCAGGATGATGTCAATGGAGGGAAGATCCCAACCATCCACAAAGTCTTCGCTGCTCGTTCGAATGGTTCTTGATAGCCAATGTGTGCTTGTCTCAATGTGTGCTTCAAGCCCCTTGAAAGATGATGTTTGTTATGTTTGTTGGATGACATGTTCCTCTTGAGCAAGATCAATTCTATTTGCTATATTGCAAAAAGATGCTGCCTGCCTGCCTTATTTTATGTCCCAGTACTATTCTTTGGGGTATATACCTGGATATTCATTGGTTACAAATTTCTTTCCAGGGCAGATTTTGGTTTGATTTCTGACCATTTTTGGGAGATTTACCCATTTCAAAATAAACATGACCATTTCAAGAAAAAACATGCCACTTCATGTTTTCATTTTTGAGTCATGATGAATCTGCCCGGGAATTTCCGCCCTTTTCCCGGGTATTTCCGCCTTTTTCCCGGGAATTTCCGCCCAAAAAAATCGACACATTTTTACGCAAAGTAGAGTAAGATCAGCCCAAAAGGCACGAAATCCAAAATTAACCACAATAATCAAAAAGTGACCATTTCCAGCTCCTTCACAAGAAATCCGCCCTAAGGGCAGAAATCTTGGAAACGGACACTTATTTGTATCCTTTCGAAGATCCAGGTATATATATATATATACGCTATATATATATATATATACAATCCAACCAATGATTTGATCGAACTACTGCGGGACCCAGACTAGCAATTTCTCCATTTTTGCACCATACCTAAAACCATCATGTTCGTGGTTAAATCATGTGCAATAATGTTACATCACTAGAAACATTATCGTTTCGATTGTTCATGGACAAGCCACTATTTTTGCATGGATAAAGATCAATCACAACTTTTTCCATGGGATAAAGCACTATTCTTCATGGTCAAGTCACTCAGATGAATCCCCCATCTGATGCTACCTCGCACTCCGCCGCTGCTTCGCCTCGCTCCAGGCGGCACAGGCCACAGAACTGGCTGCCATCGTCCCTCTGATCCTGCGAGGTGCGGATGGGAGTTCTTGGGTTTAACCATGGAAAATAGTGCATACCCTCTGGTTATGACTAACAGTTTGCCATGGAAAATCACCATGCTATTAATAGGTAAACCATCTATTTCTATGGACCATCTATTGCTGTTTGGTGGTTTGGAACATCTATTTTCCCTAGGAAAAACCCATGGGTTTCTAAGGAAGTGTCTTATTGGTGGAAGGGATTATATTAATGTACCCTCTGGTTATTTTCCGAAAACAGTTTGCCATGGAAAATCACCACCATGCTATTCAGTTCGGTAAACCATCTATTTCTATGGACCATCTATACCATGGCGAACTGTTAAATAACCAGAGGGTATATATCTGGGTAAATTTGATCACGACCTCACTACGACCGAACCCTGGAATCATGGTTAGAATTCCGGGAATCATTCCCAAATAGATCCAAATAGCCTTATTTCAGGTTAGTGAAATATTATTATTTACCCAAAATCATTTTCCATATATTGGGAATAATCATCCCAACTGACTAATATTTTTTCAGAGGGGTTGAAACCACCAACCAGTGATATTATATAACTGACTATAACTAATATTCACTAAATTAACTAATATAACTGTGTATATATTTTTTTACAATATTAGATGTATAACTTTATATAACTATAACATTGCTATGGGGCTTATTTATGCTTAAATAATTTTTAAGATGTGTATCTATCAACCAATGACAGTTTATATAAGCACCTAAGTGGTAAACCAACTGGATGGGTATCTAAGCTTGGCCATGGTACCGGGTAGGACATGGTTTGCCTTGGTGAATGGTCGACAACGCAACGAGAAGCATCTTCCTTTCAATGCTTCATGTCATAGCCTCCGGTAATCAAACATGGCTGACTGGGAAATCCATGGAAATCCCATATAAACGGAGATGTATAGCTGGGAAAATCATCAAACTAACCATCATTCAGCTGTGGGGTAATCAGCCGCCTCGCAGCTGATTACCAGAGGGTAACCCAGCTAAGTTTTTTCTCTGAAGGTGATCGATCAATGACGCATGTGTTTTCAGTATGAAAGAGCTTGGATTGTTAGTGAAACCGTCTCTGCACTGGGCCCATTAGGATTGGATTTGTCCGGCTGACAAGCCTTATGGGGACTACCGACAATCATCCTTTAGGTTTATTCCAAGTTTCACTTGGTTCGCCACGTTCTACTTTCTTTGAAGGCTTTTCTTGTTGACTTATCCCTGCATTGGCTGGAAAAGTATGCAGGACCCCCTAGATCCGGGTGTAAAGTCACTATGGTTTAATTTTTTCCCAAGGAAAACGTCAGAAAAAAACAATTTGGGGTCTGAAAATTCAGAGGAAACACCCTGATTCCAAGGATTCCTCAGCAGTTTGAAGGGGTCCATCCTTCATTTCGAGAGCCGTTTTCAGCACTTCCCTAGCTGCGACAGGATCGCAACGCCTGGTCCTGGTGGGAGATCAATGTCAGCTGCCACCTACCGTGCAGTCGACGGAGGTTTGGGGCTTGACTTGGGGGGGCTACTTGTGGGATAGGAAGGCAATGGGGTTGGGCAAAAATGAAGGATCCTATCCAAATCGCCACTTTAAGAAGGATGAACAGTAACCAGTGGATTTGGGGTCTTATTTGACGTTCAAATATGATTTAGTGAAGTATAGGCAATAACATATAGCATCCTCACAAAGTCATGACGTAAATGATGCTTGGGATTGCGTGGAAAAGCTAGCCACAAGCTACAGATGCCGCTTTCCTCGTAATATAAGACGATAACAACGAAAAAACGCATTGGCACTATAATTGTGTGGATTCAACATTTATTGAATATAATGTCCTGTGCATTCCAGCAGGGTTTCTACCGTGTTTTTCTGTTCTTCTTTTAATGGTAAAGCCGCTATAAAAACCCCCCACTTGAACATGTTTTCTTTACCGTGTATGATCATGTATGGTAGCATGGGGGATTTGCACTAATAAACCATTGGTGGTTAGTTCAATTCCTATACTCGTTGGTAACCTATTACTATATAATGTTAACAATCTTATTCTTGGTTACCTCCATTCCTATGGAATTGTCCTCACTGTTGGTGAAATCTTGACCTCCACCAGGCAGAAGAGCGCGGTCTGTCCCTGTCGCTCTATTCTCGTAGCTTGCCAGCCTGGCAACCGGTGGCAACCGGTGGCCGGTGCAGCAGGGACAGGGCCGGTGCAGCAGGGGATTTTGAAGATCACCAACGAACAAGTCGAACAAGTCTTTGTTGGAGATTATGTGGGCGACGTGTATTCCCTTTCTTGGTGATTCATGAGGACTATATAGTGATCTGGTTAAATTTCATCACGACCTCACGTCGCGACCGAACCCTGGAAATCATGGTTAGGATTCGGGGAATCATCCCCAAATGGCCGAAGCATTCAGGTTGGTGAATTATTATATACCCAGATCATTAAACCAGCAATAAGCTTTATGAACTTATCTGGTTATTCTGGTTTGTGGTTTGGAACATGGCCGGATTATTTTTTCCATATGTTTAATTTACCCAGAATGATGATTGATGGTGATTTGCCCTCTGGCCATCAGCTCCATGGCTTGCTTGACAATCCACCATACATCATAGTTCGATGATCACGAAAACCTCCAGTCATACTGTAGGCTCTTTTATTGCTATGTCGGATTATCAGAGGGTATTTCTTGGAGATGATACATCATGTGTAATTATGTTGTTTCATATTTGTACTTTGATGATGTTGAAGACTATGATGTTTACCGACCCCTTAAGGATTAACCGTTGCGCACAAGTAGTTGCATATAGCTCCCACTCTTCTGAGAGTCACCATATTGAATTTCACGAGGTCTTGGGGTTTTGGGATTTTTACGGTATATTGGGTTTCAAAGTCAAAATGCATCATTTCGAGCAACCTGCGAGCAGAAGGGTCGTGAGGAAAAGTGTTGAATGTTGTGATTTTTGTTGAATCAGTGGTCCACAGGTCCAACTGGCGTTCCAGAGAAACTGAAACAGTCGGAAACAGTCGGAAACAGTCGGGAGCGGCCCGGCGTGATCGTGCCAAAATTGTCAATCCGCCATTTTTTTGCAAAAAAAAACGTTCCGCGCAATCCCCTTTTTTTTTGAAAGTGCAACGGGAAACAGTTGGAAACAGTTGGGGCTCGTACCTTTGACTCGGCAAAAAACGAGCTATTTAAAACCATTTAAGGTTCATTTTCTTTATAAACTGGTTTTAAATAGCTCTTTTCCGACTGTTTCCGACTGTTTCAGTTTCTCTGGAACGCCAGTTGGACCTGTGGACCACTGATTCAACAAAAATCACAACATTCAACACTTTTCCTCACGACCCTTCTGCTCGCAGGTTGCTCGAAATGATGCATTTTGACTTTGAAACCCAATATACCGTAAAAATCCCAAAACCCCAAGACCTCGTGAAATTCAATAAGTCACCATTCTCACCAACAGCTACTTCATCAATCTTAGGGTTGATTTTGATGCGAACTTCCAATCATTCCAATCATCAACAGCATTTTTGGAGGTCCTAAGAGTGCCTAACCCTCTTCAGTGATGGTTGGGATGTGGACATATCACCAGCCTTCGCTTTTAAGTGTCGGACTGTCGCTGAGGCATGGTGGACTCAGGAGGTTTGACCCCCTTCCTACTGGACACGCAGTATCGAAGTCATCCCGTGATCGCTGAGGTGCACAGGGTTGGAGTTTGCATCCCATGCCGTTGTTATGTTTGATGCAGATGTTTTTGAAAACAAGACTTAGTTTGCTGTCCAACTTTACTTAAGCATATATTTGGCGATCATTAATATATATATTACTATAGTATATAAATATATAGCAATATATATATATATATGTTATTTATCTATATCTAGCTTCATGTATGCTTCATTTAGACCAGAGAAGCACTCAAATTCAGCTACAGTAGATCAAATTGCTTCGAACGAATTTCAGATACCACCAATTCATGGTCCCAAAAGGAATCTATCCACCTGCGCACGAAGAGTGGTTTGAGGTCTGACTTGGATGAATCTTGGGGGTACATATGGGGTACAACAAAACGATATGCAACAAACCTGGGAATGACACTGTGACACTCTTCTTTTGTCCATTTTACTGGCTATAAATGGGGTATATCAAGGAATTGATCGGGTGCAGTTGGGGGGTATTAATGACCTATAGGATCCATGGTGCTGGTATACATGCTAACATAAAGGGGGTATATTGATGGGATCCATGGAGCACCATATATGGCAGCACCATGGATCCGTCATGGGTTATGCCCAGTTGCTATGCCCAGTTGCTATGCCCAGTTGCTATGCCCAGTTGCTCCTGTGGAGTTTCCCACCGTGAAATCCTAAGAAACCCCGTGAGGACATGCCCTTTTTGATCATCATTAAACCAGCAATACCCTCTGATTATGACTAACAGTTCGCCATGGAAAATCACCATGTCTAATAGGTAAACCATCTATAAATGGGCCATTTCCCATGGATCATATAATGATCTGGGTAAATTTCATCACGACCTCACGTCGCGACCGAACCCTGGAAATCATGGTTAGGATTCGGGGAATCATCCCCAAATGGCCGAAGCATTCAGGTTGGTGAATTATTATAAGTTACCCAGATCATTAAACCAGCAATAAGCTTCATGAACTTATCTGGTTATTCTGGTTTGTGGTTTGGAACATGGCTGGATTATTTTTTCATATTTTTTCCATATGTTGGGAAGAATCAGCCCAACTGACGAACTCCATCATTTTTCAGAGGGGTAGGTATACCACCAACCAGATATAGAATTGCTTCGGTGAATGAAAGACGTCACCACTAGCTTGCCATACAGAAACACATGCCGTTTATATACGGAGAACGCCCCAAAAGACACCTAACCAAATTATATTGATTCGACCACACAAATTTATTGATATGATATGTCTGAGAACATTGCCGGCAGCATTTTGATACGAAGATGTCAATTTCCGGGCCCATTATGATACAACATCTCCCAGCCATCGAGCCTCTCGCCACTCGCGGCAGTTCTCCGCACGGACCTTCTATGCTGGCAAGTTGCTTCTGACAAAGTGGGAGAGGAGGCGTATAATACGGATATAGGGTGTGAATTTCATGGATTTTTCGTGGGAGATATTTCATGGAATATTGATGGAGTATTCATGGCATATATCCTTCGGCAATCAAACATAGCAATGGAACATCTTCATGAACATCTGCCATGGATGGAAGTTGTTCCATTTCAACCTCCAAAAAAGGAGATCTTCCATTGCCATGTTGGATTACCAAAGGGTAAATCTATAGGGGATCTTCCATTGCAACATACCCTCTGGTGAACTAACATATCTACGGAAAATTACCATTTTTAATAGGTAAATCAACTATAAATGGGCCATTTTCATCCATTTTCAATAGCTATGTTAAATTACCAGAGGGTAGTGTATGGTTAGACCCAGATATCAGGGGAAACCCAAAGGTCCGTAAAGACAAGATATGACAAGATGTTCAACGCAATTTGCCAGTTGAAAATCAATAGTTCGCCGGATCCAAAGTACTTTCCATTGTTAAATTGTATAGTCGACCTTTAGTTTTGATTTTGGAGCTCAAAACAATCATTTATCGGTTTTATTGTTCTATCATGTTTCATCATGTTTCATACCTGCCTGTGATGATGATCCCCTATGACTCTCTAAGGTCAAAATAGCTTGGTTTGTCTGAAAATAGGGCACCTCATGGCACCTCCATTTTTTAGATGATTACTTACCCTCTGGTAATTTAACATAACTATGGAAAATCACCATTTTTGATGGGAAAATCCACTATAAATGGCCATTTTCAATAGCTATGTTAGTTTACCAGAGGGTAATGACTAAATAAATGACCAATTCTCCATTGAGCTTGTCATCTCAGTTGGCTCAACCTTGGCATAGCGTTGCGCCAAGGTTAAAGTCTGGGATCAAGAACGAAGACCGGAAGCAGATCAGAGGTTTTCATGGCTTGGGGAAATCATCAGTGGGAATATATCATTATAGTTATAATATATCATTATATATTCAATTAAACCAGTAATCAATGGGATTCTCAGGAACCTCATCCATTGACTGTGATAAAAGTTATAAGTATGATAAACCATAAACTCAATGGCCCATTCAGGTACCTAAAATTGAGGTACTGTACCATTGTTCAGGCCATATGAATTGTGGGGATATTCTCTGAAATTTAGCCCTTACATAGGCCTTCTTTATGGTAGGTACCTCCAGTTTAGGTTCCTGAAACGGCCATTGAAATCATCCTCAAATGGCCACACGAATGAATCTGGTTTGGAATAGATCTTAACTTTTCCAGATATATGTTCGAATCGGGGGATCAGCAACCAACAAGTTCCATCCAGTTGAGCAGTTGTCGAAGGTAACCATGACCTATCTTCTAGCATCAATCTAGTCCTCAACAGATGGTGAGTTTTATCACAGAAAATTGGGCTGAACCTGCAAGACCGGGGTTTTTCAGCCAAGCAGGATGGTTGTTTGTTCAAGTTAAAGATGTTAAAGCTGCCTTTCTCATGGGCTGCATGACGCTGCATGACCAGTTCTGTTGTAGGAACCTGACCTTTGATGATTCGATCGATTGTCAAACGTGGCAATGCACGTTCGAACACGGTCGAACGAGCGCAAAATCAATTGATTGGATCCATGATGAACGTTTGAATCCCATAGGATCCATGGTGCTGGTATATATGCTAACATTTGGGGTATATTGATGGGATCCATGTTACCATATAGCATACATGGATCCTATGGGAATGTGCTTTGATGTGTTTCGTTTCAATTAACGTGTCTTTAGCACACCATTTGTGAGGTATTGGAACTAGCAGGCCCACAATTTGCATCAATTTGCCATAGTCTGGGAACAAGGTTCCGAATTCTGACACGGAGGTTTTATGCAGGCTTTGGGTGGATAGTTTAGTTGTCTTAATTTCAGCTGCATCGGTGGATCCACGATACTCGTATATATCATGCATACTAAATGTAAAATACATGGTATAATAATGTATATATAGAATAGAAGCACCATGTATACCATTTATTTTATACCATTATTATACCATTCTTTGTTTTACCATGTGTAATACAATATATGCAATGTTCCAGTGGGAATACATGATAGTTATACTTCGCACTGGAACATTGCATTACCTACGGTATCTACGATTCGCCATGGCCGCTTCAGGTTTGCCCTGGCCCAACCATCAGTCGCCCATTGCCTTCCTACAATCTGATGGTCAAGAAGAGGAGGTGCCCTGGTTTTTCGGGATAATAATCACCAAATGGCCTTAAACTGGACGGATACCATATAATTATCAATGGATTGGTTTAAGGGAAAAAAACAGGAAAAAAACAATAGTTAATGGGAAGTTCATGGTTTCCGGTTAAGATTCTCCCTTAAACTAATCCATTGAATATAGGAAAAAGGTTAGTCCTCAGGTTAGTGCATTACTCGAATTTAGCCAGAATCCGGAACATTGTTAGACATGATGCTTTTTGATGGCCATCCTCCAAAACCTGGCCATGATCTACCAATGGGACAATCTGGTAGTGATCCATCGTTGAACGATCACAGGAGGGCGAATCCAAGTACAACCCCACTGAAGCTGAGTTGGTCCAAAGACTTCTGCAGGACGACCGGGTCGTTGTGCCATTTTCGTTGCGGTAGCGTAGGCTAGGCGTTGAAGGCTAGGCTGCGTTTGGTATGTTTTTTGGGATCCACATGTTGGCAAAACCACTGAAGCTGCGAAGGAACATATGCAGGAAAACGAATGAACACAATATATGGAGGTTTCATAGATGCTGTAGGAGGATTATCCCAGTACGTGGTTTTCTCAAAACCCTGGTTAGAAAGATTTTTTGAAAGTCGCCGTTCAGTGGATCATCCTGTTTGTAAATGGATTGTTTCCCCGGTCGCTAACCACTGAAATCTGGGGCAGACCAATTCCCTGTGGAGCAGCCCTGGATCGAAACGCGACGCGTAGAACGGCAGGACGCGTTCTTCCAAAGAGAATTGGAGATCACGGAGATCGGTGTTTGGGTAGAACGAACTGGGGGTTACTCTTTGGTAATTTGACATGGCAATTGGGGAAATCCACTATAAATGGTGGTTTAATGGTGAAATCTTCTATAAATTAAATGATTTAAATGGATATAAACTATATATATATATACAATGGGAACATTTCCAGAGCTACCCGTATGTGAGTTTACTGGTGGGTAATTGGGTTTAATCCTGGATTGTTGCTGTGTAAGTTGCGTTGGCATCTATCTGGATCTAGTGAATCTAGTGGAACACTGATGATAGATAATTTCATGGGATCAGATATGATGTATAGTCACACACACATATATATAATTATATATATATCATATAGTCATGTTTATTGTCAGTCGCATTGTGACATTCTGAATTGGGTAGGCCTTGGTTTCACCCTTATAGAAGTTGTTGGTGTCACCTGACTGAGGCAGGGCTGCGTCTTTGGCTATGGGTCCAATTTCTTTATAGATACCGAAGAAATTGGATGGTTGGATTCTGAAAATGACAAAGCAATTATGGTACCTTATCCAACATCATCCAACATCCAAGCATTGTTTAAAGGATTGTGCCACAACTTCGGTGCAGCAAAAGCATTGGCCATGATGGTTTTGTTCAGAATTGTGTCCGAACCAGCGGTTTTACCGCTGCTAGATTGTTCTTTAACCAGTTTGCTATGTTGGTTCACCTACCATTTACGAAGTATGTGTTTTTCACTCGTGGCCCTTTTTTTGGTCAAAGTTGGATACCATCTGCTGGTTACCAGGGAGTGGTTTGAAGCCACGGGTTTTCCCTTTCAAAAATGGGGAAACAGTTGGAGCTACGAATCGAGTTCGAAACATGGCAATGGAACATATCTATTTACCCTCTGGTTATGACTAACAGTTTGCCATGGAAAATCACCATGCTATTCAGTTCGGTAAACCATCTATTTCGATTAGGGCCATCTATATCATGGCGAACTGTTAGTCATAACCAGAGGGTAAATAGATTACGTCCCATTAAAACTTCCATTTAGTTCGGGAATTTCCAAGTCAGCCATCCAAAGATGACACCCAGAACTGGGCTTTCCACGGCTTCACCTTCCCTAGGGCTTCGTAAAGCCTCAAAACCAAGGTGTTGTGACACCCTATGTTGCACAAGTGCGTCTCCTCAAAAGGACGTTGAGGGACAATGACAGTTGGGTTTGATGGTAACCGGAAGCAACCCATGATTCATTGATATCTCCATTCACAAATATTTCCATATAGATATCTATAGACATCTCCATGCATACCTTATACTGCCTTATACAGTCTAATAGTTTCAAGGGTCCTGGAAACACTTTTCTTTACGATGATTTCGAAGTTTGAAGGGCGTCAGCCCAGAGGTTAGTTTTAGACTTATCGTACGGAATCCAGAAAATATATGACGAACTATGATGAAAGATGATGACCATAGATGTACCCTCTGGTAAACTAACATAGCTATGGAAAATCACCATCTTTAAGTTCGGTAAATCAACTATTTCTATGGGCCATGTTCGATAGCTATGCAACAAATTACTATAGATGTCATTTATTTCTGAGTTTAAGTTAGAAGCACAACGTGGCACAACTCCGATGGCGCTTGCCTTCGCTTGCCGTTCTATTCAGGTCGCCGACGTACCCCAATTTCTTTGATGGGGATACCGTTCGTCGTGAGTGTTGACACAATTCCAAATGGTAATGGTCAAAGGTCAAGATAATGTGAATGGGTACATTAGCCATTGACATTAATGGTATTTATGGTTAAAGGTAACTATATATATATTTATTTACATTTAATATATATATATATACAGTATATATATAACGTTTGTGGGTATATTATAGCCATTGACATTGTATTTAGTGGTCATACAAGTTCCACCTCCTTATGGTCATTTCATAGTATTGAGTTGCAAAATCATGGTTTTCCGCCAACATTGCGATTTCATGGGTCCCATTAAAACAGAACTGTTGAAGCTCTGCCGGCAGCTGTTTAGCGTTGCAGGATGTGCAAGCAGGTTATTCCAGAAGGGATGGACCCAGAGTTGCTTGAGAGACTGGGCCGAAATCCTGGTCGAAATCCTGGTTTAGATTGAGTTTGTCTGAAAAAATGGTACGAAATTTGATGGTCATAATTTTGCATGTTGCTATATTCATTTTATTCCATTTTAATGTGGTACCTGGTATATCCTGGTATACCTGATTTTTGGACCCCATTTGTGGTCGTTGAGGCTAAGCACCTGCTCTGACTTTTGATGTTGACGGAATCTGACATGGAAAATTCATCTAGTTTCTACTGGACAGTGAAATTTGGAGATCTTTGGATGTGGGCTATTCTTAGGGTCTTGGCACAATATTCATGATATCATATCCTGGCTGGTGGTTTCAAACATTTTTTATTTCTCCACAATATATTGGGAATAATCCTTCCCATTGACTTTCATATTTTTCAAGATGGTTAAAACCATCAACCAGTCATGATATCATACTGTGGATGGAAGAAATTCTGCACCACCTTGGATGGTTGAAACCCTCTAAATAATGGGATACTCTCTAGGGAACAAACGTATCCACTTTTTTTGTGGAAAATATTTTTTTTGGATACGTTAGCTGCTGTGAACATAGGCTATGATAAATGCCCTATACTTGAGACATGTTAGTTGAAAATCCAGAATGGACATGTTAGTGGAAAAGTTGTCCCCCCCCTCTGGGGGTTCCCGGGAAACTGCCAGAAGACTACCGCCCCGGACGCCCCAGCATCTTTATTTCCAGACCCCAATAGGGCTCAAATCAAAGACCGCATTGATAACAAAACGGTGGAGAAAAAAGGGGTCCCAACTCCTTCCGGAAGAGCGCATCATAGATGATGCCCGTGGGTGGGCAGGAAGATTGGGGGTGCATTCCAAAAACCAGTTGCATTTACTAAGGGTTGGATGACTGGCCATGGAAAGCGTCCACCTAACGTGTCCGTGTTGTTCAGAGGATGTGATTTTGAGATATGTGAGTGGTTATTGGCTGAATCTATCCCCCCAAAATAGCGAACATATCCCAGATCAGGGTCGAAATCCAAGGGCCCCAATTGCAGGAACTGAGACATGTTAGCTGTTTTTGGGTCAATGGTCCCAAAAAAAGGTGCAATGCATTCCCCAGGAAATCCAAGAAAACGCCGGTACAGAGTGGACATGTTAGTTGATACCTGAAACGGTAGCCCGAGACACGTATCCACTTTTTTGTGGAAAAAAGTTTTTTTGGATACGTTAGCTGCTGTGAACATAGGCTATGATAAATGCCCTATACTTGAGACATGTTAGTTGAAAATCCAGAATGGACATGTTAGTGGAAAAGTTGTCCCCCCCTCTGGGGGTTCCCGGGAAACTGCCAGAAGACTACCGCCCCGGACGCCCCAGCATCTTTATTTCCAGACCCCAATAGGGCTCAAATCAAAGACTGCATTGATAACAAAACGGTGGAGAAAAAAGGGGTCCCAACTCCTTCCGGAAGAGCGCATCATAGATGATGCTCGTGGGTGGGCAGGAAGATTGGGGGTGCATTCCAAAAACCAGTTGCATTTACTAAGGGTTGGATGACTGGCCATGGAAAGCGTCCACTTAACGTGTCCGTGTTGTTCAGAGGATGTGGTTTTGAGATATGTGAGTGGTTATTGGCTGAATCTATCCCCCCAAAATAGCGAACATATCCCAGATCAGGGTCGAAATCCAAGGGCCCCAATTGCAGGAACTGAGACATGTTAGCTGTTTTTTGGGTCAATGGTCCCAAAAAAGTTGCAATGCATTCCCCAGGAAATCCAGGAAAACGCTGGTACAGAGTGGACATGTTAGTTGATACCTGAAACGGTAGCCCGAGACACGTATCCACTTTTTTTTGGTGTTTTTTTGGATACGTTAGCTGCTGTGAACATAGGCTATGATAAATGCCCTATACTAGAGACATGTTAGTTGAAAATCCAGAATGGACATGTTAGTGGAAAAGTTGTTCCCCCCTCTGGGGGTTCCCGGGAAACTGCCAGAAGACTACCGCCCCGGACGCCCCAGCATCTTTATTTCCAGACCCCAATAGGGCTCAAATCAAAGACTGCATTGATAACAAAACGGTGGAGAAAAAAGGGGTCCCAACTCCTTCCGGAAGAGCGCATCATAGATGATGCTCGGAGGTGGGCAGGAAGATTGGGGGTGCATTCCAAAAACAAGTTGCATTTACTACTCTCGTGAAATCTTACCTGTTGAAAGTTTTTTTATTTTTATTTTTTTTTGCTATGTTAGTGTTTGGGTTTTGGGGCTGAGATTCAACTAACTTGGCGTTGGGAACGCATGGTGTGACATGGGCATTTTGGTGCTAACTTGGCGCGTGTGAAGCATCAAGTAGGTTCAATCGGGAACTGCTTTGTTAGCGTTCGTTTGTGCGCGCGTTCATCAGCCTTTCCACCAATATATGGTTCCAAAAACATTTAATCGTACTTCATAGTAGCAAGTAGCGAGATTGGCAACATCGACCAGGAGTTTTTTCATTAATTATTCAATCTATTATATAAACTTGTTGATTTTGAAGCTTTTTTGGGTCCAGTAAGGGTGATGATTATGATGTACTATTGGAGGTTTTGGGAACCCTGCGCGAATGCTATGTTAGTAGTCGCCTTGGGCTCACAACCTTTCCGCCAACGCGCGCGCGCGCGTTAGCGGAAAACAACTCGGCCAGGCCCGAGGACTACTCCTTCCCCGTTGTGTCTTCCCCGTTTTGGGGTCGAAGTCCTCGGGCCTGGCCGAGTTGTTTTCCGCTAACGCGCGCACGCGCGTTGGCGGAAAGGTTGTGAGCCCAAGGCGACTACTAACATAGCATTCGCGCAGGGTTCCCAAAACCTCCAATAGTACATCATAATCATCATGGCAGCAAGTAGCCAGATTGGCAACTTTGACCAGGAGTTTTTTTCCTTATTCAATCGATTATATAAAATTGTTGATTTTGAAGCTTTTTTGGGCCCAGTAAGGGTGAGCCCCAGGAAGACATCCAAAAACAGTTGTGGTTTGATCTGGTCGGCTGGAGACTCAAAAGAGACACCTAACCTAGCAACCAGGGGTACTTTCATTCTAGATTGATTGATTGATGTGTTCGGTTTCCTGTTTTCTAAAACATGTTTTCCGTGGAGTTTGATGCTAACATAGCACTTTCCATTTGGTGGTTCCAAGCTGTGACAAGTCTCCAGACAGCTATGTTAGCTTATTCTGGTACATTTCTTTTACCCACTTCCTGGGGAATGCCAAACATTGGGAGGACGGAAGCAGAGGCTATGTTAGCAGGTGTTGGCAGAAATCACCCAAATGATCACTTTCTCCAAATCCCCAGGGTTGACAACGTAGCCAGATGCTATGTTTGTGAGTTGGTGCCAGGGCTAAAAAAACGCTATGTTAGATTTCACCGGTGTAAGGGTTAGATGACTGGCCATGGAAAGCGTCCACTTAACGTGTCCGTGTTGTTCAGAGGATGTGGTTTTGAGATATGTGAGTGGTTATTGGCTGATCTATCCCCCAAAAATAGCTAACATATCCCAGATCAGGGTCGAAATCCAAGGGCCCCAATTGCAGGAACTGAGACATGTTAGCTGTTTTTGGGTCAATGTGTAAAAAGAAAGTTGCAATGCATTCCCCAGGAAAACGCCGGTATAGAGTGGACATGTTAGTTGATACCTGAAACGGTAGCCTGAGACACGTTTGTTCCCGGGAGTGTAAACCACATTAACTGGTGCAGGATTTCTTCCATCCACCGTATGTTATCATGTATGAAGTACCGTTGACCTCCAAATTCATGCATGTGCATCTTTAAATTGCGCCGAATGTAGCTTGGCTCAATATGTGTGACATCCAAAGATTCAACGATGTTGGCACTGAAAATGACCAGCGGTAACCATCGTCTTACAGGCAAACCCTAGGAAACCGTTTAGTATATTATCTCAATCCCCCTTTTAATAGCTAATCATCCCCAATTTTCCGGACCCAAGCTGAAGAGATCCAGTACCAAACTAGCGTTTCGATTGGAGGGTGCTTCATGCAATCCAGTTCAACCGCATTGAATATGAACTCCCGAATATAAACTGCATTGAACCCCATTCAGAAGCCTTGAAACACCACTACTTTCCATTAAACCACCATGAAATCCCAATAAACCCCTATGAAATGCCATTAAATCATCATTAAACCAGCAATAACCTTCATGCACTTATCTGGTTGGTGGTTTGGAACATTTGGATTATGTTTCCCATCATATTGGGAATATCATCATCCCAACTGGCGAACTCATATTATCCATCATTAATCATCATTAATCATCATTAACCATCATTAAATCACCATTAAATCACTATTAATCAATGTATAGTTAAATCATGTTAAATCACCATTAATAAACATTCCCAAGTAAGTTTCATATTTTTTAATGATGATTAATGATGGTTAATCAACCAGTTAACAGATCTTCATTAAATCACCATTAAATCACCATTAAATCACCATTAAATCATCATTAATCGTCATTAATCATCATTAATCATCATTAAATCATTAAATCACCATTAAACATCATTAATAATCACCGCTGTGGCTGTACATAGCCTCCCCCAATGGCAAAGTCCATTGGCGCGTGAGACGCAGAGTGGGTCATGCATCACTAGTCACCATTAAACACTATATAAAAAAAAAACATCGAACATTCGATGCCCAGGATCGCCTCGGTGGACCAGTTCCAGGGTCGAGAGAAGGATCTCATCATCTTCAGCGCTGTGCGATGCAACAGGAGACGCGGTGCATTCTTCACGATGGGACGACCGAGTTGTCGAAAGGAAGGGAGGTGAGAAATAGCCGTAAAGGGTATGTATGGTGGTTTCCATAGATGTTCGGGACACCCCAAAATAAATGGTTTACAGTGGGCAATCCTGTTAAAATGGATGGTTTCCTAAAATAAAGGTACCCCCAATAATCCAAGTCATTAGACCATAAAATAGTATTGACACCCGTGGTGACTTGGGGTACCTCCACTTTAGGAAACCCCCAAATAGCTGACATAGCTATGGGGAAAATGTATGAACATGTCCCATGACTATTTATATAAATGATGTTTATGATGGTGAGGAAAAAAAATCGTCATCCCCAAGAATGTTGGTAAGGCAATAGCAGAACCATCACCAAAATCATTTTTGCATATTTTTGCCGATGGGTGGTATCATCAACATATACCAAGAGTGAACACAATTCCCAACCCATGACGGATCCATGGTGCTGCTATATATGGTGCTCCATGGATCCCATCAATATACCCCAGTCATGTTAGCATATATACCAGCACCAGGGATGATGTAAGGAGGACCCCCAATGGATGGTGAATGAGATGTTGAAAAAAACTGGCGGCTGGCGGCTTGCCACATTACTCAAAAAATGTTTTAATGGTGTTTTGATTTCAGATTAAGATGGGACTTAATGGTGTCTAATTATGGCATAATTTGGATTTATAAAGCCATTGGGTCTGATGAATTTCATAACGTTTCATTTTGATGGGATTTAAGGTGCGGGAAGATTTGGTGAATGCAGACGAAGATATTAATAGAAATAAATCAGAGAGAACATGAATTACCCTCTGGTTATGACTAACATAGCCATGGTATAGATGGTCCTAATCGAAATAGATGGTTTACCGAACTGAATAGCATGGTGGATCTTTCCATGGCCAGGTGAGTCATAACCAGATGGTAATTCGGGTCGATGTCATGTTTCCAAGTCTCATGTCTTTATTGGGGCTACTGGCTACTGGGGCTACTTCGATCTTCTCCCGCAGCATCCACTGTGGAACTTGAAGAAAAAAGGCTCCCAGAGAGCCGATAAATCGCTGTCCGAGACCTATGAGGTCGTTTTGGAGGAGAATCATTGCATGCTCAAAACCATGGGTTTTTGACACTAACTGGTTGATACTGGTTGGTGGTTTCAAACATGGCTGGATTAAGCCCTATTTTAGGACACCTCCAACTTGACCATGCAGATTCACAACTTAATTCTGAAAAAGAATCACAAATTTAAGTTGCGATGTTTACGATTACGGAACTCCAATGATATCAGTAGACATGTGTCATTCAGATGCATGCAGGGATCAATGGGAATTTCAGGATCCTAAAATGGAGGTACTGTACCATATAAGGCCATATTTTGTGGGATATTCCCTTACATAGGCCTTATATATGGTAGGTACCTCCAATCTAGGATCCTGGAATGGCCATTGAAGGGAGCAATGCCCGGGGAGAGTTTTCTTCGCAAGACGGCTGTCTTCTGATCAGCGAATCATATCAAGAAACTTATGCCTAGACTCAGACCCTCCAAATACCTAGAAGAATGGGATACTATACCATAGTATACCCATTAAGACTTGGGACTTTAGAAAAAACAAAAAAAATACGGGTACAAACGGAGGGTCTAACTAAAAGAAGTGACCCCTGGAGAGATGAGCAGAAAGTGTTACTTCGGTGTACGACAGAGACACGTATGAAAGTCCAGAACTGAGACCTGTTCAGAGATGGATAGCACGATACTTACCCCCAAAATCCATGAAAATCCATGGTTTTGTCATATCGATACTTTATCACTGGACTGTTTTCACACAGCATTTCCACTGCCGAAATCGGCCCAGCAGGATCGGCAATGTTGGCTTCTTGGCCGACTGGCGCCGGCTGAATGTCATGCTTACACGCGCGCGGCGTGGCATGTTGCTCGGAGCATGGAGAATATGGAGATGTCGCTGATGGTAAAATGAGGCACACGATATACCATGGTATAGATGGCCCATAGAAATAGATGGTTTACCTATTAAAAATGGGTGGATCTTTCCATAGTTATGTTAGTTTACCAGAGGGTATCATCTAAGTCCATCTAAGTTCCATATTTGTCCCATGAGAAGTTCTTCCATGAATTTGTCTTTTTCCCATCAATTTCCCAGCATGTTTCCATATTTGTCCCATCATTTTCCCATCATTTTTCCCATGAGAAGTTGTCTGATTGGTGGATTTGGGAATGTCATCATCCCATTTGACTTTCACATTTTTCAAGATGCTTAAAACCACCAACCAGTAAGTATTTGAAGATGTTACCATTTGCGAATTGTAAGTCATATGATGTCATAAGTATGTATAAGTCATCAAACATCATCTGACATTGAGTGATTTTCTGGAGAAAAAACATATTTAATTTGCATATCTGACTCCCTCCTCACCGAACAGCCATCTTCAGTGTGGCCGCGTAGCACCTCTCCACCACGCTCTCAGGGTAGTGGTGGGCAATCCGCGCACCCTGAAAGCGGACGAACATTGGGAGAAGTGGCTGCAATTCTACGAAAAGGTCGCCTCAGGTGGGGCTGGATTTGCGGCCAGGGAATCTCTGAGGATCTAGGGGGGTTTTACTGGGAAGAAAGGATGATATGAAGTGGTGAAGATATGTGAAGATGATTGATAGGAAGACGGAAGATGATATACCTTGCTAGTGTTTTGGTGCCAGACCATGATTTCTTTAAGCAGTGGTGATTAAGATTGCCTTGTGTTTCCATATCGTAGTGTTGAACAGTTGGGTTGCACGTCCTCTGTTGGTTTTGGTATTTGATGTTCCTTGAGTCCAGGGTCATATCAGTCGGTACCCTGGGGTGAACACAGGAAAAGATGTTCGGAAAAGCCATCAATGGGAATTCCAGGATCCTAAATTGGAGGTACTGTACCATATAAGGCCATATTTTGTGGGGATATTCCCTTACATAGGCCTTACATAGGCCTTATATATGGTAGGTACCTCCAATCTAGTATCCTGGAATGGCCATTGAAGCCATGGCAAAAAAAAACAGGGAAATGATTGACAAATTAAGTTCCACCATGTTCCACATGTTACCATCTGGTTATGACTAACATAGCGATGGAAAATCACCAAAATAAATGGAGGTTTGTAGCTGGGAAAATCATCTATCAATGGACCATATATACCATGGCTATGTTAATAACCAGATGGTAGTTAGTTTACAGGGAGGTGCTCCAAAATGACAGTGACAAGAGCAAAACAAGCGAAAACACTCTGCATGTTCATATTGCCACTGGACTGATGATATGCAAGCACCAGAACATGTGAATCAATGATAGCCAATGACCCTTAAAAGTTCCAAAACATATGTGATTTCCAGTATGTTCGATATTTTCTCCGCGTGTCCCGTGTTTGCCCCATATTTACCAATAGTTGTTTTTTTGCCAATAAGATAATAAGTAGTTCCCCTTTAATCCCCTACAATTCCCATATATATATTATTTAATTATGATCTAATTAATGTAATGATTACAATGTATATTTGAATCGTATCCCACGGTTTTTGCCATGGCTGTCCCATGATGTGCCACATATTATGTATATATATTATATCATATATCCAAAGCATGTTCCATATACTTCACATCTTCTCCCATGTTTTCCGATTTCCGCTGTGAAGCGTCAGGAAGAGCTCGATCGCCGAGCCCTTCCAGGAAGAAGCAGGAGGCCATGGCGAACGAACTTCGAATGTTGCTATCCCAGTTGATGGGGGAACAAAAACAGCCTTGTTGATTAGATATTTGATGGTTGGATTTATTTTGTGATGTAACTGTTATTTTTCCAGGGATTTCAACCAGCAAGACTATGCGGATACCAGCAAGATAAGTGGTTGATCATTGGGATCCACCCCCCAAAAAAAGTGACCTTGTACCCTCTGGTAAACATAGAAAAAAACTATGGAACATCACCATGCTATTTATGGGTAAATCAACTATTTCTTTTTTGGCCATTTTCTATATCTATCGCTATATTAGTTCACCAGAGGGTATGTTGTTGAGGATGACCCTTTAGGGAGTAGCCTCAAATCTTGCATCACTGAGGGGAAATCTTCGAACATCTGCTCAAGATCTATAAATTTAAAGTTGTTTTTTTTTTTCAATTGGTGTGTGGCTTACCCTTTGGTAAACTCACGTAGCTATGGAAAATTCCCATTTCTAATATGCAAACCAACGAACTAAATGGCAATTTTCCAGTTCGCAGCCTGTTAAATTACCATTAAAGCATCATTAATCATCACTAATCACAATTAATCATCATCATTAATCAAATTAACCATTATTGCACGAGGGTATTACAGTCCTTACCAGATGGTATACCTTTCCGTATGCCTTGGTGCCCCCAAGTTGCTGGTGCAGCGAGCCATGGTGGCTTTTCCAGCCGTGGAGCTGATTGCCAGAGGGAACTCCATTAATTACCATTAATCGCCATACATCACAATCAATCACCATTAATCACCATTGACCACTATGAAGCCAGAGGGAAAGTTTGTTTCTTTTAACCATAGGATCATTTTACCATAGGATCAACTTGGCACAGCTGCCGATTGCCTTTGATCTCGCTAGGTGCCCATCAATGAGACTGAAGAGGAGAAGGAGGCCCGATTGAAGAAGGAACGTAGCTTGATTGCAGAGGAGCTTGGTATACCGTATACCTGTTTTTTTTTTGTGTGTGTGTGTTACAAAAACTAGAATTACAAGTATTTTTTGGGTAGTCAGATGATGTAATTTCAATGTTTCTAGATCAACGTTGGTTGGGTAGGCTTCTATGATTCAACGTTGGGTACAGGCGGGAGCTTTCAGTGCCATACACAATGGCCATCCAGGGAGATTCAAATCAACAAAACGTGCATACGGAGAGATCCAACAATTGTATGATTATATATGTGTACATGTATGTGCATATATATATATACTAGTGTTTTCGTACTCTAGTACCTTAGACTGCAGTTGGTGGTTTCAATATATATATATGGGCAGATCACCAACCATGTGTGGTTTGCCAAAGATTGTGGAGTTGACCACCCTAAAAAAGGATATCACTGGGCAACGGTCGACTGGTTTTTCTCGTTTTGTCCATAGCGGGCAACCCCACAAAGATGCCGAAAAGTGCGCCACCAGAATGTTTCACTGGTTGATATTCACTTCATATTTCCTGTCTAGGTACCCTCCGGTAAACAAATTGCCATAGAAATAGTGGATTTTCCCAGCTATAAAATGGTGATTTTCCATAGTTATGTTACTGTTAGTTTACCAGAGGGTATCCCACTTTCTATCAATCTTGGGGTTGCTATAGATTATTTTTAGCCTGCAAGGACTAGTTGATGTCGTGAAAGCAGTATATAACTTGTTTGTTCTTTGCAATGTAAAAAGACAAGTGGGATGGTTACGGAAACACTCAGAATGGATGATTAGGAAAATTTAGCAACGACAAATAGTAGATGCTGAAGCCTAGCTTGATGGCACTTTATGAGTAATACAGTGCCATGTTGTGTCTCCATGATGCTTCACCCATATTTCCTCAACGGACTCAACTGTAGGATTTGTGCCGCTCATTGGGCCATGTTGTAAGGACGTACTGTAGCCACCCGCCACCCTTGCAGAGATTGTCATCACTGACAATAATTGTAAACCCACTGCCCACTAATAAGCATAACAAGCCATCCCTCCTCTACCATGGGTGGCACAATCCATTTCAAAGTGGAGGACAAGGTCCGTTGTCCAAGCAGCCGCCAAGGTATCGAAGCCGCCCGAAAATTGTCGATGGCGATTCGATTTCCTGGGCTGGCCATGGCACAGCAAAAGAAGAAGGCCATGGCGGCCATGGCGGAAAGAAGGGAAATCATTTTTCCAAGCCGGTTTTTGGGGTTCAATGTTAATTTAGGGGGTTCAGATGTTATTGTTGCATGTACACACACACATACACACACACATGTCACATATATAATATATATACATATATATATATAATTATGTATTAGTTACCATCTGACCGGAGCAAAAAGGCGTACCCGGATGCTTCTAATAAGAAGAGCGATGATCCACTCAACCAGTGTTTTCGGGGCATTTGTACTCAGCCACCAATAACCAGCTTCTCCATTAGAACATCAACAAAAAGGAGTTGTTGCCGCTCTGCATGATAGAGGGGGAAAAGTGGCTGGGATACGTGTAGCCAGGTTTGTTTATAAGACCCCATCTTGTTTTCTGCCTTGATACCTTTTGCTGCTGGTCAAACATAGTTAGATTATGTTGGATATAAATCGCGTGGTTGCAGGTTCATAGTGAAATTGGATTCCATATGCTCATGTAAATGGATTGGTTTAAGGGAAAATCTACAGGAAACCATAGATTTTCCCATTAAATATGGGGCTTTCCTGTAAATTTTCCCTGAAACCAATCCATTGATCATGGTTTGGCACTCCAGTGCTTGATTGCATACCTGGGATGATTCCAGCTATTCCGCGATGGATGGTGGATCCTCCCAATGTGGTGGCCCCCAGCTATGGATATCGGTTGTTGTTTCACTCATTCAACCGCAGACATATCCACCATAAATCAGAGATTAACTTATCTACAAGGTGGTACTGCCCAGTTCTAAGTTGGTTTACAACTCCATCAAACTGTAGTTCCAAGCACCATAACCCCTAGTTATAAAGTTATGTGCACCTAATTTCGGTAAAATCAACTATGACTATGAATCTCCATTTTCCTTGGTTGAATAATTATTGTCCTTCATATTTTTCTCATGGGTGAATCCTAAATCGATGAACTGGGGCACCATAGATGTGTTTTTTCCACTGATTGGTTGATTGAGGGTTGCCCCCATTCACCAACCAAAGGTAGATGATAATAACATATATATAATTAGACCAAACCAGCACCTCATTTTTGCCTTTGAGAACAATAATCTAAGAAAAAACAACTATAAGTCTTCATTTTCCTGGCTTAAAGTGGTTAATTTTCACCTCATGTTCCTTGATATCTTCACTAGTTACCATTTGGTTGTTTAACATAGCCATGGAAAGATCCACCCATTTTTAAGTTCGGTAAACCATCTATTTCTATGGGCCATCATTTCCCATGGCGAACTGTTAGTCATAACCAGAGGGTAAATCCCAATGACCGTGACGACAGGAGGAGCGCTCCCGCTCTCGCTCCTGGTCCCCGACCGGGGGCGGCTTGGTGGGACAAGCGGACTCCAAGTTCAAGGTACCGGGGGGTGAAGGCAGCATTCCCAGCTACCATCTGGTTATGACTAACATAGCCATGGTATAGATGGCCCATTTGTAGGTGATTTTCCCAGCTACAACCTCCATTTATGTTGGGGATTTTCCATGGCTATGTTAGATATGTTAGTCATAACCAGATGGTAATGGCTATTAATGGGTAGCAATATGGGTAGTATTTGTAGGTGAAATATAATAATCCATAATTACTATAGCTACTAATTTCGGTAATCACATAGGTGATAGTAAATTGTTAGAATACAAAAGGATGGGGTAAGAATCCCATAACAATAGGTAAGACATAGTGGCCCTCGTTTTGGCAATTACTTGCATATGTTACATGCTGGGTAATCATGTTTATCGATCAGAGCAACCTTGACCTTTGTCAATCTTCGGACAATTTTAGTTGTCGTTTCATCCACTAAGACATGTGATACACCACGCAAATGTAGTTAATATACATGTATATATGAGGTGAGGCCCCCCAGTTATAAAATGTTATAAACCTCCATTTTCTTAGGCCATTTACTTTTAAGTTCTATGTGTTTTTTTGTTTTCATATACCCTCTGGTTATTTAACATAGCAATGGAAAGATCCACCCATTTTTAAGTTCGGTAAACCATCTATTTCGATTAGGGCCATCATTTCCCATGGCGAACTGTTAGTCATAACCAGAGGGTATCTTCCCATTCGCCATCATTAAAGTTTCCATGGCTACCGACAGCGATGGCCAGGCCATGGGCGGTCGAACCAAGGCGAGGGTAAAGACTCCTTCGCCCGATCGACCCCTGAAGGTGGTCAAGGTGGGTGGGATGGTGGGGAGGACGATGAATGGCTGGGCGGTTTATGGCTGTTTATGGCTGTTTATGGCTGTTTGTTGTTTCCGAATTTATATGAAATGAGGCAGTTTATGAATATATGAAAGATAGGGGTTAAAACTATGTTAAACTAACAAGATAATGGTTCAGCATGGTTCAACATGGTTTAACATGGTTTAACCATGTTTAAAAGCTATTCTCGTTGGAACACCAGTTAGCTTCGGTACCTGAAAATATTAGGGAAGACTTCGGAAGACTGCCCAAATGTGATAGTAAAAACATTAGTTGTATCACCATGAAAATTGCTATCAATTGAGGGTATAGTATAGCCCATGTATAGCCCATTTTCAGACACACCCACGTCGTGGTGGTGGTGGTGGTGGTGGTGGTGGTGGTGGTGTGGGGGGAAGAAACGTGGGCATGCATTATATGAAACATACCATACCCGCTAATTTGCAACACAATGTTTTGTTGACTTTGCTTGCTTTTTTGGTGAATGTCCATGTGCGATATTATTCATAGTGGTTTTAGATGGCTTTGAAGAGGCATCGTACATGTTATACCCGCGCAAAAGATGTGAAAGAGTTGAGCAACATGCGGGCCTTCTGGATTGAAAGGGTGCAAGACCATGGGAGATTGGCATTATTAACCAGTATTAACCATTATTATATAACCAATGATTTCTTAACCACTATTATACATTGCGGGTCTCCTGTACACGCTTCAGGAGATTGGCATTGGTCGGCGGAACAAGGCCCGTTCTGCTGGAGACCCATGGGTGCGCCAAAAACGGAGCTAAATCAAACATTTCCGATGAGTAGATTCTAATAGATGTGGAAGAATATAGCCATAAGCTTTATGCTTGGTTTTTTTTGGTGTTTGTTTGGTTTAAGTTTAGATGTATTGAGGCCACTGAAGACGTTTTTTAAAATTTGATTTTGAGCAGGGGATCAGCAAACACAGCAGGTAGAAATGTAAGTACTGTACCATACAAGGCCAACCCTCAGTGGCAGAGTGCCGTACTACATCTGCTTGGTGGTTTGGAACATTTTTTATTTTTCCATATGTTGGGAATAATTATCTCAACTGACTAATATTTTTCAGAGGGGTTGAAACCACCAACCAGACATGGTCTTGCAATGTCTTGCATAGAGTGATAGAGATAGACTGTACACTTAGGCTCCCCACATCCGAATCAGTGTCATCGCAGATTAACCCTTCGTATTGGGAACGTCTATGGGCTAATGATGATGAACGTATCCGAACAAAAAAACAAAACACAACTGGCTCGTTTTACCCCTGCGGATCATCACTGACAAGCCATGGGAACCTTGAACCCGCTGATGATATGCACTATAAGATCCTCAAGCGCATAATTTGGGGTGCAGTTTCTGGCTCAGCAACAAACTCGAGGATTCAACCAACACAACGAAATATTCGACAAGAGTGAAGGTGCTTGGATAGTGGGACAATGTCTGACAATAGAGTTGCCCTCTGGTAATGACCAACATAGCTATTGAAAATGTATGAGCATGTACCATTTATAGTTGATTTAATTATTCACAATGGTGATTTTTTATAGCTATGTTAGTTTACCAGAGGGTAAGTGAGGTACCCAATCCATTGCTCATGTCTGATTAGAGTTAAGTACATGTCTATGGTATCTCCCCGGTGCTAGCCACACTTGCTCCATTCTTACAAGGTGAGGCAACCCAGTTGTAAGTTGGTCTATATGTAACCCCCATTAATGTCACCTGATCTTGCCAGGCCGACGAATTTGTCAAGAAGCAGCCGAATGGCGCTGGCAAGGCGAAAGCCAAGGCGCTTGTGGAGTACTTGGGGGGTGCCTTATGGTGCGGTTTCAGCTGTATAAGCGGGTATACTACCGGGTATACAACCATCCCGGATGGATGAGGGTCGTAGCTTGTTATATCATGTTATATCCCAACTTATGAGGGTGATTGGATTACAGTTTGATTCTTTGTCCATCAGCACCCCACAGTCGGGAGAGGAGGTGCGAATCTCTAGGGTTGAAACTAGGAGAGGATTTCCCAGAAGGGGTGATATCGACTTATCATATATCGACACATCATATATATTTATATATATTTAAAGTTACATATAAATAAATAAATAAACCTATAATAATCAATAAACACACATGCACACACACACATATATATATATATATATCATTATATCTCTATATATATATACATACATACATACATACATATATATATATACCCACAATCTATTCCCATTAAATCACCATGAGATACGGGCCGAAACCTATGACAGCATAGTTGGAGGCTGAACAGGGGATTCGGATTTCGATCGCGATCGATCCATAGCCAATACCACCTCCTAATAACAATTTATTGGGAACTTATTATCAATGACCATGTCTGGAACCGAAAACAATGGAGGTACCTAGGACCTATCATAAACAATGATAAGAATGCCTGCTTTTCAGGGCTCCATTTTAGGGGATCTCCGGATTTCTCCACAAAATATGGCCTTACATGATAACTTCTGTGGATCGGTACCTGACGTGGCCATTTCCCATGGTCCTCGTGACTTGTTAATAGCTGGCTACTAAGTGCCCTTTCAATAGGTTATTCCATATACAAATGGCTTATGAAGATCGTATAACCCTATAATTACTCAGCAGTTTTGAAGTGGGCTGATCCTCCAACTGTTGCATTTAAGTATATTATAACACACACACACATATATATATATAAACGCTTAACTTACAACTTATATAACCCTTATAGTTACTATAGATACTATAGTTAACTTAACTCATAACCCTATAGTTCAATATGTACCTATAAATACTTATCACTTATAACTAACTTATAACCCACATCGTTTCTGTCGTTCCCAGTTCGCATAACTCACCGTCCCGTCGGAGCCTTC